AACAGTGAAATATGCTATCATTTGTAGCGCAACCATCAACATATAAGACTGGTGCCGCATTAAATGCATATCATGTAAGTTGCAATTGCCTGTTATCAGGTAATTCTGCGCACACGCGTTTGAAGCAACTTGACTGGAATGACGTATAGTGCTCCAACGGCTCAATTTTTGAGGACCAAAATTTTGTACCCATATTATTAAGTAGCGTGATTATTACACATGAAACCGTCATTGTTCAATTCATATAGTTGTGTTCATATTATATTTTACTTTTTTAAAGATCTTCACAACTACATGTATAATTTCGTGGGGAAAGTGTTTAGAGCCCACTCCAGTCGAATGTGCTCCTTTAACCGCTCTTCACAGTTTTCTTAGCAAGCGCTCCAGATTTCCACAGATGCTCGTTGAACTTATTTCTCAGTTAGCTTGCTTATTATGCACCAGGCCAGTGTATCCTGGGCACGCAGCCACATTCCTCTCAATCATATGTCCTTTGGGGGGACTCTGGCTCAGTGTAGCGGACAAATTGATGTATTGCACACACCCTGCACGCTGAAACAGACTGATTCTCGACAAAAAGGGGTGCAAAGTCAATGTCGAGAAAAGAAGAATTGGACAGGGTCGCCAGATGGCTGAACTGCACCGACTCGCTGACCGCAATTTGACGACAGATGACAGTTTAATGGCGTGTGTATGGACGGTTGTAAACATAAAAACAAGGAATTTGTAAGGATGTGGATATTTACTTTAAAAAGAAAAAATACGTTAAACTTGCACCGTCCATTAAGAAATTTCAAAATTATTTGTAACATAGTGTACATCGAATATGCCTCAACTGTGATTTTCCCCCAAAATGTACCCTTCACCCATCCCAAACATATACGGTAGTTGAGTTATAGGCCTTGAAACCATTTCTTTGTGTGGTAGTTTAATAAAATCTCGCACTGGTTTAAATCAAATACCGTAGTGAGAGAGGATCCCCACATTTATTATTAATTTTTTTTTTTACATTCCCCTGTCCCTTTTTTAAATGAAAAAGAAAGCATGTACTTTGAGATTGGTCGTGTATTCTGAAGGTAGGCCGTCCAAGTTATTGCGAAATGGTTGAACCAAGCATCCGTGGGCGTCATTATTCGAGGATATTTGCACTTTCTGCATACCACGGTGACTCTTCAGTGGTCAAGAAAGGTGAAGGGATGGCCTCAGAATAGTTTGGTATAAAAATTGACCTCTTGAAATGCAGTCTTATGTGCTCAGATACTAATCTCATTGCCCTCATTAATATTATCATCACCAGCCTTGCATGTGCTAAAACTCAGCTATTTCCATCAGCTTTAGCAACATAAACAATAACTGATCACGAACTCCAAGCACAACATCCCGTACTATAGCCATGCAAAATCATCGTCATATATTAGTCGTGGCCCATTCCCATCTTACCCCAATCTACTGCCAAAACCCGGTTTAAATTTGAGCTTATCTTTCCGTCCCAGTATACATTACAGGTTGGTTGTTATTTAGATCTTGCATGGTTGGTAATATCACAAACGTTTTTGTGTGTGTTACACCCCATTATTCGCGAGAGCACGGTTCAGTTTCGATGAACTAGTACACTCATTGTTGATTTCATAAAACGACCTACGGCGTTTGCACGCGTAACACATTTTGAAACCAGTACGGGGAAGTTTCAATTTATCTTCCGTGACAACAGTGCTTTTGCCGCCTGTTCCCATGTGACAATTCTTTTGTTGTGCCCATGGGATCACAAGCCCAGACTACTCTAGAAACTAGAATATTACTAGAGATACGTGTAAACTCCAATAAAAAGTACTGGGTTCATGTCCATGACCCAGTGAGCGGTGATGCATGAGAAGCCTGCAATGAAACAAGTCTCGCTGAAAAAAAAGCTATCAGTAACACGTTCTATAAAAGCATGCTGTTTACTCCTAAACTACAATCCTTCAACAGTAATTGCACATGCCTGTACATGACAACATGACATGAATAGCAGTCTCTGTGTGGGCGGGTAGAATACGTGACACCAAAGCCATTAATGGGGAAACTTAAACCCAAAATCATGGAGTGTAGGAAGGATAATGTAAAACACGTTAAACTCCAGAAGATACAAGACTAATATAAAACATTAGCAGGGGTGGTAGTGCTACAATTTGTAATTTTTTCTGTGTTAACAATGAATGTCAGAGGGCAGAGGGATAAAGTATAGGAATAGGGGAAGTAATAACCAACATCAGGATTTCTCTTCAATCTAGTCAGAAAAATGAGGATTACACACAGCCGCAACTGTGATTTAACTTGATGTCAATTAATCCCCACCATTTGAAAGGTTGGCACTTTGTCCCAGCAAACCACAATGTAGGGATTTTATTTCTTCTCAGGACTTGACTGTTCACGCTAACTTGTTGCGAATCAGTTGTGCAAAGTCACTAAAATCGAAAGTAACTTGGAACCGATTATTCAGGCACAAAAAGCTTTCGTTTCTCCACAATTCTTTGTTAATACGGTACAGACAGCCATTTTCACCAGTGGGAGTGTTCGGCCTGTGGTTGGCCCACTCCATTTTGTATTCTCTGGGCCGCTTTTGTTGCGCCTACACACATTCCCTCATCGCTCCAAAGATTTCAAGGACTTGACTTGCTTGCCACGCTGGTTTCTCCAAACAACGCGTCCTTGCGCTGTATATTATGCATGCCATATACAATGTACATGTACATACCAGTGGTTAATATGCAAAGTAACAACGCCCATGTCGTTCACAAAGAATGCGTGTTGATTTTTTTATGCTCGTGTGCGAGCAGTAACGCTGTATAGCGCCATCTGTTGGCAACCAAATGGACAAAATGGAGGGAAATTTTATTTCGCTCACCTTTTAAAAAAATTAGACTCCAGGAACATATAAACCTGTTCGTTTATATTGCAGTCCTACATGACATTTACTGACATTTAGTATAAAAAGAGCAAGGGATGAAACGTTATTACAACTTCATAGTTGATATGGAAATCAACCCGCCCACAAGTGTTTTGTCAGTTGTGTCGGCCAAAATATAACAAATTACATGGGAACTTACTTATATCATGGAGGAACACTTCCTCAATGCTTTTATCAACAATAAGGCTTGGTCCCAAGAACAAAGCATGTGATTGTCTGTGAATTCGCCATAGAAAATACTTAGTATCAAAAAGTACTCCTTGTTGCAAACTAACGCAGGAAACCCCACCAGGAAGGGCTTCCATAAATTGTGCACACACATAAAATTCTGACATCATGGTGCACTCCAAGCTGCACAGGAACGAAACATGCTATTGACTTAAGTACTCTCAGTGGCGTAGCCAGGAATTGTTTGGGGGGGGGGGGGACATTTCATGGGGGCGTCATGTAGGGGCGTCAATCGCTTCTCAAAAGTGGGGGGGGGGGGGACATACCTTGATCAGAACTGATGCGAGCGCGAAGCGCGAAGCCCTTACGGCGTGCGGGTTCGGGGCCCGCTTAAGGGCCCCGAAAAAAATTGGATTCTAGATGTTCTGTGGTGTGATCAGAAGCAATTTCTTACCACTTTCCTCCATGCTTTAACTAATATATTCTTAGCAAAAGATAATTATTTGAACATCATTTTCGAGGTTGGAGTCATTGAATCAGCTATCGGTATTCTGAGCTATAGGCGTGGGGTTCGGGACCCGCTTCAGGGCCCCGAAAAAAATTGGATTCTCGATGCTCTGTGGTGTGATCTGAGGCAATTTCTTACCACTTTAACCAATAATTATCTTAGCACAAAAGAAAATAATTTAAACATAATTTTCGACCTTTTCTCAGCTTAAGGCATAAGAACATTTTTTGAACATTGTTTCCGAGGTTGGAGTCATTGAATCAGCTACCAGAATTCTGAGCTATAGGCGTGGGGTTCGGGGCCCGCTTAAGGGCCCCCAAAAATGTTGGATTCTAAATGCTCTGTGGTGCTATCTGACGCAATTTCTGACCACTTTAACCAATATTTTCTAAGCAAAAGATACATTGTAGTACATAATAGGGCCCTGTAACTGAGACATGAGTTCAAAAATCTGGGGGGGGGGACCATTTTATATTGTGTCCCCCACCCTTCAAAAAGTGGGTGGGGGGACCCCCCCCCCCCAGGATTGACGCCCATGGCGTCATGTAGATCAATGATAATTTTTTTAGAAACTCAAAATCTCAGTTGGGGGGGGGGGGGGGGGCGACAAGGTTTCATTGGGGGTGGCTGTCGCCCCCCCCCCCTTGGCTACGCCACTGATTTCAAGGAATTTTAATTGGTCTATTATTATTATTTAGCTTATATGAATGGAGGATAAAGTTTGTGCGTGGCCGATTCGTGTGATATCGCTGACTGAAACTGTGTGACCCACGGACCACCTGTCTATAATACGTGTTCCGTGGTGTGAGCGAGCAGTGCAGTGGGTGTTAATACGCATTTTAGATTATCATTATGCGCTATGTCACGCCGGTTGTCAGCTTACTGGTCCGCGGTCGCCGGGTCGTTTCTCAGTGGTCATCATGTGGATCATTCGCGACTATTTAGATTTAGATCAATGATAATTTTTTTAGAAACTCAAAATCTCAGTGGGGGGGGGGGGGGGGGGGCGACAAGGTTTCATGGGGGGGCGGTCGCCCCCCCCCCCCACGCCCTCCGGTGGCTACGCCACTGAGTACTCTTAACTCCGACAGGTCAACAATTTAAGAGATCAAGCTGTATCTATCAATAAGTGAGCTAATTCCGAAGTCACTGTTGGTAGGCCTATATACATGTTCATGCAAATCCTGGTACATGTGGAAACTTGTTGCGAAGTAATCATCAAAGAAGACAACGAATTATTACTGAAGTTAATCCATGCTTTTTGGGCTGTAAACATATCCGTTTTTTTTTTCTTACACTATCAATGTTTAACAAACTTCCATATCAAGAATGCACCCGCTACTCAACAACTCAAAATTGAGCTCAAACACACTGTCGTCCTAGAGCTTGTAATGAATGAGTACCTTTTGGTACCGATTTATTGTTGCATTTCGTATAACGGTTTGAATTTTTTTTTTTACCCAAAATGACTGGCAACACCAAAATGAATGCATGGAGAAATAAGACACAAGCCAACGACAATCCAGATAAATACATTTCCGTAAAATGCTCTTGAGAAGCACATCTTATAATAAATTCCATGACATGTAATGTTTGCTACCTATTAAAAGAGCAATGTTACCATTGATGTCTGGGTTTTCTAAAGGCAAGGTAAACAAAAACAATAATTATAGCAATTCTATAAGTCTATGGCACCAGTTTTGCCCTGCGATTTGCTTCAATTTGACTCAAATAATTTGATGTCTAAGATGATACAGCTTAAAGCAACAATTCTTATTTATCTTATTTTATATAAAGACAGGTTGTGTGAAAATATACCACACACACACACACAAAGAAGTTAGTAAGAAGTATGTGACAAAAGAATTTGTGAAGAGACATTGACTGGTCATTTTTCTGTATTAGAGAGGGCAAAATCATTTTTTTTACACATCCGTGTACTTTGTACATGTATAAATGCAAAAATCAATTCTGCTAAAGCACTCTGTTTCCTTGTATATAAATTTAGACATTCTATAGGAAGATATGAATTAAATACTTTCATGTTAAATTATGATTTACACGTATTACAAAACCCCACTAGCAATAGAGACCACACTTTAAATTTGAGGTACTATATTCTCCTCAGTGCTGTAATGCAAGTGTTTTTTTTTTTTAAACAATATCTGTTTTATATTTTGACAACCAAGATACGTGCAACTATCTGTACACACTTCATTTTGCTGTAAAAGTTGTAATTATAAACATTACTATCTATAATATCTTTTAAAGAAACACCACCTTTACCCCCTGAAAAACACAAATATCCTGACACTGGCAAAGCTTCAAAGACTCAAAAGACAAAGACCATAGCTGTAATTAAATGCTTTATGTTTTAAATGTCCTGAAAATCGTTCTGTTATCTGAATTGTCGTTTGGCTGTGAAAATAATTGAAATGGTTCTCTCTTTACTAAACAACCAGCTTACTTGTATATTTTACTCTCCGCAATCGTTTTCCCATCAAAGTCACCCTCACAGGTAAAGTATTCCTTGACCATATTCTTTGTTTTCGGGTCATCGGGATCAAGCTTGGTCCACTTGTACGACTCGTAGTCAACATTCCAATCCTCGCATCTCTGTCAATATAGAAATAAATGAATGGTAAATGGAATATAAAATATCCAACCATGAAGAAATTCCCCTATATATAGTCCGGTAAGGGGGAGCTTTAGTTTAGTGGGAACTGCGCATTTTCAAAAACATAACAGAGCCATGTTCAGGCATGCAACTGGGAACTTAGGAAAAAACGAGGAAATTCCGAATCACACAAGACTTTGTACAGTGTTTTTCAATTTGTAATGGCATTCATGAGAAGTAAAAAACGAGGAAATCAGCGGATCCGAGGAAAAGTTTCATACCTGCATGTTACTGTTAGAAGTCCTTTTCTAGCAATTTCTCTTGTTATTAGTGCTATTTACCATCGTGTTCCCCTTTCTTTTTCCTTTTCTTTTGTATTCCACTGGTTGGGGCAATTCCCTCCTTGCATCTCTCGTCATATGTCATACTTCCCCTCGCTGCTCATTGCACAATGCACACATGAGCTTCACGCACACAAGTTGCTTGCAAAATTGTCTCAGTTTTTTTTATTATGAGGTGTGAATTGTTTGTAAATGGACTCAAAGGTATTAAGCTCTGAGTAATTCATTAAATATGACCATACGTGTGTGTATATTGGACTTAATATCCCTTTTCTAAAACTCTACCATTTGCAACAGATCAACATACATTGAAAATTCCTACTTTTTGAGTAAAATCCATATTTCTATTTCATGAAAACTTTGTGAAGACGTATTCATCTATAGAAATTGCCCTGTGGAGACGTATATAATCTTTTTTTTCCTTATTGTGTGCATGTCTCCAGAGGGCACGGTGTATCAGATCATCAATGCACACAGGACAAGGCAGAAACAGCATGCCCCATCTGGGTTCGCAGGCAGGCATAAAAAGGCCAGGTGCTCTACGCTTATAAACAATGATCAATGACTATGCACCATTTGGGGGTCTCGACACAAAAACTTGCATAATATCAAAACCTCACTTGTCTTAAGCCCTCTTCAAACAATGCCAACAAAACTAGTAAGGTTTTGAGAAACAATTTATGAGCAGGACTTGTTAACATTAACATTACAAGCTTAACATCATTTGTTTGCTTTCACATGACAAAGTTATAATTCTCAAGCATCCTTTGAGACATGGATGCTGGAAAATCAGTGGTTTTGCAGGAAGATGCTGCTGGTACTAGGGAGGATTAGATATGTGCGAACATAGGTGATGAGCATATAAACAGCACATGTATGAATGCAATACGGGCCCTACTACGACATCGATGGAGGCTTCGCATAAATCAGATGTATTTGTCAAGAGGCCTGCTCTGCATTGATACTTTTTTTCACATGAACGCTTTTAAACATTTAAATATTAAAAATGTCTGTTGAGGTCAACCTGAAATGCTGATGCTTGCAAAAAGGTTGAATGTGGCCATGCTTTGTGTACTTTGTACTGGACATTTACAATAAACGTTTTGAGGTTGTTAGGGGTACCTTAAGAAAATTTGTCGTAGGTCCAGACCTCTGCCAAAATCTCTCTAAGGACTGAGATAGATTCACCAGGGATGTTGGTCATTTTCTAGCACGGGTGTCCCTTCACACGACTGCATTTTTGTAAGATTTCTCATGCATGAGAAAAGTTCCCAAGCTTTGTAAGTTTTTTTGGTCTCATGTGAAGAAGGCTCTAGATGGAGACCGAGGGATACCTTGACCAAGACAGAGAACAAGAGCAGCAAAAAGCTAGTCTTCAGACTAGTCTCTTCAAGGCTGGTTTTGAGACCTACAGCAATGAACAGGACTCACAAATATTTTATAAATTGAAATTTGTTTTATTTTTGTAGTTGTTAAGTCTGACTGATCAATACAAATTTCAGAAAGGTTGCTTTTGAATCTGCATTGATTGCAGGTTATAAACCCTCCTAAAGGAAACGACTACCTGCCATCTTTCAGTCAGGTATCCAGTGTCTAGCTGCCCATCACAATCCTCAGTTTTAGACAAGACAATAAACAGTATGCCTTCTATAAAGCTGCCCACCTTACCGATAATGAAATAACCAAAATGCTTCAACAAAAACCTACCTCAAAGATGAGATTTTGTCCCCTCCAGAACCATAGTCCAGATATAGTGCTTTTATAGTCCTCACCAAAGATAATCACAGACGCAAAGGAATGCTTTCTCATCTTGTCTAGCCGCTGGAACATACCTGTTTGTACAGCATACAAAGAAGTTTTTTTAGTCAAAAAAAACCCAAACAAAATACTGGGTTTCCAGTTACTCGACCAACCCTATAAGATTAGATGCACAAAGGGGCTACAATTTTTATGTTATAAGTTCGTGATCAGTTTGACACTCCTGCTGCTTGTATTGATTTGAAAGAGCAACTCAGGTTGATACATGTAGCATGACATCAACTTATGCCTTTTTAACAGTGTGCCAGTTGTGCCAGTTGTGGAAGTGGGTTGTAGTCGGGTAGCTTAAAGCCAACTTTTGACAAGATCGTAACCGACTGGTCCAAAGCCATGGACGGTACATGGAATTGCATCCTGACAGGCAAGACACTTTACTACCATTGCCTCCCTCCACCCAGGAGTATAAATGGGTAACTACGAGGGTAGAGACCAGATTGCGCTGATCTCGGTTGCAGAAAAGTGGTCTCATGGCCTGATGAACAGGGGTTATGACTGTGAAGCGTTTTGAGACCTAGATTTACATTAGCGACACACATTAAAACCGGATATGCAGGCAATAGTCAGGTGGCATACCGTCGGAATCGTGACCGACTGGTCCAAAGCACCAATTTTCTGACTGAATGCCACCTGACTATTGCCTGCATATCCAGTTTTAATGTGTGTCGCTAATGTAAATCTAGGTCTCAAAACACTTCACAGTCATAACCCCTGTTCATCAGGCCATGAGACCACTTTTCTGCAACTGAGATCAGCGCAATCTGGTCTCTACCCTCGTAGTTACCCATTTATACTCCTGGGTGGAGGGAGGCAATGGTAGTAAAGTGTCTTGCCTGTCAGGATTCAATTCCATGTACCTTCCATGGCACATGGGTTGAACAACACAACCACCGGACCAGTTTTGCCGAACAATTTTTACTAAAACTTTTCTGTAAAGGGCCTTTCACGTCATCCAAAACTCTGTGCGAGACCTGGGTACAACACAGAGATTTCACACTCCACATATCAAGAAATCAGCATCTCCTCTAAGGGTCTGTCGCTCTACACAGGTAATATCCAACCCTGGTTGCATCAAGCTGGAGAGGCTCTACCTGGGTAGACAATCCAAAATCTACAGCTGACCAGTGTACATCACGGGGTAAGTGGGAACAGTTTGCCTTGCCTATGCTTGTTCGATAGGACTCAGTTCTCCTCATTGTGAACCTGCATTGATTTCAATGCATGCAGGCCAGACCATAGTGTGGGAAGGCCTTACATCTATCATGAAAATACAGGTGTCCAAACGATTCCCCAGTTCTTTTAGGTTAAGAATGCACTGCATATAATGCATACAAATACATACTCAAGTACACATCCTCCACAGTGAATCTAAATTACTTACCACCAACAAGGTTACAGCTCATGAAGGTTAGCTTCAGCTGATGAGGAAACAAGTACTCAGAGAACCAGATGGAGTAATTCTCCTTGTCAAACTTCTCCCAAAAGTAGGGCAATGACACAGTCAAGCTATCATTGTTTGAGTAGCAACGCTTGAAGGCATCCATGTCCATTGTGCTATTTGGAAATGAATGAGACAAAAAAAAGGAATGAGACCAATAGCCTTTCCAATCTCAGATACCGATATGGTAAGGTGAACAAATAGTGCTCTTTCACTATTCCCAAACCCACTCAAAAGTCACACATTAACCCTCCTGCTAAATTTCCTTCTTCACCTCCTGGCAGACTGTTAACAAACCAATGGGGGTCTTGACCAATATTGACCCACGTAATAACATGGCTCAGAATGCAAGTTTTCATAGGAGGGTTGATGCCCTATTGAGTGTATTATGTCAAGATTTGTCTTGTCCTACATTGTCTAGGAACTGGTATTCATGGGTAGGCTAGTTATTAAGATGAACTGCATTGTGATCACACAAGCAATCTGATCGTAGAAAACCATCATGATTTGGAATGCAGCCTATATCATGCTCTTTACTTGCGTCAGTCCTTTGCAAGCAAATACTACTACTAGTGCTGCAGCCGAACCGCCAAACCAAACTAAAAATAGCCCAACTTGGCCTTCCGAACCAAACCCGAACCAAACTGAGCCGAAATGTTGGTTCGAAAGAGTTTGGCAAGTATTTGTTGATAGCGCTAGGAATGCTAATGCTTGCAATGAAAGGGCAAACTTAAAATGCACTGATGATTGAATTTACCGTGTTGACAAGTCACTGCATTCATCTTCATTATTTGCGGTGTTCTAGACAGGCATACAATAGGATTTTGGGGCGATACACTTTGAAAATATCGTACGCACCTGCGATTCTCTCAATGAAAAGCGTGCTCTTTGCATGTACATGAAATTCAACTAGCACGGCCGATCTCATATCCCTGGCCGGTGTCATATGAAAATCCGACTCGGACTCCTTTTCCCTACTATTGGTTGATCCCTCGCATGTGACAGGTCACTCTCCCATGTACAATGTATGATCCTAAAAATAGCAAATTATGGTACTTATCGCAAATTATCGCATGCGCAATACCACCAATGAGTCCATATTTCATGGAGTCGGATATTCACGCTACACCGGCCCTGCCGCGCCATGCCATGTGTCGATCAATTCGAGTGTACGTGTGACATAGTACGTTTGGACCACGTATGCTTTCCTCGGCACAATTACCAGCATTTTCACTGTGTCAAAATTACAAATAATACTTTTTATGCAGTCTCAAACCTTTCCCTTGTTTAGAATTAGTACTGCAGCCGAACCGCCGAACCGAACTAAAAATAGCCGAACTTGGCCTTCCGAACCGAAACCGAACCGAACCCAAATGTCGGTTCGGAAAGTTCGGCAAGTATTTGTTGACAGCGCTAGGAATGCTAATGCTTGCAATGAAAGGGCAAAATTAAAGTGCACGGATGATTGAATTTACTGTGTTGACAAGTCACCGCATTCATCTTCATTATTTGCAGTGTTCTAGCAAGGCATACAATACGATATCAGGCCAATACGCTTTGAAAAAAATCGTACGCGCCTTGCGGTTTTCTCAATGAAAAGCGTGCTCTTTGCATTCATCCAGCATGGTCAGTATCTCACGCCCTGCGCTGCTGCGCCGTGTTCCAGCGTGACGTAGTACGGTTGGACCAAACCAATTGCAGTGAAGGGTGTGCTTTCCTCGGCGAAATTCACCAGCATTTTCAGTTATTTTTACCGTATCAGAATTTAAAAAACCCAACTTTTTATGGAGTCTGAAACCTTCCCCATGTTCAGAATAAGTTCGTACTTTACGCAATATATTTTTTTTCGTTAAGAATGAATACGAAAAACGATGTAATCTCCAAAAAGAGGGTGACACACCCCTTTACAAAATTAATGGATCCATCCACAATATGAATATTCATGGCAGTCGCGAATCGAAAAGTTACTATTTTTATGGTAGCTTCTTGTCAGCTTGTTGCTAAAAAATAATTATGATTTCATTAGTTTGGTACAGTAAAAGGATCTATTTGTTCTTAGAACAAAACTATTCAGTAATTATTGCCACGAGACAAGTTTTTAGTGCTCATCAGGGCTTGCTCGGACGGGACGGAACTCGTCGAGAAAACCAATCAGCACGTGTGGGAAAATTTTACGGCGATCGTGTAGCGTAGGGCCCCTGTTTTGTTTTGATCAAATTAGAGTCAAAAATGTTTTTATTGCTAAAAAATCACCTTGATAATCAAAAGCTGACTTCTCAATTCTCATGACACCCGTGTTGCAATTTTTAACAGTTACTTGAGGTAGAAATCACAATTTTCCTGCGCTGTTTGTACCTTGCGATTCAGCGCGCCGTGTGTACTCATGGTACATCACGCGGTTATCACCATCTTTATTTTCGGGTTGCATGTTGTGTTGCCGCGCTGTCATCGTCATTTTACCCCCAAATTTCCCTAAAAAAAATCAAAACCCTGCCCTCTATCTATGACATACCTGTTTATTGAGAACCAACTAGTTAGGTCTGTCTAATAATTTTAAAGTGGAATTTGTTTCCAGAAGTCGGGCCCCTATGTCGATGATCGCCAATTTGATCATAGTTGCCGGGCCGGATAGGGCTGCGATAGGTAACACGGTAGCAATTTACGATGTTCATTTCTCAACGTCATCAAGTCAAATTATAACGGACTTTTGCTTACATATCAAAAATAAGATTCATCCTTCAACTTGTGTTGAATAGCATGTGGAAATTGCGGTGCCTATTTCTGTCAGACGTGCGCGGTACACACGTGTTTGTTCGAACAGGGGAACTGCCTATGTATGCTTTTCATTGTAACCTAATACATTGTATGGACACGTATATTATGTATGCACTTTCGAACCGAACCCCGAAGTTCGGAGAAAAAAAATAGAACCGCAGCCGAACCGAACTGAACCAAACTTTGAGGATCAGTTGCAGCACTACTTAGAATAAGTCCTTAATCGTCGCAATATTTCTTTTTTGTAAAGAATTTACATGAAAAAAACGATGTTATCTCCCAAAAGAGGGTGGAGCACCCCTTTACAAAATTAATGGATCCATCCACAGAATGAGAATTCGATGAAAGTCGAGTCGCGAATCGAAAAGTTGATTTTTTACGGTAGCAATTTGTCAGCTTGTTGCTAAAAAATTAGTATTGATTTCATAAGTTTGGTACAGTAAAAGGACCTGTTTGTTCTTAGAACATTAACTAATCAGCAATTATTACGGTATTTTATGTACACAACAGGGGAACGGCATAGACTATGCTTTTCATTGCAGCCCTACACATTGCAACAAGGACATGTATGTTATGTATGCACTTCCGAACCCGAACCGAACCGATGTTCGGAGTAAAAAATTTGCACCGCAACCGAACTGAACCGAACTTTGAGGATCAGTTGCAGCACTAACTACTATGCTATATTGTAATTCGCTGAACAAAATTAGAAGCCATTTTTGAGGTGGTGCAGCGCCTGTCCAAATGCATTTTGGTAACCCTACTGGTGGAAGGAGTGTGTGTATTACCTGAGCACGACCCACTTGAGCCTGGTGCCTCCGCAGAAAATGGCTGTTGCTGAATAGTTTCATGCAGGCTAGAACACTGCATGCATTGCAATCATGTGTTCATGTAAACTGCAAACAAACAGTTTGTTTTTACCCCCTTCTGTTTAACTAATCTAATTCCTTCAAAAAGTCCATGTTATAAAAGCTGGTTAAGAATCATTATCATGTGCATATTTAGAAAGCCAATTGGCCAATCAGTGGCATCTGTTCACATAGTGGCCTTTGTAGTATATGTGCCAATACTACAATCATTTTGTGTGCATGTGTGAGGTGGCTATATAGAGCCCATAGGTTTTCTATAAAAAGGCAAGATCCATGTGGTATGATCATAATCAGATGGACTACTCACGGTGGTGGCAGATCCGCGAATGGGTCCTTCTTTTCCTTGGGAGCAGGTGGCTGCTCATCCTCCTCGCTATCCTTGACTGGCTTGGCAGCTTTTGCCTCTGCTTTTTTGCTCTCTTTCTTGGATTCTTTCTTCTCATCTTTCTTCTTGTCTTTCTTGCCAGACAACTCAGCAAACTTCTTGGCTAGATAAGATACATGATCAATCTCATATCAAACTTCATAGTACAATGTACATTGAATATGTTGCTAGTGCATAAAATAGAAAGTGACATCATGATATCATTCAACCATTTCCAAATTCAAATTCAATGGATTGTTTTAGATATTTATTTTAAACATTTTCTCTAATTTGTCTTAATTTTTTTTTAAAGTACCGGTACATGCGTTGTTCCGTTTGTAAGAAAAGCCAAAGAGAATTATTGTCCTGAAGAAAAAAACCAACAGAACACGAACACGAAATAACAACATCACAGAGTATGTTAACCAATATGAACTTTCTACACGTAGAATGTCATGGTCCAGTGGTTACGGTGTTTGACTCATGTACGATGGTGTGTGAGTTCGAACCCTGCCAGGAACATGGTGTTTGTGCCCTTGGGCAAGACACTTAACTACAATTGGCTCTCTCCACCCAGGAGTATGAATGGGTACCTGTGAGGGTAGAAGACCAGATGTGCGCTGATATCTGCTGCCGCGTGGTCTCGAAGCCTTATGAACGGGGGAATAATTGTAAAGTGCTTTGAGATTGTTGATACGTTGGAAAGCACTTTATAAGCACTACAATTTATTATTCATTATTATTTTTTGAATTTAGATGCTCTGTGGTGCAATCTGAGGCGATTACTGGGCACTTTCCTCTGAAATTTTGGAGCAGAATTTGTTTTAATTTTGAGAAGAATTTTCCTTCATTTGCTAAAATGTACTCTTGTTCTTATAAAGTTTCTTCTGTACTCAAATTTGAGAACCATACATTTTCGTGTTACCCTCGCCGTATTTGCCATGCTTTGGTGTGCTTTGGGTGTTTCACATGGGATACGACCTGACGACTCGAGCCATTTCTATCCTCTCGACGCGTAGTTGATAATGTCGTTGCAAACATTGCAAAAAACCTTGCCAGCGCCGGTTTACTATTTTATCGAAACACTCTTGAAATCCATGCTGATGCCTGTCAATAATAACGGAGTCCTGAAACCATTCCTACCGGAACTTATTTTTCACTTCTTTATCAAGCTCTCGCAGTCGCCCTGATAAATCTCCTTGCGACAGCATCAACTTGTTGGGGGCAGCCATGTTGGAAGCACGTACACAAACACTCCGAGCCGACGCACGTAAAACAACGCAACAACGTGCATAATCCACATTGTACCGTACTGTATGCCATTGCGCACGCTGAGTAATATTAGTCTGTACACCTGACCAATGCAACACGTGCATCTCTCAAGTACCGACACAGGAACTAGACCTAAATAATCACAACCTCGGACCCGAGCAAAAGATCAAATGATCGCGCTAATGGCAACGCATAGTCTTCAACTTCGTTCTCACATTGGGTATCCAATATGTGCGTGCGTTAAAAGATATATCGATCAACGAAGTAATGTCCGTAAGTAAGTTTTGGATATTTCGGCAAGCAAAACTCATTATGAATAATTAATTAGCACATTCTACCCCCCTATTTTCTCAACGGATTCACACGATTCACGTTGGTGGACTTTTGAGGCCAGAAAAACCGGATTTCCGGAAAAAACCAGAGAAATCACATCCCTGATTTTAGGAGTGGTGGTTTCTGGTATCCTGGATACTACTAAATTTAAATAACCAAAACCAACAAAAACGCAATATCTTTAGTAACCCTTTGCACATGTTCTAACACCATTTTGTTCTATACCATTTTGTACATAGGACATGATATCCTACGTAAATGAATATTTCAGGAATCTAATACATGATCAGTCCGAAGCAAGGTGTTAGATTTTAATGCATGAAGGACTATTGGGGAATTTTTGAAGAATCTACGTTGGCAAAACTTTATGGTATCCTCTCCTGACCCTACAGTAAACATGATTTATTGTTTCTAGGACACGGGGTCTGTAATAGACAATCAACCATGCAGACACGTAAAATCCTAGATTTGATGTCCCTACATTTAAAAAAATGCCATGACCTATAGGGTAAAGGTCACACCACCGAATGTCATTTGTAGGTAGGATACTTGAACAAAATGTTTGAGCAAAAACATTCAAATTCCAAAGGTTTGACATTTGTGCTTGCATAAAGTATCCTTTTCAATTACACATCAGACTGTCATGCTGTAATTACTTCTCCTGACATGCACTACATGTAGAAGCTACCTAAATGTATCATCATAGGATTATGAATGAATTCTCAAAATTTTTGTATTCATACTAAATGTCTACTAAATAGTATCACAGTAAACTTTTTTTTTTACCTTTACCCATAATTTCAGCTAGCAACAAAGAAGACTACATGACTTCATAGATTTCTGATTATTGAAAATGTTTGAAACTTTGAACACGAACACGAAAGACGAACGAAGACAAAACCAAAGGGCGATGGGGGTTCAGCCCCATTACCCAATAATTTAAAAATGTATAATGCACCTTTTGCATTCTAATCAAAAGAGCATTACATTATTAACTTTCAAAATGTATTACATTATTACTTAAAAATTGTAAGAAGAAAACTGGATAGCCTTATGTTCCCTCCTTTTTTTTTTATCATTCACAGACAGTCAAAAATTGCTTTCACTTCCCTTGCCATGCATTTGCATACAGGCTACTAAAAAACGGTCAGATAACATTGTGACTAGTCCAATTCCATCAACAGACAAAAGAGGTTAACTGGTACGTATAGCTGGCATATCAATCACCTCCAGTCAAAGCATTGCTATACCAAATTAACAAGGGAATTCTTACCTGAAAACGGTTGATTGATTTAATTTGACTGCTGTGAATGTGATGGTGTAGAGCTACTTGCCAGCCAGGAGGCATTCTGAATCCGCGAGTGTTAAATTCAGAGTGTTTAATATACATAGCTCTAGTTTTCAAATGTTCAATAAACCCAATTCTTAGAATTTCTGGGAATCCTCCAATGCCACTTTCTGTATCAACTCACCATCAAACTGAGCCATCTTTACACAAAGTTGGACTTCTCCCAAGACTGCTTTGGCCTGAGGTTGATTGACGAGTGTAGTAAACCACCTGTTCACGTTTGTAAATGGAGCACGGAACTGGGGTTCTAGCACCTGTTGGTTGGAAAGCAAACACGTATGCAATACCAGCATTCGCATGGACAGTAACTGCACACAAATCAGTGGCATATTATTACTAATGGGTCTAGAGAGCTGTGAGCATACTTACTGACTAACACCAATAGCTCTCTAACCCTAACGTACCTGAATCTGACAAAACCCACACCCTTGATTTGGAGGATTTCAGCGGATTCAGGATACCTCCATATTGAAAAAGTTGGGGGATTTTGATGGATTCTGGTCAGTAAGCCTAGCGGTACTGCAGGATTTTGATGGATTCAGGATACCTCAATATTGAGCAGTTTGGGGACTTTGATGGATTCAGGATCTCAACAGTTTAACTCCTTGGCTATATGTTTGGTTTGTACAAGGTATGCACTACACTGGTGGATTCTAATGGACTCACTGGTGGATTCTAATGGACTCACTGGTGGATTCTGATGGACTCACTGGTGGATATTGATGGACTCAAGACACCAAAAAAATTTTGCATGACAAAATTGGTGAATTTTGGCAGATTCAGGATACTGTCTAGTAAAAGTGCTCAAGGGGTTAGGGTTAAGATATATACGTGACTAATTTATAACTGGATATGTAATAAATCAGTATGCCAGTGATTGCGTAAATCTTCCAAAGAATTTATAAGAAAATATTTTTTGATTTTAGATGCTCTGTGGTGCAATCTGAGGCAATTACTGGGCACTTTCCTCTGAATTTCTGCTTCAGAATTTGTTTTAATTTTATGAAGAATTTTCCTTTATTTGTTAACATGTACTCTTGTTCTAATAAAGTTTTTTTCTGTACTCAAAGTTGAGAACCATGCTGTTCTCCCCAGGATTTTTTCAAACCAGTGGGGGAATTTTTGTTGTGATACAACCACCTGCGAAGCCACGGCGTGGGTTCGGGGACCGCTTAAGGGCCCCGAACAATTTTGAACTTTAGAAGCTTTCTGGAGCATTTTAGTGCATTTCAGAGGAGATCTTGTAATATTTTTGTTAAAAAAAATCAAAATTGTAAACTTAAATCACTTCTGCTTCCGATAACATGCCTTTCAAAATAGCGTCGGTAGTACTGTTGGAAAAAACTTATTTCACCATTTCTATATTTGTAATAAAGCAAGAAATTGTTTATTTCATGTATTTTGTGCCTGGATTATTCTCATTTGCGCCACAAAAATTATCAAGACTAGCCATCAAAAGTGATTAAATCTTGCCTCACCTACTTAAAAATATATTTGAGGTGGGTCATTCCACAATTATGTTTAACGTACATCACGGCTGCTAGCGCCGCAAACATTCAGTCTGGCCGGTCACACATCGCACCGTACACACGGCCGGCCCGGCGCAGTATCAGTGTGCATTGCTCATCCCACGCGGCCGAAAATTCTGCAGGACTGCAGAAACACGCTACGATGTTTCTCCACAGATTGGAGTTTTGCAATCTCGTCATTTCAATGGAAAATACATACACAGAAAATGAAGATCACGTTCTGTGAATTAATTTGCAGAAATCCTCTTTCGATCGATGGTTGTTTGGTATTTTTACGATCCAACTTCGGCCGATTATGCACGGAAAACGAACCTGTGAGTACTTGCAGTAGTCACTGGTTCCGATCCTTCACCATGGCATTGATTCTGTTAGCACGCGAAGGGTACCAGTGTACCATGCTGCACTCGTCTGCACACCTGACCAGCGCAACACGTGCATCTCAGGTACCGACACAGGAACTAGACGGCGTTGCGTTTTTCACGTTTTTGCGCATTATTTGTATCTTTCCTCCAGCACGTGACCCTCCATGCAAGTCCACCCAGTACATGTGTGTACATGTTTGTACAGTATGTGACAGACTTGGCAGGGCTAGTGCCAGCAGTATTTACTTGACCACAAACATTGCAAAAGAGTTAAACTGTTGAGATCCTGAATCCATCAAAGTCCCCCAATAGCTCAAAATGGAGGTATCCTGAATCCATCAAAATCCGCCAGTTCCGCTAGGCTTCGAATCCTGAGTCCATCAAAATCCCCCAGTTTGTTCAATATGGAGGTATCCTGAATCCGCAGAAATCCCCCGAAACAGGGGGGGGGGGGTGGATTTTGATGGATTTAGGTACGTTAGGGTTAAATATATATTGCATCATTTGTAATTTGTGCATTTTGTTCGTTTGAAGCAACAAAAGTGTTCAAAATCTAATGAAGGATACTGAACAACTAACCTGATGAAGTTTCAGCTCAGCTTCAGCTGTATATTCCGAGAAAAACAGTATTCTAAGATCTCAATTTCAAATCAAAAGTTGCTTAATCATGTTTTGAATTGTTTTGAATTGCAGCTATACGCGTCGTCGCGCACTGATGCGACGAATTATAGCAACCGCGCGCGCCTGTGCGTCGTGAATACTAATAAAGTTCGGAGAGGATAAATTTTCATTGTGAAGTTAAAATTACGTATGAAAATATGGGAAATATAATTGTATGTATTACACCTAACTTCCGCTTTGATGACCTATTAATAACACCTAACTTACGGTTTAATGACGTCACAGCATTAGAGATTTTTGTGTCTGGTATTCCTGACTTAACACTTTCATAATTATATGTGTGTAATAAAATGCTTCCGCTTTTAAGATATGTTCGGTTTTAATTGCACTTCCGGTAACACCAGAAGTGAAGGTCGAGCGGTTTTGTGTCCGGGAACAAGGAATGTTTGGCATGGCATAATCTACAACCTCACGAAAAAACGAACACGATACTCTTTTTAGTTCAAAAGATATAGCGCAAACTATTTTGTCAAAATTTGGCCTTAAATCAAAGTTGGAACATAATTGATTATTTTGTTTAAGAGTTATAGGTGGAAGTAATTGGCCACATTTTCCTCTAAAATCGCTTGTAATTTGACACCCAATAACATCATCATGATGTCAGAGTAATATGCACCACTTGGGATGAGGGTCGATATATATTGAAAGTTACAAGTTCAAGTTCAAACCGTCTAGGAGAAAACCCGCGGAGAAGTATTGTCCGGAATAAAAAGATGGAAAGAAAGAAGATTGATGAGAACAATTCCAGACAGTGGTTGTGCCCGACCACTCAACTACCAAAAACCAAGCACAATACTTCAGTGACCCTATGCACATATTCTAAACCATTTTGTACATAGGACAAGATATCCTACATGAATGAATGTTTTAATAATCTAATACATGATCCGTCCGAAGCAAGATGTTAGATTTTAATGCATGAGGGAAAAAAGGGGAATTTTCGACAAAAATGTTAGCAAAACTTTATGGTATCCTCTCCTGACCCTACAGTAAACATGATTTATTGTTTCTAGGACACGGGGTCTGTCATAGACAATCAACCATGCAGACACGTAAAATCCTAGATTTGATGTCCCTACATTAAAAAAAAAATGCCATGACCTATAGGGTAAAGGTCACACCACCGAATGTCATTTGTAGGGAGGATACTTCAACAAAATGTTTGAGCAAAACATTCAAATTCCAAAGGTTTGAAATTTGTGCTTGTATTTAGTGGTATCCTTTTCAATTACACATCAGACTGTCATTCTATCATTTCTTCTCTTGACATGCACTACACGTATCGACCTACATGTATCACTGAAGGATTATGAATGAATTCTCAATTTGTTTGTATTCAAGCTAAATTTCTACTTAATAGTATCACAATTAGTGCTGCAGCTGAACCGCCGAATCGAACTAAAAATAGCCGAACTTGGCCTTCCGAACCGAACCCGAACCGAACCAAACCCAAATGTCGGTTCGGAAAGTTCGGCAAGTATTTGTTGACAGCGCTAGGAATGCTAATGCTTGCAATGAAAGGGCAAAATTAAAGTGCACGGATGATTGAATTTACTGTGTTGACAAGTCACTGCATTCATCTTCATTATTTGCAGTGTTCTAGCAAGGCATACAATAGGATATCGGGCCATCACGCTTTGAAAAAATTGTACGCGTCTTGCGATTTTCTCAATGAAAAGCGTGCTCTTTGCATTCATCCAGCGTGGTCAGTATCTCACGCCCTGCTGCGTCATGTTCCAGCGTGACGTAGTACGGTTGGACCAAACCAATTGTGGTGAAGGGTGTGCTTTCCTCGGCGAAATTCACCAGCATTTTCAGTTTTTTTCACCGTATCAGAATTAAAAAAAAAAATTTTCATGGAGTCTGAAACCTTTCTCATGTTCAGAATAAGTGTGTACTTTTCGCAATGTAATTTTTCGTTAAGAATGAATACGAAAAACAATATAATCTCCCAAAAGAGGGTGACACACCCCTTTACAAAATTAATGGATCCGTCCACAATATGAATATTCATGTCAGTTCCGAATCGAAAAGTTATAATTTTTTACGGTAGCTACTTGTCAGCTTGTTGCTCAAAAATAATTATGATTTCATATTAAAGTTTGGCACAGTAAAAGGACCTGTTTGTTCTTAGAACAAAACTATTCAGCAATTATTGCCACGAGACAAGTTTTTAGTGCTCATCAGGGCTTGCTCGGATGGGACGGAACTCGTCGAAAAAACCCGGCAGCACGTGTGGGAAAATTTTATGGCGATCGTGTAGCGTAGGGCCCCTGTTTTGTTTTGATCAAATTAGAGTCAAAAATGTTTTTTATTGCTAAAAAAAATCACCTTTATAATCAAAAGCTGACTTCTCAATTCTCATGACACCCGTGTTGCAACTTTTAACAGTTACTTGAGGTAGAAATCACAATTTTCCTGCGCTGTTTGTACCTTGCGATTCAGCGCGCCGTGCGTGCTTATGGTACATCGCGTGGTGATCACCATCTTTATTTTCGGGTTGCGTGTTGTGTTGCCGCGCTGTCATCGTCATTTTACCCCCAAATTTCCCTTAAAAAGTCGAAACCCTGCCCTCTATCTATGACATACCTGTTTATTGAGAACCAACTAGTTAGGTCTGTCTATTAATTTTTAAGTGGAATTTGTTTCCTTAAGTCAGAAGTCCGGCCCTACGTCGATCGCCAATTTTATCATAGTTGCCGGGCCGGATAGGGCTGCGATAGGTAACACGGTAGCAATTTGAGATGTTCATTTCTCAACGTCATCAAGTCAAATTATAACAGACTTTTGCTTACACAACAAAAATAAGATTCATCCTTCAACTTGTGTTGAATAGCATGTGGAAATTGCGGTGCCTATTTCTGTCAGATGTGCTCGGTACACACGTGTTTGTCCGAACAGGGGAACGGCCTATGTATGCTTTTCATTGTAACCTAATACATTGTATGGACATGTATATTATGTTAGCACTTCCGGAGCCGAACTGAACCCTGAAGTTCGGAGAAAAAAAATTGAACCACAACCGAACCGAACTTTGAGGATCAGTTGCAGCACTAATCACAATCAACTTTTGTTTACCTTTACTCATAGTTTCAGCTAACAACAACGCAGACTACATGTACATGACTTAATAGATTTCTGAATATTGAAAATGTTTGAAACTTTGAAAATTGATCCAGTATTTGATCTACTAGGCCGTCCTTTCGTGATCTAGCCTGGTAGATTATGATTTGGGATGGGCACTTTGCAAAATGGAAATGTCCACATTCAGTGCTTGATCGATGCTAAATATCAGCCATTCCTTGACAAGGATCAAGGCTTCAGGATTCATGACCTTGTAGGTTTTTTTTTTAATTTAAATCCAAGAAAACCAAGTGAACTCATTTTGTGTTTGTGTTATATTTCACTCACATTCTTGTAGAGAAGCAGAAGGCTGCAGGCAACACTAATGTCAGCTAGAGTTACTCTCTCTCCTACCAGGAAGGTCTTTGTCTTGAGGGTGTCATTAAGGAATCCCAGCGCCTTCTTGACATCTTCCTTGGCTCGTTCAGTGTTCTGGAATAAGGAAAAAAAAATGGTTTTCTTAGCGACAGTGTTAAGGAAGTGGAAACATTAAATCGAAGGTGAAAACTCTGGACAAACATGCCAACAAAACACATTAGTGTCTCTTAAAGGGAAAATACAACATTTGCAAACATAAAAAACAAAAGATCCAATTATCACGAAATACCTTACTGAATTGATAGGGACTGACAGTTTAAAGCATCCTTTAAAATCGTGGCTCCTGGTGTGCTGACATTTAAAAAAAACACTGTATTTTTCCAACGCTGGTCAGCCGTGGAGAAAACTGGCTTTTTTCAAAAACTGTTCTTAATCATTCATATTTAGTTATTCTGACTTTTCTTTGCAATTGATCACACCCCTGTGAAGGGGTACAAGCCTGCTAGACTGATTCTCTGACCTTACAATTCCCCAAAGTATATTAATTGCTTCGTTTCATCTTAAGTGGGGTCAGGGAACCAGACTACAAGAACATGATAAGTTTTCTTGCTTTTTCCAGCATCTACAAGCCCAAAACATGAAACAAGTCAGTTTAACAATATTTTATATAACATACTAATCCTCCAAATCCATTAATTTCTGAAAATTGCAGCAAAAGCAAATGTTGTACATTCCCTTTAAACAGACCTCCAGTTTTTATAAATTATTTTTGTTTGTAAGGTTGGAAAATTGAAGAGAATAACAGGAGCCTGCAAATGCAATTGTAACTGTGGTGTAGTGGTGGTGCTTGATATGGGAGGAGAGATAGAACTTGAAATCTGCTCTTTACTATAATAAGGAAATAACGCAGACCCTTGCTTATTTGAAATCCCTTTGTCTTCACTTATTATAAAGCTTTGTATACAATTAGATCAGTTACATCTAAACTCTCTCTTGATATTTCATATCACAGAAAACCTTTGCAATGACAGCTTGATGACAATGCCTGCATACTAATACCAGCTAGTCATTAATTTATCAACACTTCATTAACCCTAAGGCCAAAAAAAAAACAGTTCTGCTTCCGATTACATGCCTTTCAAAAATAGGGTCGGTCGGTCGGAAATGTTTTTTTTTTTGCCAATTTTTTTATGCAGATTGAATGGGGTATTCAATTATATGCGAAGTTTTAGCCTGAACTATTTCCATTGCACTACGAAAGCTATACACGAAATGGCAACAAAAAGTGAATAAAACCTAAATATAATTATTGTCAATATATTTACGTTCGATAATTTCAAAAAATAATGGAAAATTCAGGTCGTTCGCACCATACGCACAACGCTAGTCAAGACGCGGGGAGCTGGCCAAATTTCCGAGGTGTGTGATGCGAGCATGTGTGGCGAGCGGCCCGCCATGGGCCGACAGACCTGTTTTCATGGTCAAACATTTCGGGAAACACGCGGCATGTATCACTCCAAATACGAGTAGTGCAATCTCAAAATGAACTCTTGAACACAGAAAATACATACACAGACAAGCTAGATCAATTCTGTAAATTAACTTGCAAAAATGTTCTTTCTCCATCGGTGTTTTCTTGGCATTTTTCACGATGTCGAATCCGACCAGTTGACAGTGGCCTGCACTGCATGCTAGCGTGCTATCGGTTGCATAGCTATGGACTGGTTACCGCATTTTCATCATGTCTTCTAAATTGGCCCCTGCGCGGCGCGGCCAGAACCAGTCCTCGCCACGTGATATATATAGTCATCGCGTACGGACATCGTTTATATCGCGAAGCGAATTTGTAAAAATAATGGAGGTTTATTTTGAAAAAAAAAGCGAATGTAAGTAAGAAAACAAATAAATACAAGCATTTTTTTGATGCAAAAGGGTTGTTGAGAGGTATTTTGTGAAGACAGAAAAGACAACAAAATTTTATTTTTATTTATTCAATCTTTTTTTTTTTTTTTTTTTAATTGCCGATAAAATTTTAGGGTCGCAGCCTAAAAATAGGGTCGGTCGGGTAACCGGAAGCAGAACTATTCTTTTTTTTGGCCTAACTCCCCAGGCATTTTTGCAACCTCAACCCTGCAAAATCCTCCAGCAACCACTGTCAATATGCTGAGGCAAAGCCAGTGACATCCTGGAGCAGTGCGGAGGATTTCAAGTATAATCTACAGGGTTCGACCTTAGCAGTGGTCCGCTGGCCAAATGCCAGTTGAATTGCCGGCGGACCAACTGAAACACCTTGCCAAGTGGTCCGGCTGGCCAGCCGAAAAAAAAAACTGTATCAAAAAAATTCTTGTTGTATTTATTTGTTTTCTTACTTACATTCGCTATTTTTTTCAAAAGAAACCTCCGTTACTTTTACTACTTCGCAATTCGATGTCACGGTGAATTCTACCTCCATGCTATAATCATGTGCGTAAATCCAGCTCAATGCGGCAATGACTGGTTCCCGCCGCGCCAATTTAGAAGACATGATGAAAATTCGGTAACTAGTCTGTGCATGGCTATGCGATCGATAGCGCTAGCATGGCTATGCATTGCGCAGGCACGTGCTCTGTCAACTGGTCGGATTCAACATCGTAAAAATGCCAAGAAAACACCGATGGAGAAAGAACAGCAGAGATGAAACTTTTCCGATTTTAATCGGAAATCCGACTTTTTGAATTTTCCAACGAAATTTCCAATTTTTTTTTTGCAGTGTATCCCACAAAATTTGATTATGTAAAGATTTTTTTCACAAAATGTCATTTTATTTCAATCATAATTTCAAAGAAAAGTCGATGGAAATGGCACGTTAAAATCATCGCGAACGTAGTTTTAATCTCTTTCACCAGTCGTTATTGGAGTGTTTCAAAGGTAGAAACACAGGGCATAACACTGATCGGAACCTTCTCCGGCTGGACAAAAGGTTAAACATTGACAGGCGACATGGAAAAATCACTGTGTCGCACGTGCGTGCGAATATGCAATGGTACCAGCGTACGTACTAAGGATGTGACGTTTACACGTGTACACGTGTAAACGAAAAAAAAATCAAATCCGTTTAGAAATTTTCCCAAACGTTTAAACGGAACTCAAATTTCAAAAATGGGACCTTGTATTTTGCGCAATCTACCCTCCAGTTTTATTTACAAAGAATCTACGATGTTTATTTTGTTTAACTAATAAAGAATTAGAAACGCATTTTATAGTTGATCACGTTCCAAGAAGTTTTATTAATACATTGTTCCATGATCAGCAACTGTTTTGTGTGAAATTGATACACAGTGTATACAATTGGTTGTGTTTGATTTTTTCAATACGCCGCTGGGCCGAGATCGATGCCGGGCGGGGATGTCGCCTCTCTTAAGGTTATTCTGATTAAAATACCGAATTTTAAAACAATTCCGAGTCTGTCTTTGAGTCTGTCTTTTTTTCTGTATTTTTCTCTGAATTTGCTTGTATTTGCTGAAATCATCACTTGGTGTGTGCAGTAATCAAACCAATGGCTAGCACTTTCATAATGATTTTAAAACCGGCGAGGAAAAAAAGTTTACCCTGCTCCCCCGTAAGCTACTCAAGTGAAGGCGTTATTTAAAACGATGTATTTTGATGCATTGGGATTATCCCCCCCCCCCCCCAAGTGCTGTAAGGTCCGCCGCTCCCTTAAAAAAATGTACTGCCGCTTCCGTAACAAGGAAATCGATGACGATGATCCAGAATGTGTTTGGTGTTGGCGGGGGTAAAATAAAAACTATTTTTTTGATCTTAGGGCGGGAGCTGAGGGGCGGTGGCATATTACGGGATCTATTATAGGAAGGAAATTGCGTTTTTTTAAAGAGCGATATCAACGTAGATTATTTGCTCGTTTTACGCAAAAGTGCACCCCTCCCCCATGAAAATATATTGTGATACGTGAAAAAAAATCTACCTCTGTAGGAACATTATTAAATGTTGCTATCATTGGCAGAAAAACCTTCCTGTATATAAAAAATTACATCGAAAAATAAAATTGTTGGATATTTATTATTTTTTTTTAACATTTAAATTTGGTTGCCTGACGACCAAAGGATGCATGTAGAACGTAAAATACAGACCCATTGGTAAGGGCACTTTTTTAAAATTCTTGTCAGTTAACATTTTCCCCAACGGCAAGTAATGGTAACGCAGTCGTCAAAAAAAGGCCCCTGTCAAATTGGTTTAGAATAAAATCTGGACAAACAATACTGGCCTTACTGTTCTTCAATCCAGTTTTAAAAAAGACGTGCATTCAATTAATTATTTGGAATATCAACCCCCCGAATAAAAACCAACAACAAACAAAGAAAATACATTTATTTATCATTTATTCATGTACATGTACACGATACAGGCCTTTACAGGGGTGAAATTCCATGTTTATTTCAGTTTCCCTCACTTTTCATATAAACTTTTCCCCGGGCCTTTGAAAAATAAATGCCCAAATAAAATCCAGCTCCGAAAAAGCCCTTCCAGAGAATGATTGACAGCGGCATTGTTCAAATTGATACAATGCCGCTCTCGTTGTTACAAAGTATATGCAGTTGGGTTCAGCTGTAGGCCATCGAACTTTAAATCCTTTGATGACTTGCCGCCAGTAATTGGAAGATTCTTAGATGATAAACAGCGATGATAGTATCTCAGCCAATGAAATGAGCCGGTTCCCGGCAAATAAATACGCCATTGGTTGTTTTCATCACGGGTCCGTCTGCTTTCATGAATATGACGTTCCTTCCACCAAGCGCAACTTCAGGTTGCCTAGAAATAATGTTGCTAGGAGGCTCCCCTGTGATGCCTGGGCTGGGACTGACGGTTGCGTAGCAAGAAATCATATGTGAATATTTTTCTGGCAGCCTGCAGATAACTAGCAGCTCAAGAATGCTGCCGCTTTTGGGAAATTTGTGCAGGCAAAGTTTTTCATATTTTGGAATTTGGATGCAGTTTGCATTCCGTTAAATAAAAGGTGTGGGTTTTTTTTTAAAGAAAATTGGGGCTTAAAAAATATAAATAAACGATCTTCCTCAGGCCTTGACATTTCTTGAGTGTATGTTCATTTGATTCGGCAACACTTGCAGAATGCAGACGATTCTTTTCTTCTTAATTTATTTAGCCTGCAGACTTCAAAAGAACATGGGAAAAAAAGGTGGTTAAAGTGTATACAAGTGTATATAAATGTGACCGCAGTTATGGCACATTATACTGGGACGCAGGCGGCAGTCTTTTTGAAGTCTTGACTAAACGTTTAAACGCTACGGGAAAATTTTGCTAAACGTTTATCAAATTAAACGTAGATTCACATCCTTAGTACGTACCGCGCGCACTACACAGCACCGCACCGTCCGCTAGCACATGGCCGGTCGGGAACGGGTAGCCTTGTGAACGATCCATTGGATAAAATCATTATGTTGTGCGATTTTCGTAGGTTACAGATTTATTGTACAAAATGCAATGCTTTAAAAATCATGATGATTATCTCGAGGATAGCGAAGAGAGCATTAGCGAAACATTTCACTGGCATTTGTTGGAAGAGAAAGACGATAATGCCTGATTTTTCCCCACTTACGAATGCAAGTGGAGTAGTGGAGTTGTGTGGTTGAATCATGGACATGATTCACCATGTTAAAACGGTGCCCTTGTCTTTCGGACTTTTCCCTCGACTTTCTCAAGTAAGAAGTGAACTTCTTTATTGATGACTCCAGTACTCTATCAGTAATTCAGGCATTTTATGCGATGAAAACACTTACCATTTTTTTTCCATCGTAACATTTTGTTTGAATCGAAAATAAAGCAGGAGTTGGTGTCCGCAAATTGGGCATGAAGTGTATTGTACATGCATGTACATGTGTGTAACTGCAGGGCGGCCCAGATTTCGGACACGAAATTTGTTCGGCCTATTTTCCGATTTTTTTGCCATATGCCAGTTTCATCTCTGAGAACATTTTTGCAAGTTAATTCACAGAATTGATCTAGCTTGTCTGTGTATGTATTTTCCGTGTTCAAGAGTTCATTGTGAGATCGCACTTCTCGTATTTGACGTGATACAATCATGGAGGAATAAGAATGCAGCGTGTTTCCCGAAATTTAAAAACAAGGTCTGTTGGCCGCGCCACACAAGCACAGTGCATCACACACTTCAGAGTTTTGGCCAGCTTCCCGTCTTGACTAGCGTTGTGCATATGGTGCGAAAGACCTGAATTTTCCATTATTTTTTACGAATTATCGAATGTAACAATATTTACAATAATTAAGGTAGGTTTTATTCACTTTTTGTGGCCATCATTTTGTGTATAGCTTTTGTAGTGCAATGAAAACAAAACGGGCTAAAACTTCGCATACTGAGGCCAATACCCCCATTCAATCTGCATAAAAAAAAAATTGGCAAAAAACACAAAAAAATTCGACAGACCGACCCTATTTTTAAAAGGCATGTAATCTGAAGGCTGAAGCAGAACTAATTTTTTTTTTGAGGCCTCAGATCATGGAGGAAGAAAATAGACCTCTATTGCTCAGGTGACATGATGACATGGGTGTTGACTATAGTCTAGTTATGACGGACCAGTCAAAAAGCTGGCGGACCAGTCAAAAACCTGGCGGACCAGTCAAAATTCTAGCCAACTGGTTCGGCTGGCCAGTCAAAAAAAAAGTTAAGGGCAACCCCTGAATCTAGGACTAAACTGATGCAAGGCTGAGCATAAACAACACAAGGTCCGGCCAAAGACCTTGACACAGTGCATCCTCCAGCCACACAATTTACCACATAGCCTCAATCCTGCAAAATCCTCCATTTTGCAAAGATGATTTTGGAGGATTTGGGAAGGTTAGGGTTCATACATCAACAAGCACCCTAGGACTGACACTGACACATTGCAAATTGCCAAGATACAGCTAGATAACGCTGTCCATAGGGAATTCAGTGATGGTGTTATTGGGGTGGCCTGTTTCAATCCATTTTAACATTCGTAATGTGAAGACCACAAATGATACATCAGAAATAACAAACACCAACCACTAGTGAAGGGTGTTACATCCGTTGGCTAGAGTCGCTGATTGAAGTAATATATCCACCAAATAGAGTCACTTTTTGCAAAAGTAATACTGTTTCTAGGACACGGGGTCTGTAATAGACAATCAACCATGCAGACACGTAAAATCCTAGACTTGATGTCCCTACATTTTAAAAAAATGCCATGACCTATAGGGTAAAGGTCACACCACCGAATGTCATTTGTAGGTTAGTTCAAAGGTACAATTATCAGGACACACTGATACAGTTAAGCTAAGAGGAACTGTAGTATTTAAGCCAAACCATCACACATGCTGCAAAACCTGGTTTGGGAGTATTTTGAGGGAATTCCTACTGCAGGGCTTAGACGCTATTTATTTGACACGGAGCTTGATTGTGCCTATTTTCTAAAGTCTGTGTCATTTGTTTCCTGCACGGAGCTGGATTTCTGATGATAGAGAAAGATTCTGAGCACAATACCTAGCCTGTTAGGCGTAAAGAACTGCAGGAGAATTCCACACATTCTAAATGATACAAGCTAACATTTTTTTTGAGGGGGTGGGGGCAGGCAATCAAACTGAGTTTATGCTGACCATATCAATTTAATTCAAAATGATTTGTCCAATTCTGGCCAAAGAAAAGAGAAGGGAACGAGTCAGCAGTAGGCAATTCTAATGAATTATCCAAACTACTGGTACTATGGTTACAGCTGATTTATTTGTTTGCACTCTCCAGGCTTAGACCTTTGTTTTTGTGTGTGCTTCTGTTGGATTCAGAAAGGTAGCTAATCTGAAGTATTTGGGTCAAGTGGACATGATCTGTACTTACTGCTTTATTGTACTGCATGATCCCTAGTGTAGGAAACACCCAATTGCATGCTGCAGGAAGAATCTCACTGTCTGCAAAGTTAACAAACATCTGAACCTGGGACTGGCTTAAGACATCCTCTCCCCGTAGCTGACTGTTAGCCACTGCAAATAGACAAAAAAACAACAAATTTGGTGAGATTCAAAACTGGTTCTGAGCCAATATACATTTATGTGCTTGTCCTGTGAACAGTTAAAAGTACATGTACATTTGCATGTCAGTTGGCTCTGATGGCTGGCAAACATTTAGCATGCCATGTTTTGCAAAGAAAATTGGTCATAAAACTTGTCACAAGTATATACGCATGGCATAATATGGTGACTGTTTTATGCATTTAATCTGTGTATGGTTCAAAGTCGTCTAATATCCAGCAAAGAGTCGTCATATTATCTCTTGAATATTTAATACATAAAACAAAATGGCAGATATATAACCTTCTTTGAAAGAAAAACAAGCTAGCAATGGACGGTGATTTGATTTAAACTTTAATTAATGTATATTTACATAAATTGGAATGGCCAAACAAAATCAACTAGACTAGAGCCACCTAAAGGAGCATCAATTGTAAATTTCTTCTCTATAAAAATAGGAACATATTCCTGCAAGCAATCTCTTATCACACAAATGGCTGCAATATGGGAAAAAAGGTAATAAACGTACCATAGTTGGCAATAGCGTTGGATTCTGAAAGGCACACACCATCATTTCCCTCAAAAGCTGGAACCTGCATTTCAAAAGAAATTAAGACATTAATTAAGTTTGTAATTTGAACAAACATGAGGTTTTTCTGTCTAATTAACAGTTTCTCTTCATATGAGGGACTGGGTCAATATGTCTTGAGGGTCAGTCAGCAACAACAGTGTTCAAGTTGAATTGTTACTTCACATTTTCCATAAGATTTCTTATTTGAAATTGTCAGCACAGGGTGCCCTCATGAGTGGATACGTCACCAAAGTTCTTGCCCTTAATGAGTGATACTTTCATCTCGCTTCACCTGTCACTGCTCTCTTCATGTACCATATTCAAGATACAGTGTGTAATGATTTAAGGCTTCTCACAGTAATGCCATCTTTTTCATTTATAATTTTACTTATTTTCTCCAAAACTGTTTAGCTGTATTGTCCAAGAAAAGCAAAGCATGTTGAATTGAGGCAGGCCTGAGGATGAAACCAAACCTAAACCCTGTTATGAACAGGGATATTTAGAACTTATCGGAATTTATCTTCCTTTGAAATTCAGAGCAACTGTGGGAAGGTGCTACTGCTAGACAGAGGTTTAGCAGTAGCAGGGCCCCCTGAATCTGTTGCGTGCAAAACGTTTTGCAGGCAATGGATTCAGGAGACCATGCGTGACCTTGCAGAAATTTTAATAAACCAAAAGTTCTACACATTCGTATCGGGCTCCATTTTTCCCTCAAGATTTCTTGGGCGTGACAGATCCTGTGCCACCAGAAGTTCTTGGGTAACCTCTTATGTAAGTATGGCACATGCAGGTGCTCGTTAAGTTTCAGGACTGTAAATGGAATGTCTTTCATCCGGGATTTCGAAAGTCCAGACATGGCAACAACACATGGCTATGTATATGGCCATGTTTACAGAATTTTCTATAATCATGCTAATGCCCTGCAGGCGTAGACCCTGTAACTGGGGCACTAAACACTTTTTTTCCAAGTTTGTATTTAGTGGGTTGTACTAGCGTATATCGCCCCAGCAACTTTAAACCAAAATAACTTATGACTGGTATTTAACTTGATTAAATGTGGCCAGTTTTGATCGTCACTGTGCACACTTTCTGTTGCAACCTGACGCCACTTTTTCCTTCATATATCATCTCAATGAAGGTCAGTCATTGCAAAAATGATAAGACATGAATCTGGGACTGAGAAACATTTCCAATTTTGTTAAAAAATACTTAGAACAATGTTCTTGACTCTCCATAGACTTTGTACACAACCGCTGAAGTGGCGTCAGGTTGCAACATTTTATCCTATCCGGCAAAAGCCATACCGCATGCACGTACATCATACCGTACGTACATCATACCATACGGCGCGGTATGCGGTAGCGGTCCACGCTGGCGCGGTGCGCGACAGTGGAACAAAACTGGGCAAATTACTGACTCTATTTCAAGTCTACCTGTCCTGCCGCGCCGTAACTATTGCATGTAGCTGCAATTATGGAAGTCAAATTCTGTCGCGTTGCACTGAGCCAAAACTATTGCTTTCAGGTCCAGTTTGGGGCAATTTTTGAAGATAGTGGATATATTGCAGGCGGCAATCCCTATCAACAGAAGGCGCTGTACTCTCTAAGATAGGGCTGAATTGTAAGATATATTAAATTACCACCAACGGTTGTGTAGCACCTGTGGCCTAGTGGATAAGCAACGGATCTCATGAGCGGGAAGATCCGGGTTTGATCCTCGCTGGCGAAATATTTAAGGTTTTTCCCCCATCCCAAAAAATAAGAATATTCTTCTTTTATTATTTAAACATGTCTCAAACATTTTATTGCAGAGTATTACATTTTCTTTTTCAGATTTGTGGCTCTGGAGGATTTTTTTTTAAGGGAAATAAAGGCCGAAATTGTAAAATGGTCTGATATCTATCTTGTGAATACGAAGTTACAACGATAATATTGGCATGGAGCCAGACTAAAATTTGTCACCGGAAAATGTCTAAGTAAAAAAAAAACCAGTAACTGGGCATGTTCAGTGCATATCCGGCAAGCTAACGTTTACTAAAGGTTTGCCGTCTCCGGCTTAAAATCCACTGCCATATTTGAATCTTATTTTGACTGTTTTTACTTACTAACATATCGCTCTTTCCATTTTTGTGATTTGATTGAAAAGGCAAAAGCCCCTAATATATATGTGAAAAATCAGTCTGAAGTTGAGTCCTATTTTGAGATGGACTATTTCTGCTTAAATTCAGGCGATGTTTTCCCCAGTATTTTGCATGCATTATTGTTGACGTATGTAAATTATGATGACGATGAATAATTTAACATGTGGAAATCGCCCGTAATACCTTCTGATCAGCATAAACCCGACGAGCGATCATCGGGTTTAGAAAAAATGTCGTTCACTGTTGCTACCCCTAGAACTATGGGTATTACACGTAATACCCATACATGTAGGTAGGCATATCAATGCGAACGTGCTGTATACTCCACGAATAATATAGAAGTGAGTTTTGGAGCGGCCACTATATATTTGTACTCCAAGACTATGCCCAGTACTTCTTGACATACTCTTGTTCTGTCTGCTAAAAGTGTAAGGGTTGAATTAATCCTGATGGTGCCAAAAAAATGATGAAAACAGTCCCTTTTCATACCGAAGCTACAGCTTGAGTTTTAACGTGCATGCTCGCAAAACGTTGTTGGCGTGACGTCACAGTCTTTTGGTCTGGGAACCGACCACAGACACCGTCTTTATAGTGCATATCGCGGGCGGCGTCAAACGGGCCACTCACGAGGCCACGTGATAAACACTGCGGATAATTTGGTATCACACTGACGCTCTGGGCACTCCTCATGTCCAAATCGTAAGTACGGAAAGGGACTGCTTTTATCATTTTTTTTGGCACCATCCGGATCGATTCAACCCTTACACTTTTAGCGGACAGAACGTGAGTATGTCAAGAAGTACTGGGCACAGCGGCCACTCCAAAACTCACTTGCATATTATTTGTGGAGTATACAGCATGTTCGCGTTGATATGCCTACCTATGGGTATTACGTGTAATACCCATAGTTCTAGGGGTACACTGTAAGTCTGTTGAGTGACAGCTGCGTAGATCGATGTCTGCCGGTTCATGTGCAGTCCTAGTCCGAGTAACTTGGACCCAACTTATCGCCTTTTTAACATTCGGACATGGTCTGGCGATTAGTAGGGTCCAAGCTAATCCTGATATGCCGAGCAACACAATTCTGTCATTGACCAAAAACAGTCAGGAACTAAGGCGGATTTTATGGACGGAAACCAGTTCAAGCTAGTTCCCGACTCCCTTTTATCGTTCGAAATGCATTTGTGTTTACAAACGTGATCCAGTCTACTCATTATCATAATCGCGAGGGGAGCTCTCGGAATTGAACGGGAAATTTCACTTTTCATCCGGATCGTAATAAAAACGACTATTGTGTCTGTCATGAAATGAGTACAAAAGGTACTTTTGAGAGCTGCTTTTCAGGTCCTGTTTCGACCCGAACGTGCAATTTGTGTAACAGTCGTCGTTGGGGGCAGCAAACAAAACATAGTAAATCGTGACGTAATAAACAGGACTCGTTTATACTATACGCTGCATCGGGAGTCCTGTTTATTACGTCACGATTTACTGTGTTTTGTTTGCTGCCCCCCCAACGACGACATTTACACAAACTGCACGTTCGGGTCGAAACAGGACCTGAAAAAGCAGCTCTCAAAAGTACCTTTTGTACTCATTACATGACAGACACAATAGTCGTTTTTATTTCATCACACCTTAGGCTACATATACCCGAAAAATGACGGAAATGTCTTCGAGCATTCCACAACCTCTTTAATTATCGATGTCTACTTGTACCTCAGGTGGCGTATCTAGTAATTTGAAGGCCGTTTTGAGGGTGAAATCTGATGTTTTGTTGGGCAATGTTGGGTTTTTGGGTCAATGACAGAATTGTGTTGCTCGGCATATAAGGATTAGCTTAGACCCTACTAATCACCAGACCATGTCCGAATGTTAAATTCGGACCAGATTTTACCTCGAATTTCGTTTAAATGCCAGATTTGGCGTAAAAGCAGATTTCAACATGTTCAAGAAAGCTTGATATGTGAGTACTTATCACACAGTAGGCCCTAAAGCAATGTTCAGTTTGTCACGGAAGGACGATTTCGCTTGGTTCGAAATGGTACAAGAGCGTGGCGTAGTTTAGTCCCATAAATGTGACTGAAATACTGGACTACCTCCGTATATCAGTCACAGAGCCACGTACGGCCTGTGAGCGGAGCGTCACGTTGCTAGGGGAGCCGAAAATTAATTAAAGATCGAAATTATTTTGTAAGCAGAAAATCAACCCAGCTATAGTACGACTGCTAAATAGCACAAAATCGTTAAATTCGGTACCTTCAGAGGTCTAGTTATCCAAAAATCATGGTAATTCGTCAAAGAATGCAGACGGTTTTGAGCAAGCATGGCGTCGCTGATATGTTAACCGGCCACCCTTATAATAGCCAAGAGGCCAAAGGGGTCAGGGAACCAAACAAGAGCTTTAATCATCTACTGATGTCAACTTTGGCAAAGCGCACCGCGGCTGTTGCCTGTCATTCCAAAATCATTGGCGCTCTGTGAAGTGCCCGGATGCAATACGCAACCGCGGATGAAGAGCGCACACAAGAGGGCGCGCTTCACTGCAGAGGGCTTCAAAGATTTTGGAATGACAGGTATCAGCCGCGGTGCGCTTTGCCAAAGTTGACGCACGCTAAGTAGATGATTAAAGCTCTTGTTTGGTTCCCTGACCCCTTCGGCCTCTCGACTATTATTAGGGTGTCCGGGAAACATTATCAACAACGCCATGCTTGCTCAAAACCGTCTGCATTCTTTGACGAATTATCATGATTTTTGGATAACTAGACCTCTGAAGGTACCGAATTCAATGATTTTGTGCTATTTAGCAGTCATATTATAGCTGGGTTGATAAAAGTGCTGACAAAATAATTTCGATCTTAAATTAATTTTCGGCTCCCCTAGCAACGGGACGCTCCGCTCACAGGCCGTACGTGGCTCTGTGACTGATATACGGAGGTAGTCCAGTATTTCAGTCAAATTATGGGACTAGGCGTAGTGTACAAGCCACGTTCACGGGTCTATGTGGGGTCTAGCCCCATAAATGTGGCCAATTTACTGGACTACATTGTACCTCCGTAAACATAGGCCACACATCCACATGTACAAAAACGTGTCGCACTTTGCCAAATGTTGATTTTCACATTTAGCCTTTAGGGTTAGTTTGTAGGTTTTTTTGGCTTTAGAAGCATACTCACCCTCTTTATAGGCTAATCAGAAAGTGCTGCCTTTTTCAGATGTCTATTTTTCGTGAAATTTCCAGATTCATAATTAATTGCACACGTTTGCGTATCAAAATTTCAACATGAAATTTCACAAAAATTAGACATCTGAAAAGGCAGCACTTTCTGATTAGCCTATAAAGAGGGCGAGTATGCTTCTAAAGCCAAAAAAACCTACAAACTAAGCCTAAATGTGAAAATCAAAATTTGACAAAGTGCGACACGTTTTTGTACATGTGGAAGTGTGGCCTACATGGCCTATGTTTACGGAGCCGGAGGTAGTCCAGTAAAATTAAATAGGCCACATTTATGGGGCTATGTGGGGTCATGATTTGGGGATAAAGTTTATATTTCCCATCTGATCATTTTTCTCGGAATTTCACCTTTCCCAACGGGAATTTGCTGAGGAACTCTGGAGACTTGTTAGTCTCCCCAAACTTGAAGCCCGGTGGATCTTGAACAAGGGAGATCTTGGCACCACTGTATTGGGCAGCGATCAAGATCTTAAATGCCCGAAAGTTGTCGGGGTAGGTGTAGAGTTTCTGAAAGAAAACCAAGAAAAAAATAACTTCTTTGAAAAGATTGATTGTTGCAGATTTAGAAATGTCTCAAAAGATCGCAATGAAGTAAAGGATGGATGAGATATATAATGATTATTTTTTGGTACATGTGGAGCCTCACCCCAGCGGCCATGTTGCCTGATGAAGAGGTCGAAGATCAGCTGCAACGTTTCACCGGTCAACAGAGGGCGTTTGGCTCTGACATGTCGTCCATATGTCGTCAGACCGTGTGCGCACGTGTTTTTTTATTTTATTTTAACCAGCATTACAATGGAACTGGAAGAACTGTCATTGACTTACGGCGATGGCGACTGAAAATGCCGGAAAACGACAAATGCCTTTTTACAGTGGAGACAGACAGTTGGCTCGACGTGTACAAGAGGTTTGTTGTGGGGGTTATCCATTCGTGTTTTTTATACAGCCTTCCCGGTTATCATGGCTGTAGTGTAGTGTAGTGCAGTACAGTCGTTTTCCTATCATGCCTATAGTCCCATAAACATTGATAAAATAAAATGTGGCCAATTTAAAAGCCACACTTCCACCATGTACAAAATCATGTAGAAGTAGAACTTTGTCGAATTTTGATTTTCACATTTAGGTTTAGTTTGTAGTTTATTTTTGCTTTTTAGAAGCATAATCACCCTCTTTATAACTTAAGTTTATAGGCTAGTCAGAAAGTGCTGCCTTTTTCAGATGTCTGTTGTGAAATTTCCAGATTTGTTTGTAGTCCGAGTAACTTGGATACGGTGGCTGATTTCCGCCAAGAATACATTTTTTTTTATTACGGCGTTATAACGCGATAAATAATTTTATCGCGTTATAACGCCGTATTATCGCGTTATAACGCGCTATTATCGCGTTATAACGCGCTAATTTATCGCGTTATAACGCGCTAATTTATCGCGTTATAACGCACTAATTTATCGCGTTATAACGCCCTAATTTATCGCGTTATAACGCCCTAATTTATCGCGTTATAACGCCCTAATTTAACGCGTTATAACGCGCTATTATCGTCCTTACATTGTACTGTTTAAGTGATTTTGAACGGGAACCTCGTATTTTTCGCCATGCACCGTTCTTCTGAATTCTCACAACAACGCGATCATGTTATTACAGCCTTTATTGCCACCGCATCGCCACGGCATCGTCACTCCTTGTCATTCTCATCCTCATAGAATGGTTAGTATTGTAACCTAACCGTGAACATAATTTTTCCAATTTAAACTAGCGCACTTTGTACTTGAAGATGGATGACATGGATGAACTGATCAAGAAATATTTTAAACTTGGATATTCTCAAGTGGAAATTGCGGCAACTTTAACGTCCCGTTATAACATCAATCTGAGTGTTCGTCAGCTGCAAAGAGAACTTCAGCGCCTGGAGTTATATCGTCATAAAAATCAAACTGACATGGCCCAAATAAGAAGATTTATCGAAAGGCAACTGCAGGCATCGGGCGAATTACATGGCTATCATTGGATGCATCACAAGTTATTACAAGCAGGCATGGTTGCCAGCAGAGAAACTGTGAGAAGGACGTTGTTGGAGCTTGACCCAGATGGGGTAAATCTTCGAAAGAGACGGCGATTAGTACGTCGTCGATATTCTGGCCGCGGACCTAATTTTGTGTGGCATTTGGACGCGATGGACAAACTGAAACCGTTCGGTATTGGGATCAGTGGCTGTATCGATGGTTTCTCCAGGAAAATAATTTGGCTAGAGGAAAACAGCACAACCAACGACCCTGAGTACATCGGGGGCTTCTTCTTGAAGGCGGTGGATAGACTTGGAGGATGTCCCACCCTCGTCCGGAGTGATAGGGGAACGGAAAACGGACATGTGGGAGCATTCCAGAGGTTTCTAAGACATCACGACGATGCACTTGGTGGCGATAAGAGCTACCTAACTGGTCGAAGTACAGCGAATCAGCGAATAGAGTCCTGGTGGGGGCAGCTTAGAAAGCAATGCACGGAGTTTTGGAGGACTCTTTTTCGGTGGCTGCTAGAAGAAGGCTTCTTCACAGGAGATGTGATGGACAAAGAACTTATCCAATTTGTCTTCATGAAACACATCCAGGTGAGAAAATGTCATCGACCACATTTTCAGCATGTAAAATTAAAAGTCCACTGATGAATGTATAATTCCACCCCTCTGTGGGTGTGCCAGACAGTTCCTTGCGTTGAACCTGGTATTTTATTTCTAATGTATTCCTGAAGGTGATATCCATGAACCTGGATCCGCCTTTGTATATACCAAAAGAGTGTACATTGTGATGGGTGTTATGTTCTTGTACATTTAGAATGGAGTTCAATCGTCGATTATGGTTTAATTAATCAAGAATGTCTTACGCCTTAGTCTGCACATCTTTTGCAGGGTGATCTCGACGCAGTTGCAGAGGTGTGGGATGGACACTTGATCAGGAAATCGAAGCAAGAGCATGTGACCCATGGACGACCGCTGCTCATGTTCCAGCTACCTGAGGTCTATGGAACCAGGGATCATCTCAAACCCGTGGAACAAGAGAGGATTGACTTGTGCAGAGAAGAATGCAAATTCAAGGATCGATTTCCATGTGATCGGGAGTTATTTGAATACTGTTGTCAATCACTCATTACCAACGGATGGGAAGATCCTAGAAATCCTGAAGCTGCGATGAACTTGTACATTAACCTCAGGGAACATGTTAGAAGAGAAATCGGTGTTTAAAGTGCTTGTGGGATGAAGTTGAAAGGGCTTGTGAGACAAAACAGTACGGTACCTACCCGAAGTAGCCTCAATTGCAGTGTATGCTAAAATTAAACGACACGCGAATGCTACTATAAAGGCGAACCATGTATGTACTTGTACATGTTGCCTCACACAACCAACTTGAGCCCATTGATTATTATATATACATGTACAATGTAATAGCAAAATAAAGAAACACAAGATCCTGCACTGAACTTTATCTTGTGTATAGGCCCTACAAAGGAAAGACAGTGGGTTGGCGTAGAGGTAACCCCTGGTCATGTAGAAATGACACTGCGAGGTTTTAGTCCAAAATAGGACTTAGGCCTACATCAACAGTATATTTTCGGCTGAGAGCTATCGAGGTTTAAATACATTTGTAACAGATTTGAGATAAAAAGGAAGCTTTGAATCTCTTGGAAATAAGTTTACAGGTTTACAAATTATTTACAAAGTGTTTTAAGAATAAATTATATGCTTGTGTTTAACAGATCCAGTCTTTTGTTATTGTTTATGTATGATTTATCAACGATTTTATGATTGAGGACCTCTTGTCTCTTTCTGAAATTGGAATGTCACTATATGGACCAGGCTAGCTCTGAGCTGGCGCATTTGCATAATGGATCGAGAAACCCTGTTTCTGTGGACAGTTTCTGTTCACTTCAGTACTACCCCTCGGCTGTTTGTCGATTTTGTTATTGTAAACGTTTTATCAACCACTTTTTATATTTTACCTCCCTACGTCGTTAACAGCTTTCAAGTCCCTTTGTTGTGCCGGATTAAACTAACACTGAGCACAAAATTCTTATTTGATGGAAATAGCAAAATACAGTGAAGACAATGCCCGGTGAGCTGGAATGTCTATAACGCCGTTTTAATCTTATCTTCAACATGTATCTGACTTTGTTAAGAAAGTTACCAAATGGTCAGATATATGTGTCACGCCCCAACTATCGCATCGGTCCCAACTATAGTTGGGACTGTCCCAACTATAGTGCGGCAGTTGGGTCGGCCCAACTATAGTTAGGACTGGAGTTGCGCCGGATGCTTCATGCTTGACAGATCTTGTTGGATTAAATGTTCCGCGGCGCTGGCACCGTGTATTCGTCGTGCATGCATGCCGCAAGGCTGGCCGGTCACGTGGTACTGCCTAGTTGGATGAGTTGTCCAGCTGCTGGGTTGATTGTCCAGCAACATTTTGCAAAATTCAAAGATTGCCATGGCCGGTCAACTATAGATGGGCCCCACCCATAGCTAATGTCAAAGGTCCCAAGTAAAGTCGGACAGTATGTAACAGAGCTGTACATGGGCGTCGCCAGGACTTTTTCTAGAGGGGGGCAAAAAAAGATTTTGCCAAAAAATGCTTGTATTTCTCAACACATTCTCGATTTATCAGTTTTAGAGGGGGGCAGGGACATTCCCCCCCCCCCCCCAACTCATTAAATTTACACCACTTTGTCTTCGCGCCTCTTTTTCTTTTCTTTTCTTTTCTTTTTTTTCTTCCTTTTTTTTTTTTTTTGGGCTTTTCCAGGGGGGGGGCAAGTGCCCCCCCCCTTGCCCCCCCCCCCTCGCGACGCCCATGGAGCTGTAGGGAATGTTTTATAGTCGTACATCAATGTAAACTATAGTTGGGACCGCCAAATAAAAATATTGCGGTGGCCCAACTACAGATGGTCCCCACCCATAGATAATTTCATTGGTACAAGTAAAGTCAGATGTGTATTAGAGTTGTAGGGAATGTTTTATAATCGTACAACAATGTACACTATAGTTGGGACACCGCAAAATAAAAAGATCGGAGTGGCCCAACTATAGATGGGCCAGCCCAACAGTGGAACTTACAGTTGGGACCGTCCCAACTATAGTTGGGCCAGCCCAACTGTGGAACTACAGTTGGGACAGGCCCAACTATAGTTGGGACAGGCCCAACTATAGTTGGGACCGATGCGATAGTTGGGGCGTGACACATGCTTCAAAACAATAACACGCTTCACCTTGACACTCCTGAGATGAAGAAAACAGCAAACACTACAAAGTAACTTGAATATACTAACAAGGGTAACTTTAAATAACGTACATATCTGAAAACATGCATGCGTAATAATTAAACTATATAACAATTAACAATCGCTTTACAGATAGGTCAGTGATGCTCTTGCTGGTTGGAGTTTCTCTTATCCAGAGCTTTAACAAAAGGGTGGCTTACCAAAGTGGTCTAAATCATAAAGGCTAATTGAGCAGGAGGCGCTTACTTAGGCCTGCTGCATGATAACAAAGAGGTGGCTACATGTGGCTGCCGGTGAAAAACCTCTTACTTTTTTAGTAACTATACATTGCTCGATAAAATATCAAGACCGTAAATCTCCCCCAAAATTATCCTCAGCCCTCTAACCAACTTCGAGACTGGTGCTTGGAGGGGTGTATGGTCGGAGGCTGAGCATAATTTTTTTTGAGATTTACTGTCTGCTTAGCAATCTATAGTAACCCAAAAAGTAATATAGATATATAAAAACTACATGCATGCCATGTGCAGCTAATGTAGCTATGACCCAAACATATTATACCTCTATAAACTATTGTAAGGCTTTTAAGCAAGACTGGTGCTTGGAGGGGTATATGGTCAGAGGCTGAGCATATTTTTTTTTAGATTTACTGTCTGCTTAGCAATCTATAGTAACCAAAAAAGTAATATAGTAACCAAAAAAGTAATATAGATATATAAAAACTACATGCATGCCATGTGCAGCTAATGTAGCTATGACCCAAACTTATTATACCTCTATATATAAACTATTGTAAGGCTTTTGAGCAAGATGCAATATTTTTAGCAGGTCCTGCATGACTTCTGCAGGAACCTCAATACCAGGCTCTGCAAGGTCGTCAAACATTATTTAAGCATAGTATCAGTCACAAAGATGAACGACAAACGTCAGGGTTCTCAAAATGGAAAAAGACCTCATACTAAGTCCATCCTATCAGCAGGGTTACATATTTTTTTGAAAACATTAACACACTTCAGCTTGAAACTCTTGTGAAGAAAACAGAAAACAACTTTCAATAACGTACATATGCTAAGTCTATATCCTATCAGATAGGGTCAAATACGGGGAGTATATTTCTTTCAAAAGAATACACTTCAACTTGAAACTCTCATAAAGAAAACAGAAAACACTTTTAAACTGGAGTAATGTGTAAGTTTCAGTAACGTACATTATGCTTAAGTCAATCCTATCAGATAGGGTCAGATATGGTCATTCTATGGCAATGATCACCAATAATTCAAATAACCTGTGCGCCAATTGCACCCAAAAGACTCATGTACTGATGATGGCGCCGCAATAGCGCGTTATAACGCGATAAATTACGGCGTTATAACGCGATAATAGCGCGTTATAACGCGATAATAGCGCGTTATAACGCGATAATAGCGCGTTATAACGCGATAATAGCGCGTTATAACGCGATAATAGCGCGTTATAACGCGATAATACGGCGTTATAACGCGATAATTTATGGCGTTATAACGCGATAATTTATGGCGTTATAACGCCGTAATAAATAAAAAAAATTTATTCTTGGCGGAAATCAGCCACCGTACTTGGACCCAACTTATCGCCTTTTTTATTTAACATTTGGACATGGTCTGGCGATAGTGGGGTCCAAGCTAATACCGCGACCTGGACAACATCATCCTGTCACTGTCCCAAAAACCAACATTTTCCAACAAAAAACATCAGATTTCACCTTCAAAACGGCCTCCAAATTACTAGATATGTCACCTGAGGTACAAGTAGACATCGATAATTAAGATGGTTGTACTGAAGTTTACTTACGATCCGGAAAAAAGTGAAATTTTCCGTTCATTTCGGAGAGCTCCCCTCGCGATCTTGAACACGTTAAATTTCCGATCGTGTTTAATGTTTGAACGACGCGATTTCTTCTACATGCCCAGCGTACATTCGATGGTCCCCGTATCCCGAGTGCGATTCCGTTACCAAGCGCGCGCGATGCATCGATTATGATAATGATCACGTTTGTTAACACATACATGTGCATTTCGAACTGTAAAAGGGAATCGGGAATCAGCTTGAACTGGTACCCGCCATAAAAGCTGCGCTAGTTCCCGACTCCCCTATTATCGTTTGAAATGCACATGTGTTTACAAACGTGATCCAGTCTACTCATTATCATAATCGATGCATCGCGCGCACTCGGTAACGGAATCGCACTCGGGATACGGGGACCAGTTGATTTTAATCATGTGCATCAATCCGTGTTTTTTTCCCAAATTTTTCGCGGTTGCTACAACAGCGATCTCTATTGACCTATCGCCGTTTGCGAGTTAGCCACGCCCCTTAGACAACCCTGTGGAGTTTTTGTACACTCAGTTTTGTTTGTCTCAGATTTTGCGCATTCTGCGTCCATTTGTTTATCATGTAATTGGACAATATTTCACAACCTGCGTTGACATGATTCTAACGTGATTCTACTGCTATAGGTCAATAGCCGCACCAACTCAAATTTTTGCACCAAGGAGCACTAAGGAATGGGGAAATTGCACAAAGGCAAGTGATGGAGGACACCAAGGTTTATGAGGACACAAAAACACAAAATGGTACCCTTTGTGTCTGTACAATCCAAGCTTGAAAAAAACAAAAAAAAGCAACAAAAAAAAGCCACGTGGCCACATCAATTCCGGAACTTTGGTCTGAATCAGAGACAGACTATTTTTTTTTTTGCCTAGTGCCTTTTTTTACTGCAATTGTAGGCTGAATCTTCATTGTGGATCGTTATTTTCTTCAAGGACCTGTGTAGTGATTATGTTGGGCAAGGTTTGGGTGAGTCCCTGGTGGAATAAGTGTGTGACGGGGACAAAATGGCACTTTTTCTAATTCAATTGTTATATCTGCTCGTCAATGTTGACGATTCCCTCCAGCCCTATATGACAAGTTTTGACAACCCAATGATAAAATATAGGGCTAAGGTAACTCCAGCTAGCTGTTGTGTAGTGTCTTTTGAAAGTATCCTGACACCACTGCTTTGATTGCGTACAAAGTCTATGGAGACTTGAGTGCATTTTCAAAGTATTTTCTAACATTGTTATTTTCTAACATTCTTTTGCAATGACTGACATTCATTGATATAATGACAAACGCGGCGTCTTGATGCAACATTCTTTCTAGACCCTAGCCCCACTTGAGTTGTGTGGCCTCCGTATTGCTGCGCTAAGTTCGGCGTAGTTTTGGCCAAAGACGTCAGCTCATAAGTTGCATTGTTGTGTAGCGCCCTCGCATAATTGTTTTTTTTACTTTCTCTCAGTAACGTCTTGTTCATTTCGTAGCAATGGGGGTGGGGCCACTATGTAAATAAGACCGTCTGTATAAATTCGTACAAATACAGAACTTTCCTTTTTATAATTCCATGTTTGATCACCGCAGGTGCAGCGCGTATGTTTACAACCGTCAGGCGAGCCGTCCTTTCCTCGATCGCTGATTGGTTCCCTAGGAAAGAAAACAAAGAAAAAGTTAAGCCGCTGAAACGAAATGGCCAAGACGTTAGTGCGAGTAGGCCGCTGGTCTAATTGTTGTGCCATTAGAGGGCGCACTATGCACCGTCCCCTATCGATCACTGGCGTCTTGGGCCAAGACTATGTTTTGCCACACGTGTGGTTCACCAATCTACTGAGGAGTTTGTCCGAAAAAAACGCACATTATTTTACATACCACTGCAAATGGTTGTATTCTATGATGTCTCAACTTTTGCCTGGTTTGAGACCTGCCACTTACATGTACAGTCCCAATTTTAAGGAGCACTAATGTGTTCAGTACTTACATAAAAGTTTATTTCTCAAACTTCCAGCATGTCCAGTGGCATAGGATCTGTCATTCCAAAGAAATGTTCAGGGTATAAATGGAGCCCGTACGGACGTGTAGAAAATCTGGTTGTTGTGCAGAATGCAGCTGTGCCGGTGTAGTGTGAATTTAGAACTATGAAATGCTGACTTACTGGTAGTATTGCGCATGCTGTGTGCATTGTGAACGTTCAACCAATAAAATGGTAAGGGCTCCGGATTTCAAAGGAGTAAAAATTTGTGTTTTAGACCAGCCAGCCGGCCGTTAAATACCGGCCACAATATTTTCACATCGAAAAGTTTATTCAAGTACTCCCCCCTCCAAAAAAATGTATTGCCAACAAATGAATCGTAAGTAAGTAAATTCAAATGCACTTGATACTTTTTGACTTGTAATATATCCTTGCAGCATTTGGACAGCTTCCCAGCAGGATGTTATGTAAATCCTGTGCTCGTTGCCGATGATCTACAACAAACTTACAGGTACGTCACATCCCTACCCAAGCTTTCTTCCTCATCTTTCAATGTTATTGGGGGTTTGGGGGCTGAATTTGTTAAAAACAATATTTCAAGTGCTATTAATTTCAGTGCATCATAGGATAACACAATAGACACAAAACAATAGACTTGATCAAACCAAACTACATGTACCGTATTCATAGATGAATGACAGATCTGTCTAGTTATTTTGTTACATCTGCCGTTTTGTCAAGAAATTATTCACAACCTTAGAGTTAAATGAATGACAGTCTTGGAATACAAAACCATGATACATGTACCTGAAACATTTCAAAGCCGACATGCAAGTTTTCTATTTCTATAAATGGAAGCAATATGGCATACAAATTAACCTGAAATTTACCTGAAAACAAGCAAGATTTGACAACAATATTTTGTGTGGAAGTCACCCACTACAATGCTGATAGCCACTCGGTGTAAACGGCTTTTTAGAAAAGTTTAGGAGGAGAATTAAAAGAAAGCAAAGTAGAGATTCACTGAGTTAGAAAGACACAAATTAATAAAAGCAAGCCTTAGGCAATGAGTACCATAAAGGTGCTACACATGGGGAAAAAGCTACTTGCACAACTCTTAGTTCTCGACTGGGGGGGGGGGGGGGGGGGGGGGGGGGGGGGGGGTTAGAGTATGTGAGTGTGAAGAGCCTGCTAGCTGAGTCTTCCACTCGTACACATTAATGGGGGAACCAAAGTTGAAAACAGGCTACGGGAAGCAACTGCCCTACAGTGTGATAATGATTCTAAACAGCCTCACTCCTCACCAACTAGGTTGACAACCCTCTTCTAATATGAATGTAAATGACAGGCAGGGGCTCCAGCCCAGAAATCAGAACAGTCCTCCATGAGGGGGTGAATGGTAGTCTTGTACAACGTTATAAGATTATTCTGTGTTCAGTAAAGACGACCAACTCTCATGGAGGCCCTCAATGTACATCCTGGGTGTTAACTGTCAAAAACTCCCAATGTGTACAATTTTGTTCTTCCACATCCAGTTTCCTCGATATGTCTGTTTCCAGTGTCCACAGACATTAATTTGTCTCATATTGTTCTTTTTTGTACCCCAGGGAATATGGTAGGAGAAAAAGACTTGCATTCAGGAAGTCAGTGCAACGAGGTATTACAGTAAATGTTTTCTCTGTAGTGATACATAAATACACCCTTCTTGGCATTTTTGGTATGCCATATGTGTTGTTCCCATTTTCAAAATATTCAGAAATATAAACAAAAGCATATAAGTACATGTATGTAAGAGGTCATTTTTCAACAAGTTCAGTCAGTTCAGAACCCAAAGAAGCCTGATTAACTTCAAGAGGTAAAGGACTAAATGGACTAAACAGAAGGTAAACGGTTTAATCTCCAATCCCGAGAGAGTTAGAGATAAACACTGTTCAATCAGGGATGATTGAACTGGTTGAAGCTCAACTATGGAGAAAAACTCTTAACATTAATTTAAAAAATGAGCTGATATAAAGTGGTGACAGACTCGAATGTGGTCACAGACCCTCGCAAAAACTCATCTACTTGCAGCAACACATCCTTTTTTTTAGTGCTCAGGCCTATAGATTCATGAGACAATGTTTACATCTCCCACATTCTAGCACACTTAGTAAATGGAGCGCTAGTCTGAATTGCCAACCGTGATTTTGACTGAGGTCATAGTTCATATCAAGGAGGTGGCATCTGAGACTCCTTTGATGAAGCACTGCATGCTTATGCTAATGTAGATGTCATGTCACATAAACAGAAAGTGGTATACAATCTAATGGTGGCTGTGTAGACATTTAGTTTGTCAGCGACTGATGCAATGGTATTTTAGAGTATATCTCCAAATGGTAAAAAAATAAACCCCAAAAACAAAAAATGAAAATCAACTTCAAAAATCTGGGTTACCCTGCTAAAAATACCAAGATTACCTTTTTGGGCACCAACGGAAGGTGCCCCTTTTTCTGGATAAGAGCCCCTTTTTGGTGTTGCCCCCCCGTTTGAAAAGCGTTCCGCAGCCCCTGACAAAAAGCTCTGACTAAGGTTTGACAAGGTAGGCCTAACCCACTGAAAACTCTCTGCAATCTCATCAAATCTGTCAAGCTAAAGTGTTGCTGGGTGATTCACACATCGGGTTTTAGTGATTTGAGTGAGAAGTTCCTAGATAAATTTCTGGTTTGTTTATCAAAATTGTTCTGCACCTTCATGGCAGACTTTACACAGAAACACATGTTGACAAAATAAGCCGTCTAAAAGACACCAGCTGACAAAATCTATCTTGTTTTAAGTCCAGTAGCCCATGTTTTGAATTTTGTATGAGTATGTTCTTTGCATCTAGGTACTTAACATACTGTTTGCCTGGTTGGAGAATGGTGGAACAGTGCTCTTTGCTCTCACAGTGAAAGACATGTAGCTAGTCTAAGTGATCACTTGCTCAGAAGCTTTTTGTCTGATCATTGTGAATATTTAGAATTGTATTGCTACATGCCAAAGAGTGTTCCCATTTACTACAATTCATGTATTCAAAGATTACTATTTTTCAACATATGGGTGTAAGGGGACCTATGTGTATTCAGGTTTATAAATTAGCCCCACTCGTTCCACCACACACCTGACCAACACATGTACTCAACACTTGCTCTTGTGGGTTTTTTTCAGTGTGTGACTGGGTTGCAAAACAGAAGCCCAAGAAGTCAGATTTGGACACTGTAGAACAACGACACCTTGCCAAGAGGAGGAAACAAGACAAAGACAATGGGTGAGCTGCTTGTGAAAGGATTTCTAAAACTGAAAACCATTTAAGTGAAGAGGTACATTTGTCTCATTGAGTTACCCAAGTGGGGAAAGCCATATTTTCACTGAATACACATATTTAATGTCATCTTAACTTTGTGTAGAATTTGAAGAAAGAAAATATACTGTTCTTCTTTATTTCCAGAGAAGACCGTGTAGTATTGGACAGTGATAGCTTGGACAGTTTCTCTGATGACATGGATGATTATGTAGAATCTAAGGTAACAGTAAGTCTCAAATGCATATACATATATGTATATATTCACAGAGTGAAATTCAGAGAGTCACATTCAACACAAATAGTGCTCGGACAAAGTGTTGAGCTTAACCATTATTGTTCTGCCCTTATCAATTTCTGATCTGCCATTTATCTAGCTCAATTGGGCTGATATATGTAGTGTCAAATTCCTACATTTTGTTTGGTCATCAGGGCTTGTTGAACTGAAGTACAAAATGAAGTGAATATAATGACCAAATATGAAGGAACATCTTAGCCATGTAAAGGTACAGATATGTGCCAAACACAGTCAACACTGCATAGTTTCAGTGTGCACAGACAACCCGTTGACCAGAAAAAGTCAGATGCATATCATTTAAAATACTTTTATCATTTAAAATACATCCAGACAATTATGTCTGAGCACATCAGCATTCAGACATAAACATGTACCTGGAATGATTGGAAAATAACCTATCGTAGTAGAATCACGTCCAATTACATGATGTACAAATGGACGTGGAACGCCCAAATCGAGACAAACAACGTACAAAAAGTATATAGGGTAGTCTAAGGGGCGTGGCAAACTCGCAAACGGCTATATGTCAATTGTCCACTGTCTGACCATAATTTCACTCTCTTTATATTTGTGTCAACTTTCTTTTTGGAGTGATCATTCATCAGGAGGGTTTGATATAATACCCGAAGCTGAAGGCGAGGGCTATTATTGGCGACCAGACCCCTTTTAACTGCTCCATCACACAGTTATCCCCATTCATAAATATCTTTTCAATCAAAAGCCATAAAAAGTTGAAAAGTTGACAAAATATCAGCTATTTTGTTTTACCATTTTATTCTATATTCAGATCAGGCCACTTCTGTGGTGTGCGATGCACGCGCGATGTGCTCAACATCGTGTCTTATATATAAAGATCATAGCAGTGTTTCTCAAGCAGCTGGCAGTAGCCGGCGCATGCGGCGCGTACAGTGCACATGTGGCGCAGAGAGCAGTTTTAAACAGTTCATAAACTATGCTGAGAGGTGTTTGAACAGCGTTTAAAGACCACCCAGGTGTCAGGCTCTTGACCAATAGGAATGAGTAAACTTAGTATAGCCTAATATAGCTTGCCCACACCAGGTGTGTATATCCATGATGACACCTAAGAACACAAGCTGACCCAGGAGTATGATAAGAACAATCAAATAGGGTTGTTCCTAAAATCTCTATCAGAACTTAAAAGTCACAGAGCAATACAGCAATTATCATTTTCAAAGAAGGTAAAAAATCACAGCAACGGACTTCAAGGAACATTTGTTTGCTTTCTAGCCTTGCTATGGTTCTGACTAAACATTCCACAAGGTATTTGGTTTCAAACTTAAAACTTGTTTGTTTTTCCACTTCATAAGGACTCAAATATGGTGAATGCCGCCCTTAGTAAACTGTACAGCAAAGGTACACCATCAGCCTCAAGTACAACCGGGCATGGTCTGAAGCCACAAACAACCAATCGTACAGGTAAAGAACAATCCAAGTAATTGATGAATAGTTTACTTTTAGTAAAGTGTCTAAATGATTAAATCAGATTAGGGGAGGTAGGAATGGAATGACAATGTAGCTGGATGTTACAGGAAATCCCCCCATATATAGCATAGCTCAAACAATAACCCAATAGTCAGTTCAACTAAATCATAAACCAAAATAGTTGTTGTTTGAAACTGTGTAACATTAAAACCGTCATTGTGAGAGGTTCTCATGTCTTAATTAAAGAAACAATAGAAAAAAGGTCTTCATAGTTTGATGCATTACCATGATTCAGATGAACACTTATTGGCCCAACAACAGGAACCGCTGACGCAATGACACTGGACAGAACACACAACAGACAGGGTGAGGCAGACTCAGACGGGGATAGTATGGAGCTGGGAAACCTCTCAATGGATCCTCCAGATGATGGGGATGATGAAGATGATACTTGGACAAGACAAAGGACAGAGATGATGTTACCAAGGACTCCAGCCAAGGTAAGACAGTGCAAGATATGTGAGATGTAGTCATGGAAAACATGTTTAGAAAAGGGTGCTAAATTGACATAGGATATAATTTTCAAGCAAACTTGAATCCTCAATCCTGATTGGTCGATCCATGGCAACAATAGTGTAATATTAACCAATATACCACAGTCCATATTGCACTCCGTGTATTGCGTTGTTCTAAGATTTACTGTGCATCACGTTTGCTTGAAGATAAATCTGTTATTCCATTCGCGCTTGTGGAACACAGAACATGTAGTGCGTCTCTGTTCCATGCGCCACATGGCACACAGATGCACAATATTATTCTGTGTTCTACTCATGCCTGTGGGATAACTAAAAACATACAGAGTATCATTCGATATCAGTGGTAGACTTGACTTAAGTCGGAATTGCTTTAAGTCGATATCTTAAAAAAAAAGTAGCAAAAATCACTTAGTTTACGTCTTTCCAGATGCCCGAGCAGCCCGACTAGGTACACTTAGCGCGCATTCCACTTCAACAATGCGCACACACTGTATGTATATTGTACAACACGCGTATTACACGTACATGTGTGTGCATAACATGTACCGTAATTTTTGGAATATACGCTGCAGCACGCAAAAATCTGCAAATTAAGATTCGTAGTCGGCTTATAAGCCGCACCGGCATATAAGCCGCACCGACCGCAGCGGTTTTAATTTTGTAAGGCCTCCAAATTCTAGTCAAAATGCTCTGAACCAGTTCCATTTACACTACAGAAGCTATAACGAGCCACAAAAGTTATATCAAATCATTTACAATCGATACTCTTACAAACAAATATGGAAATTGATGAAGAGAAATAAACAATGGGAATTGCTGCCGGCTGCCCCAGCCTTAAAAGTTAGTGCATGGCCCGGCAGCATGTGCCGGCGAATGACAACATTTTCCTGCAGCATGTGAGAGAGTATGCAACCCACCGTGTCTTGTCTCACTGGAGCGCTACAAATCTTGCTTTGTCAGGCAACAGATTATTATTATTATTATTATTATTATTATTTATTCGGCCAAATTACAAGGTACAACAAGCAATTCACAAAAGTAAACAAAACTAAACAAAAACAATCCAATCCAAGCTGGCCAGGATTGACAAAAGTATAATAAAACACTGTGACTCGAAAGCCTGTCAATCCTAACTTGAATGGTACATGTAACATACAAAATATATTAAAAATTAGGTATAAAATTCAATGAAAAATAAGACCGCCTTAAAAATAATACTTAAAAAGATAAATAGATTTAAAAGATTACAGTTACAACAGTTTTCTCAAAGGCAAGAATAGCTGGCATAAAAACCTAACAACTGCAGATTATACAAGACTGGGGAAAAACAGACAAACAAGCCAAAACAAAACTAACAACACCCCAACAAACTAAGAAACAAAACAAGACAGGATAAGACTAAACAAAATGTGACAAAACAAGTCAAGACAAGAGACAAGACAAGACAAGACAAAACGAAACAAAACAAGACAAGACGAAACAAAACAAAAAACAAACAAACAAACAAACAAACAAGACAAGACAAGACAAGACAACAACAACCACACAACAACATAAAAACACAGAACGAAAGATTGATACAGTAAACAAAATAATTTAAAATGAAATAAAAAATAAATAATAAGCAATAAAAACCTGATAGAGAAAAGTAAAAAATACAGTTGACATGCGAGAAAAACTACGTCAAAAAAAATATCCATCCAATGAACAAGAAAAGCAACAACAAAAGTATCAATAACAAAATAAATACAAGTAATAATAAATGATAAGCAACCGGAAAAATAGGCCTGAAAACCAACATTATTTCAGACATAAATAAATGAATAAATAAACTTAACCACAAAAGAGGAAAATAATATAAAATTAAATAACAATGAAATAAAAGAATGATGGCAGTTTACAGTGGAAAAATATACACATGAAATTACTTTAAAAAGATTAAAGTAGATCAAAAGAGTTAAACACTTGTGGGGGGGGGGGGCCTATTTCCAGCTCAAGGTTTTAACACTCATAATAATGGGCAGATAATCGGGTGTTAAACAGTGTGAATGAATCAATTAATAGAGAGTCCCTTACATGCGATGGCAAACTACTCCAGATTCGGGGGAAGACATGACTAGGTGTGTTTTTCAGGGTTTGAGTTCTAGCATAATGGTGATTAAATGTGAGACAATCCTGGTGACGAGTGTTCACTACTGTGTTGGCCTTCACTGATTGGCAGTCAACTAAGTTAAACAGGACTTTAACTGTGAAGGAAACTATGTGCTTCTGTCTACGTGAATCTAGAGTCATCCAATTCAAAGCATGCACTCTGTCTTCATATGACATTGCACCTTTGGGCTGTTTGAGGCACATTCTACTTGCCCTTCTCTGCACTCTCTCAAGTTTGGCTGCATTGGATGCTGTGTATGGGGACCAAGCTGGCAACCCGTATTCCAGTACGGGCAAAACAAGTGAACGATAGAGGGATGTCAAAGCCTTGGTCGAAGCACCACCCGCAATATGCCAGATAAAGCCTAATGTCTTATTGGCCTTTGAGACAGTGGCATCGACATGATCGTTCCAGTTCAGTGAGTCGTTGATGATTACCCCAAGATATTTGAATGTAGGTGTGACATTGAGCGATTGACCGTGAAGAATGTAACTTGGAAGAACTGCTGGTTTCCGGGATCTGGATATGTGCATGACCTTGGTTTTCTTGATATCCAGCTGCATACCATTGAGATTGCTCCATTGTTCAAGTGCAGTCAGGTCCGACTGGAGGGTGAGTTCATCTTGGGGTGAGTGGATTGGCTGATAGAGGAGTGTATCATCCGCAAAGAGTGCACAGTTTGTGGATAAGTCATGAGAAATGTCATTAATAAACAAATTAAACAGGAGGGGGCCAAGAACACTGCCCTGAGGAACACCTGAAGTAACTGGTGCCCACTCGGAGAAGCATCCCCGATACGCAACTCGTTGTTGACGACCTATTAGAAAGGACTTTATCCAGGTCCATGTCGATCCACGAATATTGAAGTTGCTGGCAAGTTTGTTAAGTACCATATGGTGAGGCATAACATCAAAAGCCTTACTGAAATCGAGGAAAATTACATCGAGTCGAGGAGGGTGCGGTTTATCCAAGATAGTTGCCCAATCATGGATTGTGTTTGCAAGCTGGGTGACACATGATTTGGAGGCAGTGAAACCATGTTGCTGGGGGTTGCCGAGGCAGAGTGATGTTACATGGTCGTTGATGTTGTCAGCGACAGCCCTCTCCAACAACTTGCAGATGATTGATGTCAACGCTACTGGACGGTAATTCTTGATATCGGTACGACTGCCAGACTTGAAAACCGGAGTTATTTGTGAGAGTTTCCAATCTGCTGGGACAACGCCAGTAGTTAGGGATGAGTTCATCAATCGCATCAGAGGCGGAGCAATTGATGATGCAGTCGCTTTTAAAATCCTTGGTGGTATAGCGTCGTGACCTGGTGCTTTATGAGGATTTAAGTTGGACAGCGACTTAACAAGCCAGCCAAGGTTCACTGTTGTGGGGTGAATCTCTGGAATTGGGAAGTCACAAGATGGTGGGGTCTCTGCAGGAACCCCTGTTGGAGTATGGACAGAGGTGAAGAACTTGTTGAATGCATGACAAATATCGGCAGGCTTGTGGAGCTGTGTCTCGGCTGTCCTGAACGCAGGTGGGCATTTGGATTTCCTTTGGTCCTTAACAAAGCTCCAAAAGCTATGTTTGTTGTCTGGCAGAGCAAACAAGTCATTGATGTATTTCCAGTACTCCTTCTTAGTTTTGTTTTTCACCTCATTACAGATAAGTTTATACCTGTTCCAGTCACTGCTGTCACCGTTCGATTTGGCCTTGACGAAGAGTTTTTGTTTCTGTTTGATGAGGCGTTTCAGTGCAGGTGTTATCCATGGGGACATGCGACGATTGCATGTCTTCCTGGGGATGCTGTCTCGAATTGCTGCATCCAGTATGTCCATGAACCCCTCCCATGACTCCGTGGGATCACTGTCCTTCATGAATGCAGTCCATGGCGCTGATTTGTTTTGTCCTTAGAATAAACAGGTCTGTTTTTACCTCAAAACTTATCAAATTTTTGCAATTACTAACGAGTAGTAACATTAAAAAGTCAAGTTTCGATCATAACTTTCTTCGAAAATAGTCAAAACGACGCCGACATTTTAATGGACGAATCCATTATTTTTGTAAGGGGTGATTTAGTCCCTGTTTTGAGTTTTACATCGTTTCTTGAATACATTTCAAGAAAACAAAATATATTGTGACGTTGAACAACTGATTATCGAGTTAAAAAATGTTTCCAACACCATAAAAATGTTAGTCATCTTTTTTTTCTTTTTTTAAACAGCGTAAATATTGGTAATTATTGTTCCCAAGAAAGTACACCCCTTTATTTCCACAAATGGTGTGGTCCGCTGGGGAAAAGCATGCTGCATGCAGCTGCACTAGTATCACGTATGGCTGGTCACAAGCAAGCAATTACGTCAAGACAGCTTTCACCGTACATTTTACCGCTAGGTACCTTCACGTGGGACGTGGTTTCGGTTTGTTAATGACTTTCTTAATTGATAATTCATTTCAGCAACACATCTCTTCTTGTACCAGTACATTAAATACACATGTGAATTTCATTTTTATTCTTCAAGGCTCGGCGTATAAGCCGCCCTGTGTATAAGCTGCAGTAAACATTTTCATGGGCAAAATCAACGTATAAGCCGCGGCTTATATTCCGAAAATTACGGTAGTTTAAGCTTCTACCAACCTGAAAATTAGTGGGCAAGCTTTCATCCACTCCTGTGGACTTTCTCAAGCTAAGTGATTGTGTACTCAGTTTCTTGCTGTCTGTTGTACCGAGATCACTGGAGCGTAGATAGGTGATAATGAGTAACCAGAGTCCCTATTCAGTGAGGGATTAATCCTTTTGATCCAGATGGATTCTTTCACCTTTCTTGGCCAGAAATGTGTTTCAAAGTCGATAATGTGGGCATTGTCCCATCCAATGTTGTGTCCAGTATTAAGGGCGTGTTCTGCAACTGCTGAAAGAGATGGATTGTTCAGTTTAAGAGCTCGTTTGTGTTCTTTCAATCTCTCCTTTAATGTTCTCCCTGTTTCTCCAACGTAGGAACTGTCACAATCAGTGCAAGCTATCTTGTAGATAATACCTGTTCTCTCTTCTATGGGCGATTTGTCCTTGGGATGAACTAGCTTACTTCTAAGGGTGTTTGGACTTCTAAAGGCAACACAGATGTCCTTGCTATGGAAAGTATGTTTCAAACGCGATGCTATTGTGTTGACAAAAGGAAGAACTACTCTCTGACTGAATTCCTTCTTTTCTTTCGGGAGAGCCTTGGAGCTTACTCTGTCTTTCGCTCTTTTTCTAGTCCAAGCTGGATAGCCACAAGATGATAGTACCTTGTCAATGTGCTGGAGTTCACTTTGTAGATCACCATTGTCAGACGTCACAATGTGTGCTCTCATGTACAATGAGCTGGCAACTCCTATTTTTGCGCTGAGGGGGTGGTCTGATTCAAAGTTAAAATATGAGTCGGTGTGTGTAGGCTTCCTGTACACCGAGATGGCTAGAGTAAGGTCCTCATTAACTTCAACCTTTGTGTCCAGAAAGTTCAGTGACCTCTCACACTCTTCCTCAACAGTGAACTTTATGTACTGATCGATACTATTTATGATGTTTGTAAATTCATCGAAGTGGTCCTTGTCAATAACAACAAAAGTGTCATCGACATATCTCCACCATATCCTAGGAGGGTAGGAAGCTAGTGAGAATATTTCTTCCTCTAGCTCTTCCAGATAAATGTTACATACGACTGGTGAGATGGGTGAACCCATAAGGGTTCCATGAGTTTGTTTATACAAAACGTCATTGTATGTGAAATATGTGTTAATGTGTGTGCATGTATTGCAAAGCATGTGCATACATGTGGTGCAAAAGTGAGCAATTCCGACTTGATCAATCTGCCATCAGCACCCCCCCCTCACGTGCATGCGCCTGTATTCATCGATGCATATGCAACACCATCTCTATGCATATGCAGCAACATCGCTTGACCAATCAAAGTAACCAATTTCTGAAGACCCGTTTATAATTTTCAGTAGTTATGGAAAGCTGGATAACAATCTGCAAAAGTTTAAAAACGTAATCTTAATTTGTAGATTTCAAACACATTATATTTGGATGATAATGTTAAGATCAGCTGCTCTTGGATTGAATTTATAAAGAACACGACATTCAAATGTTATTTAAAACAAAAGGGAATTTTTATTGGGATTAACCTGTAAAAGATGTTGAGATACATTGATACCGCTTCGTGTTGTGCGTACCCAGGGCCGTTTCAAAGCATTCGAACGTATGTGTGCGTATATCTGTTTGTACTCCTTACCATGGGATTCGTGTGCGTTCTCCGCGAAACTTTGGCTGCGCGAGTACGCAGACAACGCTGATTGTGTGTTAGGAATAATATCAAAACAACCTGCGCTCGTTTTTGAGAATAAAAATGCTAATTACCTGAAATACTGTGCTCTGATTGGCTTCTACCGAAATCGGTAGAAGCCAATCACAGCGAAAATTAATTTCCATAGACTGTGTACAAACGTGGAACAAACCAGCGCGTATGCTTGGCAGATTGACCAAGTCTGGGTTGCTGCATCACTTGAAAATAACATGTACATGTACGTTTTTAACATGATGGTCCGGATTCGACGCATGAGGGCGCGCGTTATGTACTGTAAGGACGTATGCGATATGTGCTGTGAGTGGATTTACTATATAGACACAGACTGAGCGCAACCCAGACTTGGCCAAGTCTATATCAGTTGTGATGACTGTGCTTGTTGATTTGGCTGTCGGTCTTCTTAATGCACTTATTTTAATAACCATATAGGCCATGGGCCAAAATCTGTATCAGGTGTAGAAGTTGAGGTTCGTCTTAACTTTTTGGTGTCGGTTTGCAATAAGGTCAACTTTACTAATTTGATAGTGCTGAATCTGAATCTGGTTGTTCACATTGGCCCAAATTTGCACATTAACGTTATGACGACATTTTTTTGGGTCAAAAATAGTAGTTTTGCCATAACTTCTATGTTTTAAGTTCAAATACTTTCAAATTTGACACAACAGATAAATAAGAAGTCGGCATGAATAATATAAGTCATTATTTAACGTGTGAAGCGGTGCTTTAATTTTTTTTGTAGAATCGATCCTTTCAAACATGAGCATGATGAGATTTCGACGTGGCGTTATAAGGATTTATATTTAATTTACGTACCTCTGTTGTCCCTTTACAACACAAAGCAATCACAAGTAAATCACAAGTCATTCAGTTTCAAGTAAATAAGTGACACACTATTTCATCTCCATTTAATACATGTTTTGGGGGGCGTAAAATTGGGCTTCCAGAATTCAAATCGAAAGGCATCGCGCAGTCTTGAAACAAAATTTGTACGTTTACTTGACGTGTAGGAGATAACGCATGAGCGGAAATGGGGTGCGCAGACATTGAAGTACGCGTGCAGTACGCTCTGTTTTAGCCAGTCGGCATCACCGTTTACATATTCCCCACACCCAGGGGTTGATGGAGGAACGCGCACGCGCCCATGGAGGCAAGGCTGGTACGCAATGGCAGCGATGCATCACGATCGCCCTCATGTGGTATAGTTACATTGGGGAAACAGTCCCCTTGATTTCTAATTTGTGCAAACGATGTGATGTGCACATTGTAAAATATCAGTTGAGATGTTCCAAACTACTTATAACCGAGAAATTAAGTTGCCACTAAAAAGTTAAGACGAAACTGCACGTTACAGGCTTTGGCCCACGGCCTAATACTATCTCTGCCCAACCCCCACTATCTTACTCTCTCTGCCCAACATCCCTACACTTTGCACTGCCTGATCTCTTACATGAGAATTTGCTCACATTTCCAAATCCCATGTGATTTGTGGGTTACATTTATTCAAGAATGTTCTGGGGGCTTCTGGGCATAATGACTTGTCTGTGATATATTCAGTGTTTTATGCCAGGCCAACAGGCTTACCATTCCATATTTATCTTTCTAGGAAGCTACTCCTGCTCCTTCAGGGAGTTCCACCCCTCAGACTGGCATTAAGAGACTGAAGGACAAGAAGAGAAAATCAAGCAATCAGACAATGATGGAGGAGGAGTCTACAGCCAAAAAGGGGAGGATAGGACAGGAGAGAGGGCGCAAGGCAAAGAAAAAGAGTAAGCAAAATGGTTGTATGAGTCTTTACTACCGTCATGACCAACACTCCATTACTATGTCCTTCAGGTCTTAACAGGCATAGTTTTACAAAGTGATATAAGCAGTGGTGACAAAGTGATATAAGCAGTGGTGACAAAGTGATATAAGCAGTGGTGACAAAGTGATATAAGCAGTGGTGACAAAGTGATATAAGCAGTGGTGACAAAGTGATATAAGCAGTGGTGACAAAGTGATATATGCAGTGGTGACAAAGTGATATAAGCAGTGGTGATAAAGTGACAGAACTTTTACATTTCCAGCCAATGTATAGCCATATGAACTCTACACAATTCAGATTTTGTGGTGTCAAAGTTTTGAGAAATTGTGTCCACAGTCATCATTTTGCCTTCATTGTGGGACAGGACACAGTCGATCAGGACATATTCTGGTATGTTGGACCCATAGGTACCCAAAAGAATTGGGAAGAAGCAAGTCAGGCAAAATGAGCAAAACAGCCGGAAGTGAACCTCCCCTTCAGGTTTTCTTGATGAGGTGTCCCACAGAATCAAAAGTTTGAAAGTAGAAAGTTTGAAAGTTTGAAACTGGCTTATCCTAAGGACTCTGTGCACAAGCACCCCCTCAATGGTTACAAAGGGAGCATTGTTAATGGCACCTGATGCTCATGCGAAGCCGCTATGTTTGTGCAGATTCAGAATAAACTTGAATACAATTTGCAGTGCACACGCAAACCAGTATGCGCATGTGGAGTGTCACTCCCAATGGGGCTGTCAAGAGTGCCATCTTGCGTTCATGCACAGAGTCCATTGGAATCCAGCTGCATACAACAAAAGATCTTTAGGTTAAATGGAAAACTTAAAACACCAAAAATGTCTGATTTTCTGAAATGAGTATGGTTAGGTTCAAGGGTAAGTACCCAAAATGTTTAGTGTCTGAGCTGTCTCAGTATATCAATTCTGAATGTGAATTCTGAACTTTTAAGTTCTCAGCAAAAAAGCTGCCTTGAAAGTATGGAATCACAGGACAGTCAATTTTCACCTAAATCAGCTCCCTATTTTTTTTAATACCGTTGGTTTTAATCACAAAGAAATTGTTCCTGTTTATCTTGCAGTCTTTAAAATAGAATTATTGTATCTTTAGTTGTAGAGCCCCAGCAGTCAACAGTGACTTTCAGTGACATCGGAGGAAATGATGAAACTTTGCATGTGAGTTCATTGTCTATAAAATTCATCCTGTAATCAAGATCTCAATTCTGTAGAACTAAATTAAGAGACTTGTAAAACTTGAAGGCTCCATGAGGTATATGTTATGAAAATATTTGTTCCTCTGAACACTATGAAAATAGTAAGACACCCTTCATGGATTTCATGCTTTTTAATTGCCATTTCTTTTTTTACAATGAAAGACATTTGAGGACAGTGATGATGTAGTGTCACTTTAGGCACACGCACCAGTTTTAGGGTTTTCTGTACAAAGAAGGAGTCAATATTGTAGCTATGGCAAACATGTTAACATACAGTTAGTTCGTTTATTGGATGTCATAAACTGAATAAAAGATACAACAAAGCAGTAGACAGAAAACACTAAAATTTTGAAATTTTGGCAAACCTACCAATCTTCTAAAAGACATACAATGGGGCTCTTCACGTCCTGTCACTTCAAACCTGTTATAAATTAAACAATCCTCGTTGCCACTATGTAGTATACAAGGACGCGGAGAATGTTAACGATTACAATACTTTAATACTTCTCCTCCAACATGGCGTACTTCCCGCCAATGCCTGCTAGAGGGCGCTATGTAGACACAACAACTACTATTCTAAGCACACAGTAATTCCAATTTGTTATTTTTGGGGGTTCTGGTGGATTTTGATAATGTAGGAGATATGCAAGTTGTTGATCCACATGCGTCACCCTGAGGTATACCAGCAGTTAGGAGTCACCCCACCCAGGGGAGTGCTTCTCCATGGCCCACCAGGGTGTGGAAAGACTTTACTGGCACATGCCATTGCAGGGGTAAGCATATCCACTGAATGCAGTCTAAATGGTGGTTTGTCCTGGTACATTGTGCAAATGAAAACAGTATACAGATGTACTGCTGGGAACCTACCCATTATTATATCAATATTCTGCAGATTAGATAACCCTAACCCTCCTCAATCCTCCAAAATCCTCCTGCCAGTTTTGGATGATTTAAGAGGATTGAGGATGAATGGCAAAGATGTATCGCTTTTTTGTGGAGGATGCATTACGTCAATCACATTCTAATCTCATATTTCTTTTCAAAACGGAAGCTTTAAAAACGTGTGTTCTCATTTCCCACAATTGTAATTTACTTGATATGTAATATGATGAGGCTTCACCTCGCCCGCTTTTGCGATGGAAATGGCTTTGCTGCCTGTTGCCTGCTTTGAATCGTGGTGATGTGTGAATGAGGATGCACAGGTCTAGAAGAAGATTCCTAGGATCTCCAAGAGAATGTCACCTCCTTTCAAAATTCCCATTTGTTGTCTGGACAGGTGCGGGTGATGTTGTCTGGAATAGGTAATGATAATGAATAAAAGAGGCGAATGATGTAATAATGTTTGTTTAACGTTTAGGAGCTCCAGCTTCCATTCTTGAAGATAGCAGCAACAGAGATTGTGTCTGGAGTGTCGGGGGAGTCTGAGGGTAATATCAGGGATCTCTTTGAAGAAGCTATGGTAGGTGGTGTAATAGTCTGTTCATTACTTCTCACATAGAAATAGAGGTTAGAACCCAAAGGCAAATCATTGTTACTTGGATATCGCATATTTGAAAAATGTGGATGGTATCCAGAGATACCCCTGTTTCCCCCTTTTTTGTGTTTTTTTGTTTGTTTGAGTGTACATGTGAGTTGGGCTGTTTATTACTTGTTAAATGTCTCATTTTTGTCAGCTTAAATGCATCTTTTGGGCTTGAAAGGATATTAGTTGGAATGATTATTTACATTGTAGAACTCCCAGATGTATTGGCTGTGTTGTCAGCCATCTCTAAGGTAATTTATGATATTGTAATAAAGTAACAATGAATGCACACAAGGTATATTCATACATATCCCTGTGGAACAAAGGCACTGAACCTCCAAGATAGCTTCCACGCAAACGATCTATACTGGAAATAGGTTTAACTCCTTTTGGATGTATGTGTTTATTTACCAACTAATCTTAACAGCAAACTGAAAGGACATTGTTCTGATTGTTTGCAGGGTCTAGCTCCTTGTATCCTGTTCTTAGATGAGATTGATGCGATCACGCCCAAGAGAGAGACAGCTCAGAGAGAGATGGAGAGGAGAATAGTGGCTCAGCTTCTCTCCTGCATGGATGGTGAGTCTTGGCGCTAACCTTAGCCATTCCTGGGCCATAATTACATCCTTTAAAGCTTACAACACTGAATTATATCTAATATAGCATCAAAGGATGGGTTGACTTAGCCTTAGCCATTCCATGGCAATCAGATTGTTTTTGCTAACAACACTAACTTCTTTTTAATTTAACATCTGTAGTTGCAGAAAAAAAACTCCAATATCAATATCATTTTGAAATGATCTTTCTAAAAACACTTTATTTTGTAAGCATCCAAATTAGGTAAAGTAAGGAAAGCACCATTGTATGCACCTTATTTGTGTGGCTGATTCTATTTAGTGTCAATCCATTATGTATTCGATTACGATTCAAGCTATGTGATCCTTTCTCTGTGGTACAGCTTCCATTTTAGTGAATGACTTTATTTGCTCATTATAATTGCAACCCTTTTCCCTTGCCACGAACCAATCACTTAAATCAGTAATCCCGGACCTCAACCCCTCCAAAAATGCATGGATATTTGTTTGCATCTGAATGTTTGAATTTCCTACACTGTAGAACTGAGTACTAGTCCTCTTCATGTGCTGGTCATTGGTGCGACCAACAGAGCTGATTCCTTGGATCCTGCTCTGAGACGAGCTGGACGATTTGACAGAGAAATCTGCCTGGGAATACCTGGGGTGAAGGAAAGAGAGAGGTAGAGGTCATTTCCTGATTTTCAAGACTGTTTTTTTGGACACAGCAGTTATTTAGAGAAGGCCAAGCATTTATATCGCATTGAGAATTCATTATGTCCAAGAATCAACAATATGCTTCCATGATTTACTAAATGCTGCTATGAGTGTCTAGGTTACATCCAAATCTGTCATTATTGTTCTTTACAGTGATCAATTACATGTACTTGCTACATAGTGGGAGCAAGAATGGATGTTCATTGTTGTCAAATATACCCTGGTTTTAGTTATCATTGCGTTGTACTGCAATAACACTGTTTCTGACCTGTGATGATGCCTTAACTTTGCAGTACCAATCATCAATTTAAACGTCATGTGATTAGAGTGTATGGTAATGTGCTGATCGTCACTTCGCATGTCAGAAAAATACTTTTTTAATGACAAATGCCAACTAACAGTTGCAATTACAAGACAAAGAAACCTTCAGAGGAAAGGGGGGGAGTACCTGCTTACATTGTGCTTGAACATTTTCGTATCTAAAGGTTAAGTAGTCTGAATATTTATTTGTTCCCCCACCCCATGTTTTATCCTTGATATTGTTATATCAGGATACTGCAGGTTCTGTGCAGGAATCTCAGACTGTCTTCAGATTTCAGCTGTGCTACTCTATCCACACTCACACCAGGTTATGTAGGAGCTGACTTGATGTCACTCTGTAGAGAGGCTGCTATGTGTGCTGTTAATAGGTAAGATAGGAATATATACAAATACAACATTGTTTGACACAAAGTAGTGCAAACTAAATAGTCCTGACTCCCGAGATGTTGGCTGATTTGACTATCGAAAATTTGCACCATTTCCCAGAAATAAACCATGTTGTATTTTTTTTTTATTACACTTCGATACATACAATTGTAAAAACAAGTTGATAAGGTAGATCAGCAGATAATTGACAGAATTGTTCAGTTGGTGATACAAGATGAAAATACATCCCTGTATAACTGGTATATTTAAAGACATTTTTTCTCCTTTACTCTGAGTTCTAAAACTGCACGAAGATAGGATAGGATAGGATAATATATTTATTGGCAACCATTAGGTTGGATTACATAATACACAAATTTTACATAAATTTATAACAGCTTAAAATACACATAAAAGAGATTAACAGATGCAAAATACCACGAACAATGATCCCAAGCTAAAACATAAGAAAACAAGCAGATAAAAAAAAAGGATATTGCGTTAAAAAACTACCGGTTATATTCAGGATATAAAAATTCATTTTAAAATTAAGTGCAATTATCTTAAAAACTCATTTAACGAAGCTGCTGATAAAAAGTTGATTAATAAGGTACAATGGGATATGAGAATTTTCAGACCTATCTGTGCGGGTTCTGATTACGTATACACATATTTTACATATAATTATAACAGCTTAAAATACACACACAAAAATTAACAGATACAAAAAAACCACAACAATGATCCTGAGCTAAAACATAAGGAAACAGGCAGATCTACAAAGTAGATTGCATTAAAAAAACGGATGTTTTTCAGGGGAAAAAAACATCTAAAATTAACTGCAATTATCATTAAAAATTCATTCGATGAAGCTACTGGTTAAAAGCTACTGATTAATTTTTCTGATCATTTCGATCAGACAACTCTGAATTTCTTTATAAAGTCATAATGTCATTGGTGGCCATCTTGAAAATGGTAGACATCAACCATCTGCATATGGCTCCACAAACAGAAAGAAAGAAGCATCTGAGAGGTTTAAATGTCACAGAAACAGTTTCTGCATGGTCACAAACATTCAAACCAGAGAACTTCATCAATTTCCATTCATACAATAGCTACAAATCACCTGCCATGAGCGACCATCTTGAAAAATGGTGGCCATCTTGGATTTTCAAGTTGCTAATGTTCTTTGGAAATATTGAAGCAAAGGGAGTGAACAGGGTCGTTTTCTTTCGCATATCTCCCACTGGACAAAGGGAGACTTTTGAGATGTTGGTGGCAGCAGACACATGCCGGTCTTTTACAATTGTTTACGTCATTTTTAAGCTTAAGCGCGCATGCTCAATATGACGCAAACAATGGAAAAAGGACTGGTGTGTTTGCTGCCACCAACATCTCAAAAGTCTCCCATTGGTTGACTTGTGGACTATGTGCACAAACTGTAGATGGCACTTTGTGACTACATTTAAAAGCCCCATGGGAGGGATACACTGTGTGTGCACACAGGTTCACAAGCGTATGGTGCAAAGAACGCATAATGCTTGGAATGTCCCTCCCAGTGGTGTCCCTCAAGTCTCCTTTATAACCATTGATGGGGTTACTTGTGCATGTAGTCCATATGCTGCACTAATATTAGATCATTACTAGTGTGTTTGGAGAAGTTACATTGCACTCTTTGCATGCATGTTATTTATCAATTCAACATTTCAAAATACACGGGAGGGTGAGGCTTTGGCAAACAGCAGTAGCAAAATGAGATAAGCTGGGGGATACGGTTCAGTGTACATTGAGCTCTTAGTACTTTGATGGTTCCTGTGCATTGTTATCACCTATTCATAAATACCTCAGACAGTTTAGCTATTCCTATTGGTCGAGAGCCCGTCACGTGGCCGGTATTAAACGGATGATAAAGACATGGCTAGCTGGTCTTAAACACTTTTCCAGTGTCACAATAAAATGTGGACTCCTAAAAATCCAGTGCCTCTTGTCGTTTCATTGGTTGAACGTTCACAATCCTCACGTAGGCATGCGCAACACTACCAGGGAGTCAGAATTTTATAGTTCTAAATTCAAAACGCAACGCGCCAGGTGCGTTCTGCGCGACATCGCGCAGAACATGATACGCGCGCATCAATCTCCATAAAAGGGTTGTTTACATCTTACTCGCTGAACACTCCATTATTTTGCAAGAGGGATGTTTCAAAAAGCATAAAGTGAATTTGTTGAACAAAATCAGGATGTTTTGAACGAATTATATGATTTTTTCTTACCGAAAAGGTATTTATGAATGGGAATATATATGTGCTCCGTCGGTATTTATCACTCTGTTTAAGACCACTTAGAGTCTGGGTGCTGATAATTACCCTCGCCTCCGGCTCGGGTAATTATCAGCACCCAGACTCTAAGTGGTCTTAAACAGAGTGATAAAAACCTCCAGAGCACACATTTATTCCCTTATTACCATTTACTCCGTGCACCAGCAAGAGAGATGGCTTTTGAGAGCCCTGTGGACGGGACACAGTGTGAGCATACTGGTTTCATGTGCGTATAGCGTGGAGTACACATGACTTATTTTATTCCAATTGTGCACAAAGCCAAAGCATCTTCGCGTGAGCATCACGCGTCATTGGCAATGCGTTTGAATGTCTCTCCCAGTGGTCTCCCCCAACTCTCTCTTTCTTAATGTTGAGGGAGTACTTGTGCATGGAGCCCATGGACCTAGTCAATGCATGTTGTGGTCAAATGACGACTTTTACCATGAAAAAGCAGACCTCTGAATTCTACATAGTATGTTTCAGTCCAATTATCAGGCATGCAACTTTTCCTCCGATTCGCAGATTTCCTTGTTTTTTACTTTTCATGAAAACCATTACAAATTGAAAAACACTGTACAAAGTCTTGTGTGTTTTGGAAGTTCCTCGTTTTTTTGTAAATTCCCAGTTGCATGCCTGAATTATGGGAAATTGCAAAATGTGCTTGGTAAACAGTTACATTTGGGAGGGGGGGGGGGTTAATATGCTACAGACATTAGGGCAGCTGATTTGCATGTCAGCATCTGACAGACTTGACATGTTGACATGTTGACATGGTTTATATTGACAGCAACGTTTTGCATTTGCAGCATTGACACATTTCTGTCACTTTGATTTTCAGAATATTCTATGAGCTGCAGATGCCATCTAAACCTGTATCAGCCCAGTCTGTCACAGCTGACACATCACTGCATCATCACACAGATGCCGATAACTGTGGAGATAGCATTACTAGTCAGAGTGTAGTTCCTGTCAAACAGACGAGTCCAGGAACCATGCAGGATATGAAAGAGACTGAGGCAACAGACCAGATACCATCATATCATTCAGGTAGTGTTGCTACAATTAGAATTCAAATGGATACTGAGGATTCATTATCTGCTAATTGATAAGTACTTACACATTTTCCATGTGTTCCTACTTTTGAGAAAAAAACAAAAGATGCGGTTTGGGGAGAATACAAAAATGACACACTAGGTTTTCTGTATTCAGGCATGCAACTTTTCCTCGGTTCAGCTGATTTCCTCTTTTTTTACTTCCCATGTGTGCCATTGAAAATAAAAAAACACTGTACAAAGTCTGGGAAAATTTTGAATTTCCTCTTTTTTTTGTGATTTCCAAGTTGCATGCCTGTGTATTGTTTTCCAAGGTTTTGTGAGGGTTTTACTGGGTACCTCGGGGTTCAACCGGCCTCGAGTAAATGCTGAATCAAATCATGAACATTGTGAGATAACACTATTGGTGGAGGGCAGAATTATGTGTATTAAATCCACAACTTGTGGCATTAATCTTATCATCTGCCATGCTGTTATATCTGCTGCTCTAGGAGGTTTTTAAATCTGCCATTCAACCACTGCAAGCTTGTTAAAAGGTGGGTGGGGGTATAGTTTCCACTCCTGCATGAGTGAACTTTTATCTTAGAAAGCACTAAGTATACAGAACTATTATTGGAGCTCACAAATGTGTAAGTGATCAAAAGCAACAAAAACCATTACAATCTATTTTGAGTAATTCAGTTGTGTGAAGCACTGTGCAAGAGAAGTTCTATACTAGCAAGAAGCCTTAATTTTGTATAAATTAAGAGCAAACCCCCTAAATGCTACTGTTTTCGCAATAGAGTGTGGAATCCTATACATCTCAAGATTGACTTTCAAGAATGTAAATATTATTTGCTTTATCACAGCTCTGAGTTGGTTGAAAGATAAAGCACCACTCACTGAAGAACAGTTGCAGGAATTGTACATCCAAATGAAAGACTTTGAGGTTTGTATACATGTATGACTTTTCTATCACTGTTTGAGGGTTGCTCATGCAAACTAGGCTGCTATGAATCGATATGCCCGCAAAGCAGGCGACAACCAGCGAAGCCTCCACGCCCATTTTGCACACTCGCACATTTTTAATGTACATATGTAAACTTGCAAGATAGAAAGGACCCCTTATGTGCATGTGTTCATGTACCTATATGAACAATAGACATTGGAAAATTTAAAAGAACATGTTACTTGTCATTTATTGTGCAATAATAGATGCAAAGCAGGCAAGACAACCAGCGAAACCTCCTCGCCCACTTTGCACACTCGCACATTTTTAATGTACATATGTAAACTTGCAAGATAGAAAGGACCCCTTATGTGCATGTGTTCATGTACCTATATGAACAATAGACATTGGAAAATTTAAAAGAACATGTTACTTGTCATTTATTGTGCAATAATAGATGCAAAGCAGGCAAGACAACCAGCGAAACCTCCTCGCCCACTTTGCACACTCGCACATTTTTAATGTACATAAAAACTTGCAAGATAGAAAGGACCCCTATGTGCATGTGTTCATGTATCTATATGAAAAATAGACATTGGAAAATTTAAAAGAATATTTTACTTGTCATTTATTGTGCAAAAACTGTACTGATAAATTATCATCGGCTATTCATCCATCCTAAATAAAAAGTCAATATCTCTTTTGTTATGGCTGGTATGTAATGGTTATCATCACAATGAACCAATGGTCCATTATATAAGTTGACTTTGATTTCTGCTATTTTTGTTGCTGTCATAGGAAGCACTGCCCCATGTGCAGCCCTCAGCCAAACGAGAAGGCTTTGCTACTATACCAGATGTGACATGGGATGATGTAGGGGCATTACAATCAGTCAGAGAGGAACTCTCTATGGCAATTCTGGTAACAAATAATAATTAAATAAATCACACTTTCTTAATTGCACAATTTTTTTTGTTGGATGCTTTTGTGACTTGAATTATTTTATATAACTCCCAGGCTCCAGTGAGAAACCCTGACGCCTTCAAGGCCCTGGGTCTAACAACGCCGCCTGGTATTCTGTTAGCTGGTCCCCCTGGATGTGGTAAGACACTGCTAGCAAAGGTAAGGATACTGGCCGAGTATTACAGTGTATACCTTTTTTATTCTGTCCTGGACCAATGTTTATTGATAAGTGGGCTATATGAACTCCTTGCATAAGAGAGTTGGGAGAGACCGCTGTGAGGGACATTCAAACGCATTACCGTTGGCGCCTGACACTCACACGAAGACACAACTGGTCTGTGCACATTCAGAATAAAACTAGTCGTGCAGACTTCATGCCATACGTGCACAATCTAGTGATGTGTCCCGCCCACTGGAGCTTTCAAAAGTGGTCAAAAAGTGCCGTCTACCATTCCGGCATGGAGTCTATAGTGATGGTTGAATAGTGAAAAGTAATCAACTTTTAGCCAACAATGTCACATTGTGTCATTTATGCGCATTGACTTGAATTGATAACTTTCACCTCTAATGCTAGCTGTTCTGTATTCACATTAAGATGATATTTGGCAATACTGTGATTTGTTTCCCTGTTTTTCCCCAAAAAACTGTCTTCTTTTCCAACAGGCTATAGCTAATGAATCAGGCATCAATTTTATATCAGTAAAAGGTCCCGAGCTCATGAATATGGTAAGTCACATGTATCTTGGGTCAGGTTTCATATACATGCACATATTAGATTTGTTTTTACATTTGTAGCTTTCACTGAGATAATTAAATAATGAGCCATGATCCTATTTATAGACTATTTTATGATAGGTGTCTCTGCATAACTTTCAGGACAATAAATAAATATAACTCATTTTGATGGAGGACCGTATTGATAATACTATCCTGCGTTGTATGAAAGACTATATAGATGAAAGACAACATGATACTGTCTGGCTGTGTGGCTTGAAACAGTCGCAAGAGCATTAACAAGTCTCTAAATAGTTTGTCTGATTTGTGACTCCCATGACTTAACTGTTGTCAACATGAGGTGACCTTGTGCCATTTCTATGGCTGATGAGCTTACTGGCCAGATTGTGTATCTAACCACAGTATGTAGGTGAGAGTGAACGGGCTGTACGACAGTGCTTCCATCGAGCTAGGAACTCAGCCCCCTGTGTCATCTTCTTTGATGAGTTGGATGCTCTCTGCCCTAAGAGGTCGGATTCCATGGAGGTAAATTAAAATTTGAAGGTTTTATATTTAAAAAAAATAGTACTTTACATGTAAAGCAGCTGTTTACATAAAATTTTCACATGGATGTGTGCAAAATTAACATCTCTAAAATAAGAACACACTCCTAGCCCAGGTTAACATTGTAATCATTTGACACCAGCATAGCTGATCTCATTTATGATACAGTTAACGTCTCTAGACTACATTGTTTGATTCTAGTCTGGTTCCAGTGCCCGTGTTGTCAATCAACTCTTGACTGAGATGGACGGTCTGGAAGCAAGGAAACAAGTCTTTATCGTTGGAGCCACAAACAGACCAGGTAGTGTTGGATAGAAGATGACTGGCAAGTTGTGTTTTAATAATTCTGGTGTCATTTTATTTCCGGAGGGATCACCACTGGTTTTTCTAGTTTGAAAAACACAATTGTAACCATCCGTTGATCAACAAGAAACAAAGGATGCCAAGTGTGCTGCAGCTGTGTTCCCATCATTTGATCAGGGATTGTATTATTTTTTTATATTTTTTTTTGCATATTGTGAACAGTGCTATTAATAGCCATTCTCTCTACATATATTCTCAGATATCATTGATCCAGCTGTGCTGAGACCAGGACGTTTGGACAAGACCCTGTATGTTGGCATCCCCAGTTCCAAAGACAGAGTAGCCATATTGAAGACAATCACCAAGGTCAGGGAAAAACAGAAAAACCAACCTGCAAAAAAAGACCTCTTATATATTATATTTTACTTGAACCTGTATGAGTATGTACCTAGGTTTTGTCTGAACTGGCTCGCCAGGCACACAAATACACATCAACAGACCAGTAATTAACCTTTTGATGCCAATCAACGGCTGTAGATGCAGCTCGATCAAGCCGATAAGCTGGGGGACTGCTATAGCCGCATTCCTGCTGCATAGCCGCATTCATGCAAAGATAGTGGCCGAATACCAGCATGTACACATTCCACTCAAAGTGCAGCTGTCCGTGGCCAAACAATACCAGCGTTAAGGGGTTAAAAAAAAGATCCAGCCCTGTGCTTTTTGGTACAGTTCATGAAATAGGATGGAATTCTGATGTAACTGTCTTGGTTATCCATGTGCTGAACTTACTGGAAGGCAACGTTTGGTAAAATAGGCATACACGAAGTTACGCATTGATGATCAGCTTTGTCCAGCTTTGTACACTGTGCTGATGAGTTCCTCATGTGCTTTTATGCATTGTGCATGAGCATGTACATGTACGTGTACTAGACATGTGACATGTATTGCAGATGGCTTTCCCCAAAGCCTGCTTAGCCCCATTCAGGCTTCAAACCTTCCTCCTTTTTGCAATCTTCTGTCTCCTGTCTTGGCTAAAAATGTTTGGATATAATAGGGATGATATTGTCAATTGTCAAGGAAGTATTTCTTTGTATACTGATAATGTCTTTCTCTCAGATTAAAAAGTCTGATTTCAAATTAAAGTCTGAACAATCTCATACTCTCTCCCCAAGTATACCATCTGGAAAGTCAGCTTAGCTGATAACTGAGGATGTGATGGTAACATGCTCAACTATCTATTCAATTCAAAAGTGGTCATTTCATTCCATTTACTACTTTCTGGTTATGCTTGATTTTTAGAATGGCACAAAACCTCCATTAACAGATGATGTCATTTTGGAGGACATTGGACAGGATCAAAGATGTGATGGTTTCACGTAAGACATTTTTGAAAATGTTATATGTTTTTATATTATTTTACTTTTTTTTCCATCCCAATGGTTGGGGTAGTCTTTGGAATATCCCCTTGCACAGCAAGGGTCTATGATATGCGAGCAGATTCGGCGATTGATTATGCCAAACAAGACTGTGTCTTGACCTCAAGATTCTGACCATTCAGCGGGCGCCTTCTGTATCGGGTCTTCGGTTACCTGTTGTCATAGACATGTAATAAAACCTAGACACGACATCTACTACCCTTTACGTTGTGAATTGAGCAAAAAATAGGCTGCGTCACATGGCCTGTAACGATGATGTTAAGCACTGTGTAAACATCCTGTGGCTTCTAATGATCATCACACATTTTAAATAACGCGCGTAATACTAACGCCCTCTTGGGCGTTCACGTCAGGCCCACGATGAGCGTTCGCATATTCTATACTCGCAGCATTTTGCTAACACTTTTGAGAGCCAATGTCGTGTCTAGGTTTTATTAGATCTCTATGCCCATTGTTGTTTAAAAAAAAAAGGCATAGGAATTGACAAATCAACAGCTTAGTCCACATTTCTGATCGAAATGACATCACAATTTTGTAAAGGCGACTCCGATTAACTGGCACGCAGGGTTGCATAAATTTGCATGCTTAGATATATCAGACGTTGGACCGGAGACATACGGCTTCGTTGGACAACGGATGATACATGACTTATCTTGCAAGCATAATGTGTGTGTTTTGAGACACATAGATTTTGCTCATCTTATTATTTCGGGGGTGTATCTAGTATTTAGAATTAATTCTTTTAAGCAGGATTATCCAAAACCTGAATTATAAGAATAAGATGAATGGTTATTTAAAAAAGGTTTCACTCACTGCATTAAATTTTATGTCACTGGTATTAAAAAGAAATTTAAAAATGAAACATTACATTTCTTTGTGACTGCTAATTTGAAAACATTCTCATAACTTTGATACCCCCATATGTTCGCAGTGGTGCTGACCTAGCGGCCTTGGTGAGAGAGGCTTCCATGGCTGCCCTAAGGGCAGTCCTTTGGAGCGTACCATCAGACAATAGCCAAAGGGGTGATGGAACAGAGAGGGGCACAGGCAATACCAAAGTGGTTGTGACTGGAGCCAATTTTGAGTCTGCATTTGCCAAAGTCAAGGCTTCAGTTTCTAAAAAGGTCAGCTGTGATTCCTTTTCCTCTAGCGTAATAAGCTATGTTAAAGTTGCGTTCCCCGTGCTCTTCAACAAATTCGGTTCTTTTTCTATCAATACATTTTCAACTTCTATGTTTTATTCCAACCAAACACCTCCTTGTTTCCTTTTTTGGATGTCTGCAAACCTTGTTGGTTTTGGGCATAAACAGATCCGCTTTGTGAACAGACTGGCTCCCGGTCTGTACATTATGGATACTGATTGTGGGGCGGGAACCCACCATACCTCCCGAGCAAGGGCGGATCCAGGGGGGGGCCAAAGGGGGCCATGGCCCCCCCCCCCCCCCCAAACGAAACCAATTTTTTTTTTTTATGTGACATCGCAAAAAAGGCAGGCAATGAGTACACCACCATCTTTTCCTCAAAAAAACATTGGTTAAAGTGGTCAGAAATTGCCTCAGATCGCACCACAGAGCATCTAGAATCCAAAAATTTGTCGGGGCCCTTAAGCGGGCCCCGAACCCCACGCCGTAATTTTTGGACCCACTTTTTTGGAGGACCAAACATTTTTTTGGCCCCCCCCAAAATTGTGTTCTGGATCCGCCCTTGCTCCCGAGAACAGAATTATTATCTGGCAGCCAACACTTTGAAATTGTATGGTAATAATTCAATAACTAAACATGGGTCGATTCTTTTATCACTCAAAAGTAAATCAGTGTTGTATTGTTACAAAAATAACAAATCAGAAAAGGAATCTATTTTGTGGGACTAAACTCGAAAATAGCACGGGGAAAACAACTTTAAATATTCTTTTGGATGTTCTATGTTTATTCAGTTACTTGCTTTGTGATGTTAATAGGCCATTGTCATGAAATATAAAGCTGATCAGGTGACTTGTCACAGGCCTTGACCCTGACACTTCATTCTATATTCATTTATTTGTGCACAAAAACCTGCAGTACAGTTGAGGGGTCTATTGTTTTCATGGGATTCCAAATTCCACACTACATCTCATTGTTACAAATACTTGTGGCTCAACACTGTCTGTATGATGAGGCCAAATAAAAAAAAAATAGGTTTGCTTCCGATTACATAGCATTTGAAAATAGGGTAGGTACTAGGTAGGTAGGGAAACTTTTTTTGTTTTTGCAATTTTTGTGTGTACGATCATACATGGAGGTGTCTGCGTGTAGTCAAGGGTAAAAGGTAGAAATTGATGGTTTTCAGGGTTTTTCCCCTCATTTTCTTCCCCCCCCCAAAAAAAAAAATTAGGGTAGGGGCTATCGATATAGGGAAGGTAGGGTAACCGGAAGCAGAACTATAAAAAAAATTTGGCCTTATGCATATGCCCATTACTTGTGAAGAGTTCACACATCCGGGTTTTGTCTCTGGCTTACAATGGGACCATGTTCTCTCTCTGGAACATCAAAGCCTGTAATATGAAACCAAACTTGAGAGTATTTCTATATGATCTCCTTCAAAATGATTCTGAAGCCAGAGATGAAGCCAAGATTTCAACAACAAAAAAGGATACAATGTGAATGTTCATTAGCATAGTGTGTCTAGTATGTTGACTCAAAGTGACTCCACTGAGGCTGTCTTCTTTACTTATTACAGGATCAGGAGCGATACAGGAAACTTCGCCAGAATGCGCTAGACTTGTCAGATGCACAGGAAGAAACAGTTCAAGACATGAGCTGATGTCTACTCAAATAGAAACTATTGCCTTGTTTGATGTGATGAACATCCAGTGGTCTACACACTACCTCACTCTTCACTAGACCAAATAGACTATGAACTCTGTGTATGAACTGTAAATGGCCCTATCCATGGAGGTAGGAATAGAAGGAGTTAGCGCAAGCACAGATCAAACGTGCCATGTCTCATGCCGCGATTGATCAGATAACGACTGCAAAGTAAACGCATTCCACACTCAGCCTGCCAAAAATCGCAAAACTGCATGCGCATCGCATGCGGCTTACGGAGAACTGCCACTAAGTTTCGTTTTTCGTCACCGCAAAAAAGTAGTTTTTTCAAAAGTGCTCAGTATTGCTAAGTTACGGTTCTTGCATCATTTGAAAGCGCTACATTTCCGAAACATTTCCTTTTATTTTTATTCACAGGGCATAGCAGGAACCTGCCAAAAAATGTCTTACATTTCACCAGGTAATTCACGAAATTTCACATTTTTCTGAAATATAAAAATATTACTTGCCGAACGAATTATTGGCTGATTTTCATTGTTCAAAAGACGACATGACAAAGATTTTTGTTGCGCATCCGAAAAACAGACCCCGATATCGTGCCTACACTCGAAACATACTGCACATGTCCAAAGTATATATTTGATTGTTGGATGGTAGGAAGCATGTACTCCAGTCAGGCTTCTTCGGAAGTGAACGGAGCTGAGCGGTCGCCATTAGACATAGCGTTCAAGGGGATTAACGGCTGCCGTTAAAATGCCAAGGCGCTGCATGATATCCCATAGCTCACCACAGTGGCCTGGAATATGCAAGTGGGATGCTAAGTGGGATTAAAACAAGGAGGGTATTCATGCTAACTCCTCCTATTCCTACCTCCACGCCCTATCTAGCCCACTGCAGAGCTCCAGTCTTCCAGGACTCACCATGTACTGTTCATAAGACCAATTTCCACTGTTGTGTACTTGCTTTGCCACATTTCTACAGTAAAATTCAAGTGTTCATAATTTCTCTTTTTCACCATATTAGCATTTTTAAACTTTGGCACACACAATAGGAGTAAATTTGTCATAGTACAAACGAGTTAAAGCACTCCAAATACCGCCCTCCTATTGTGTCTATCATGACTCATGACTAATAAGGCTAATGGAGTTCATAGGAAGGAAGAATTCTCATGGCACATGGCAGTTAATCAGACTCAGAACCTGCAATGTTATTGGCTGGTCTTACTGAAGCATACATCATTTGTGCCTGTGTACACATGTGCACACAGGTTTGATTTTTATTTTCTTCAATAATTATGTACTGGCCGTGCTATTTTACCCTAACAAATAGATTATATTTTTAAAATTGCTGTATTCACTTTTGAATTTCACGAAACAAAATAGTTATGTAATAATTACTTCAAAAATTAAGAATCACTTGCAACCAAAAATATTTACATTGCCCCAGAGTAGACTGGTTCCCGCCCTGCTATCAGCATCAGTGTTGTAGGGAACCAGTCTACTTGCAGGAGGGATCCATTTGTGCTTATATTTTTCAGAGGATTGCATATGCCAAAAATAGAAGGGTAACAATTGTAATACTAAAACTACTACTCAAACTGAAAGTCATCAGGAGAAAAAAAAACACAAATAATTTACCGAGAAGGACAGTAAATCTGCAAATGGAATTTGAAAAGACCCACAATGAATATACACATGACTTTCTGCTTGTTTTTAATATTTATTGTGTCATTTTAAAATACTTTAAATACATGAGCAGTAAAGCCTGTACATTACATCAAGCAACATAATAAATAGAAATGAAAAGAGAATCTTGTGTTCTGACAGTTCTGCACATTGTTTCATTGTTGAACTTGGTGCAAATGGAATACTGTTGTGAGAGTATTAAATTTCTTTAGTTGTGAAGTATCTATTTTTACGTCATAAACATTTCTAAAGAACCTTGATGCTAAAATTGAGGGAGTAAATTGTTTTACAAGATAATTTGAAGGCCAAACCAGTCTGTACGCTCTGGAAGATTGCTGAGCCTCCAACCATTCAAATGTGTTTGCAAGGACAGACATTTAAACTCTCAACACCATCAGTTAAAAGAAAATACATTAACCAAATTCTACTGTAGCTTATTATTTACAAATGACTTGGAAAAAAACACACCTATAACAATAGTACAATTGATGCATTAAATTGCATTGAGTTAAAGAGTTGCTCGAAAGAATCCTAGCGGCCACCTTGAGCAACTCAAAATGTTTTATAAAACCACAACTTTGGAAATGGGCATTGGGCATTAGGCAGCATATGTTGGTGTACATTAATAGCATTAGCAAACTGCTGTGACCCCCATTTTGCCATTACTCCCAAATTATGTATTAACCCTAACCGCCCTGAATCCTTCAAAATCCTCTTTGCCAAAGTGGAGGAATTTGGAGGATTGAGGTTACATGACAAAAGTGCGTTACTGGTTTTGTAGGATGCACTTTGTCAAGGTCTTGGGCCGGACCATGTGTTGTTTTTGCTCAGCCATGCATAAATATAAGCCTTGGTTATGCTTGAAATCCTCCGTACTGCTCCAGGATGTCACTGGCCAAGCCTCAACATATTGACAGTCACTGCCGCAGGATTTTGCAGGATTCAGGCAGTGGTCACCCCTCCACGGACCATATTCAAGAAATGATGGAGGAATTTGCAGGATTGAGGCAATATGCTATTTTTCCATGAGGCCAATCGGAGGATTTTGCAGGATTGAGGCTACATCCTAGCAAAAAGGCCTAGGGAGTTAAGGTTAACGATCAGTCACTTTAATGTTGCAAATATTGACTAACTTTGAAGATAAAAGATATATCTCAAACAATCTACAACATGGAAGCTTAAAGGGAGTTTTAGCAATTACAAATAAACATGTGAGAAGCTGCTCTGCCCCCTCTGCTACAAGTCAGAGTGCTAAGAATGGACAAATTGTGTCAATGAGGGCAGCAAACAGAAGAGGCCTGTTTGCTTGTCACATGGTACAGCTCTCGCTCTCTCCCAAAAATCATAGATGCTTGGCCTGTATTGGTTATCCGCAGCGCTAAATTGCCGCTAAACATAAACGATGCGTGGATGCTACTTTATTCTGCCAGGGAGAACATCTTTGTAAAAAACTGTGCCTCTCACCTTTGTTAAATCTACAAAACCAGATGCGCTGTCAGACAACAGGCCCAGATTGTTTCAATTCACGACCGAATCGTCAATTCAAATGTGTGAAATGCATGCACTATGCGCATGTACGAATATGGCACATAACAGTTGTTTGAATGTAGAGCCGTACCTCAATGTCGTCATAATGGGCTTGTAGCAGATGCTACCAACGGCTTTGTTTTGCTTCTGGCTTTTGGCAGAGGGGGCAGAGCTGCTTTTTAACTTGTATTGTTTTATGGCTGAAACTCCCCTTATTTAGTTTTTGATGTAGATTGCTTCAAATATATATAATCTTCCAACCTGGTCAATGTTTGCCACATTGAAGTGACTGATGTTTAAAGGACTACATTGTACTAGTCAAAATGCACCATTTGTAAAGCATTGTGGCTGGTTGGTCCATGTGTTACAAAAAGCAATATTAAGCAAATTGCCTGGTTTAGAAGTGCCAACTGTGACCCCTGACCCCAGGGACAGGACACTATGAACCCTTAAGTGGGTAGAGTACATCATAGTGACCCGGTCTGTACAGCAAAATGACCTGTGGTGAACAGCCTTCTGGGAAATCATGCGGGATGACTTTGCCTCCATCTCCTCGGTCCAGATAGACAACACGAACTCCGACCCCCAGGGCAGAGGTCAGCGCAATAATGTGAATATGATCACTCTCTCTGGCCATTGGTTCTACTTCCTGCACAAGACAAACAGATCCAAATGGATTTAATCCAACAAAAAACATAAGAATGAGAGTTATCGGCGTTTGACTTGTCTGTCGGTCTCAGATATCTCAATACGTTCTCATTGAACCCACAGTGGACATACACACACCAGGCCAGCCCTTTGGATATGGTTGGATATCTTAATACTCACCTTAATTCCTCACACTCAAAATGACTGGTCTAAATGCAGCAGTCCAGGGTTTCTCATATTTGCGCAGAGATTCGTCATCACTGACCATTAACGACAATTATGTACATTATTTTACATTATTTTTCTCATTTTCTTTGCCTTTCACAATACTGTGAAAACCTGGCCACGTTTTTCATTACTTAAGCATCCTATCAAACAAGGGGGTTGTCATCACTGACATAAGCATATTTTGTTGTAAAAGTCATACTTCATTCTCCACAAGATAGGATAAGCACTATCCCACTGGTAAAAATAAAGTGTGATGTTAATACGATGTATACCACTCCAAATTTAATGAGGTCTAGCTCCAAACAGGACGTCTAGAGAAAATTCATTGGCCATATTGTTCTGTAAGAATGTATGCAATAACTTGGAGTGTTTCAAAATGTCTGAACTATACATGTATACGCATTGGCAAGAGCAACTAAGGAATGGCATCCATTCTTGCAGCAGAAAGTCCTATAAAAAATTAAAGTTTACAATATGTGATCACTAATTTATCCAGCCTTGGATATGGGAAAAAAGACATACACTTGTGAGTAATGCTTGGTTTACGATGAGCCCAAAGCTGAGGAAAATAAATATAAAGCTTCAAATTAAGCAAATTGTTCATTTACCCGACGACAAAACTCCTTGACCGTCCTTTCACCTTCAATGAAATTCTTGTAGAATTCAGCCTCCTTCTGTAGTTGACCTGAGGTCAGTAACCTCAAATAGACCACGATGTAATCGCTGATTCCTTGGTCCCTGAAGGTATCAACCAGCTCATCTAATACAGGTTGTTTTTCAACTTGTTGAATCACCTCCATAAACTGTGGATCAACAAATCAACATCCACTGAGTGCTGGTTAAAAACGTGGTTTAACATAGAGGGAAACTGATTCATGAAGTGAAACAAATCAATAAAACAGGGACTGTGCATGGAAAGCGTTGGTGGGGCTGTATCACAAGAGTAAGTGCCCAAATTTATTAGAACATGTCTTTGTTTTGCATTTCACCACTTGAGGGAGTGGTTGTGCTCAAAACCCTGTGCTCAAAACAATCCATAAAATTTCACAGCCCAAAAAATCTGCAGTAACTCATCAACAGGGTCAGCGATGCTACTTCAGTATTTGGTGAGATTTGCTGGAAATACCCACAGGCACTCACCGTTTCATGAAAATCTGTGATGGTAAATGAGGGAAAACCAAGGGATACTAGTTGGTCCTTACTAATCTCAGCAGCTGCTTTAAACCTGTATGATCAAACAAAAATGTTGGAAATTGACACGTTTGCTTCAATATAATACATGTGCACAATGTACATGTACATTGTAGGGCATTATAGTCACACTATCCTTGGCAAGTCATCCTTTTGTGTTCTAAGGCCTCACGACCCCTCAAGTAGGTGTCAATCTTGTAACTAATTGGTCATGGTTCCCTTGAAACTGCACATTTAAAAAAAAAAAATCTATTTTTTGGGGGGGGGGGGGTTGGGGGTTTGGGTTGTTAAGTGGGGAGGGAGCGTAAAGTGAGAGGGGGGCACTGTACTCCTTGACCTACAAGGTAAATTCTACCTCGTCCTCTCGACCTTTTTTCAAGATTTCTTGTAAACAAACAAAAGTATTGGTTTGAAATATAAATCTCTTGTATTGGTCAGTTTTACCTTGAGAGTTCCTTTTTATCAGTGAGTAGCCTCTCTAGATAGGCAAAGCCAAATGCCCTGAAGAAGCAATTGCCATCACCTCGGGTTTTCCTGATGTGTGAGTATTGCATTGATAAATCCTACAAGAAAAAAAAACAATCAACAAGAAGTATAATCTGAGCAACAGAGGTTACTCTACATTACATCACTTAGCATTGGTGCACAAAAACTTTGCATTAAATTGGACCTTTCAAGACCTTATTGTGTCAATTTTCAGTGACAAAATATGTCCAACAGTGAGCCCACAGAGTGTTATGGTGTTTTTTATTCAAAGAATACTATTTTCTTATCTTTTTTTGTTGCAGTCATTCAATTTCAGAGACAGAGTTGCACAATCTTTTAGAGACAATTTTGAGATCAATTTTCCTCATAAAATATTCTGTTTTAATTTTTACTTGCAAAAGCCTATTTTGTATGTTAAAAGCCAAACATTTAACACAAATCTGGCATTTCAGTTGTGTGAGGTCACAGAAAAGGTCTGAGTACCGACACTGATGTCCAAGTAGAAGTCTTCAAATTCCACTCACGTCAATCTTAGCTTTATAGACTGGGTCATCAAGGTACTCCTCGCATAGGACATTGATTGGATATGTCTGACTGACCAATGGATTATTCTCTTTGATCTGGTTGAAAAATGAACAAAGATTAACAACAGTTTTTACTTTGTAAAGTTATCAAAATTGTAGTAGTTTTATGTATTATAAGATTCAGAAATAATACACAGCTGCTGATTTAGAAGAAAAACACCAAGCGAGTAGTGAGTCTATCATGTGGCTATTTGGTGAGACCATCTAATTAATCTGAAAAATAAGCCATTAGATGCCATCTTTTTAACTGGAAAGTATGATAGTCTGATCAAGGGTCTCAGAGAGCATATGCACAAATATTTTCATGAACACCAAAATACCCAAACTTGACCAACTGCATCAGAAGTAGCATTCATGGGATCATTATATTTGAACAAAGATTCATCACCATTCACTAATAGTTTGAGACCGGTTGCATTTCTTCACGAAACTTGGTTGTTTCTATGATATACTCCAATCCATCTCATGCTCATAGATACTGCCATCTTAGTGACTTCATTGAAAATACGTCCCATCATGCTGCGGATACAATGGCATAATGGGATGTTTTTTCAGTAAAATGCCTCAAAGATTACCACATAATCACAAAGATGGCGGTATACGTGAAACGGTCCATTGAAAGCCTGTGCTTCCCTCACTCAAAGCATCAAGTCCTGATTAGAAAAAGCAACTGGGCTATGCTTACCTCATTCTGAATGCGTTCTTGTTGGGCAATAATCGCCTCATCACGTGCCATGCCTAAACACCACATACACATAAAAAATAACAGAAAATACAGTTAATGAGGAATTCTTGTGTTGTACTAGTTGTTTGAAAGTGGACAGGGAATAAGGTGCAAAATTCCTAGTTTTGACTACCTCTTGATAATGCCAATTCGAAGACGATGTCTAGTTATCTCCAAGTTTCCTCTCAGAGTTACAGGACAACTAAACGTCTAGAGGTAGGGAATTTGATTTTTCCGGCTTTTAATCTAGTAAGTAGCCTCCACAGCAAATATCAAGTGGAATAACAGTCTAGATTTCAAATTCAGGGAACACAACTGGTCAAGTTATTGTTCACGCATTGCTGTGTGGATCACAATACGGCAATTGTGTAGTTATGGGTACCGTTCCTATAGAGCGTGTATAACTTAAGTTGACCTCAAAACCCTGCAAGATTTTACAAGAATACAGCACAGTCCAGGCCCCATGTATAGGATCTACGGGTGTAATGTCCTACATGTATTTTTTTCATTTATTTTGTGTCCTGACAGGGCCCATCCAATCAAGGGCAATAAATGGGTATTTCGAAAGAAAGGAAAAGCATTACAATTTATAACATATTGAAAATTCTGCAAATTGATGACTAATGCCCCACAGCAGTATACAACTTATCAGAAACAAGGATACATACAGCTACCTTACTTTTCCATTTAAATATAAACTTAAAATTGTTGACCTCAACTGCAGTTCAATCAATCATGCGGATAACAAGTGGGTAAATTCAACCACAATAGTCTGACACTAAACTAGTCAGCGTTTGGTACCCAGACACTCACATGAAAAGTAAACGTGGGCAGGCCATCACCGGGGAAGTTTTTTATTGTTAGGCAAATTAAGACTAAGTTATGGGGACTTTCTGCTGTCCCCACAGGGTCTTCGGTCCCCATAGTACCATGGGACAATTCGTGTGTAGTCCTAACGGTTACAGAACAAGTAGGTGTGGGCGTTATAGGGAAGTTTTCATTGTTTGGGTAATCAGGACTGAGTTATGGGGACTTTCTGCTGTCCCCACAGGGTCTTTGGTCCCCATAGTACCATGGGACAACTCGTGTTTAGTCCACACAACTACGGAACAATGTGTGGACTGGCGAGACTTACTAAGGCCAAGCAAAAAATTTTACCATTTTCTCGTACCCGCCCGCCTCTTATTTTCTCTCTTTTTCCCCCTTTTTTATAATTCATACATTTGCAATATCTTTTGGCACATATATTGTCACTATTTTGCAGACTTGTACATGCATTTGAGTCACCAAACATCGAGTCCGAGTCCGAGTCATCTCTCCCAAGTCTGAGTCCGAGTCCTGAGTCATGCAGGTCGAGAGTCCGAGTCCGAGTCAGAGTCACCATTGATATTGGAAATAAAATTGAGGTACTGCTAAAACCTCACAGTGTAAATGTTTCCATTTTTCCACAGCTTTCTCTAATTTAATTAATGAACTGGAAATAAGGCAAGGCACCTGGTATGGAAAGGGTAATCTGGTACCAAACACTATCAAGCTTGCATTTAATACGCACTATTAAGTGTGGATGCTGGGGTACATGTTTTAATACATTGATTCCCCAAATCAGTATAGGCCTAGGGCGCGCTTGTGACGTGGCACTGGAGCCATGGAGGCGCGGCGCCTTGGAGCTGTGGAGTCGCGCGCAGGTAGAAGGCGCAATTCTCGGAGGAAGGTCGACTGCGGCTCCACGCAGCCATATGGAGGCGCGGATATGGAGTGGACAAATGGTGGAGTGGCCCTGTATTTTATAACTGTGCCGTACTTTTATAGTAGGCCTACTTGGACTATCTGCAACCTAACGTAGACTTCTCTTTCAGTTTTATGACCATTTTTGTGGTAGTTTTGAACAATCATGACAGTCATGACTTCTTGTGCATTTTGGTCGAAACTGACATAGGTTGCAGAAGTCATTTAGGAATGATAAAAAAACAATTGTGATTGAGGCTTTCTTGACCAAAACTAAAGAGGGGCCCGTAACTACACAATCGCCAGCTCCACAGCCTAGGCACCCATGCATGTAACACTAGGCTGACAGGTGAACCAAACGGACAATGAATGAAAGTTGAAACGCTGATGAAACATAGTCCGAGTAACCAGGACTCTACGAATCACCTTTTTTTTTTTACATTTGGACATGGTTTCACCCCCAAAACAGTCTTCAAACTGCCTTATGCGCCCCTGTAGGCTTCAGTGGGAATTGGAAATACAAATGGTGGTGGTTAGGTAATACATACCTTTTGGAAGAAAAGAGAAATTTCACCTTCAATTCGGGAAACATCCTTGTCACAAACACATTGTTTGAGGCTGCCATTTTGAATTCAGGAAAAGCATCAGACAGACCAATCACAGGGCACTTTGATTGGTCACCTGGATTGGTGACCAATCAAAGTGCCCTGTGATTGGTCAGGTGACAAATCAAAGTGCCCTGTGATTGGTCTGTCTGATGCTCGCCAAGAAACAGTCTATAGCCTAGTCCGAGTAACTAGGACTCTACGGATCGCTTTTTTAACATTCGGACATGGTCGGGCGATAGTAGACTCCTAGGTACGTGGCCGTATATGGGCACCATTAACGTGTTTTGACCATTTTCACTCGTACCCCTAATCAAAATCGTCAGATTTCACCACAAAAACAGTCTTCACACTGCCTTATGTGCCCCTGTAGGCTTCAGTGGGAATTGGAAATACAAATGGTGGTGGTTAGGTTCACATACCTTAGAGATACCTTTCAATTCGGAAACCGAGCCTCGCCGAGCTGTCGTGCCGGTAACCGCCATCTTGAATGTTGTTGTTGTGTACGATTCATTCAAATTCATTCCTGAACGGCACAGCCTGCACATATTGCATAGCCGTGTATGCGATATGTGCAGGCTGCGCGCACCGTTCAGGAAACAGTCGCTGGTGTACGCGTGCACACACGATATGCCCGACTGTGAATGCAGGCGTGCGCTTGGCCGGCGCGTCGTACGTCATCAGTTTGACCTCACAATTTGAATGAATCGTACCCAACAACAACATTCAAGATGGCTTTTACCGGCACGACAGCTTGGCGAGGCTCGGTTTCTGAATTGAAAGTGAAATTTCTCTTTTCTTCTCTAACTATGTGAACCTAACCACCACCATTTGTATTTCCAATTCCCACTGAAGCCTACAGGGGCGCATAAGGCAGTTTGAAGACTGTTTTTGTGGTGAAATCTGACGATTGTGATTGGGGATACGAGTGAAAATGGTCAAAACACGTTATTGGTAACCATATACGGCCACGTACCTAGGACTCTACTATCGCCCGACCATGTCCGAATGTTAAAAAAGCGATCCGTAGAGTCCTAGTTACTCGGACTTTCTATAGCCAGCAATGCACCAGTCTACTTTTCCCAAATTGAAGGTGAAATTTCTCTTTTTTTCCAAAAGGTATGTAAACCTAACCACCGCCATTTGTATTTCCAATTCCCACTGAAGCCTACAGGGGCGCATAAGGCAGTTTGAAGACTGTTTTAGGGGTGAAATCTGAAGATTTTTGATTACGGGTACGAGTGAAAATGGTCAAAAAAGTTATTAGTAACGCAATAAGGCTATGTATCTAGGACTCTACTATCGCCCGACCATGTCCAAATGTTAAAAAAGGCGATTCATAGAGTCCTAGTTACTCATGAAACATTAGTCTACATCATGTTTCCTTGCTGACGAACAACGGAGGAAAAAAACATGATATGCCCACTAGCTACCAGTAGTCCGAGTAACTAGGACTCTACGGATCGCTTTTTAACATTTGGACATGGTCGGGCAATAGTAGAGTCCAAGATCGATGGCCCTATTGCGGTTACTATTATTTTTTTTTTACCATTTCACTGCCTTATGCGCCCCTGTAGGCTTCAGTGGGAAGTGAAAATACAAATGGTGGTGGTTAGGTTTACATACCTTTAGGAAGAAAAGAGAAATTTCACCTTCAATTCGGGAAACATCCTTGTCACAAACGCCTTGTTTGAGGCTGCCAATTTGAATTCTGGAAAAACAGACTTGTGCATAGCTAGCTCTGGCTACACTGTTTCCTGGCAAGCATCAGACAGACCAATCACAGGGCACTTTTGGTCAGGTGACCAATCAAAGTGCCCTGTGATTGGTCTGTCTAATGCTTGCAGTGCGTTTTGGCGGTCATAACCAAGAATTGGTTCGGTGGTTTCTTGTCGGTGAATTTCTTCTGCAAATTTAATTGGGTTAGAATTACGCATGATCATGTAGTACTCAAATCCCCAAAACAATTAACCAAAGAGAAACCACCGAACCAATTCTTGGTTATGACCGCCAAAACGCACCCCAGCCCCTGAGCTATGCACAAGTCTGCTTTTCCTGAATTCAAAATGGCAGCCTCAAACAAGGCATTTGTGACAAGGATGTTTCCCGAATTGAAGGTGAAATTTCTCTTTTCTTCCTAAAGGGGAGTAAAGGTATGTAAACCTAACCACCACCATTTGTATTTTCACTTCCCACTGAAGCCTACAGGGGCGCATTAGGCAGTTTGAAGACCGTTTTGGGGGTGAAATCTGACGATTTTGATTGGGGGTACGAGTAAAAATGGTCAACAAAAATTAATAGTAACCGCAATAGGGCCATCGATCTCGGACTCTACTATCGCCCTAGACCCGTGAACGTGGCTATGTTGTGCCCATTCTTGAAAATCACGCATTCTCGAGAATGGGCGCGCATTCTTAAGAATGAGCGCCCATTCTTAAGAACGAGCACGCGTTCTTAAGAATGAGCGCTCATTCTTAAGATTGGGTGGGAATATCACGTGCACAATTTATGAATTTTGCCCAATCTTAACAAACATTGCACGACATAATTATGTTAAATGAATTGTATAGCGGTTAAAAGGGAAACAATTCATATAAAGAGGAAAGAAAATGTTCTATGCTTCTGTACTCGTATAACTACGATAATTTGAATCAAATTAAACCTGTTATTATTGCTTTTTTCTTCCCACTATGGGAAGTTTTGTAATAACGGAGGACTGGGAACTAGTCTGGGAAGTGCTTTATTTAGGCTAGACAAGTTACAAGTCCCTGCATGTATCATATGCGTGCCACGAAAAAAAAATGATGTCCAGAAGCTGCCAAAATTGCTCTTTTGACTAGATAGTAGGGCCTATCTAGTCAAAAGAGCAATTTTGGCAGCTTCTGGCTAGTAGATAGAATCCAGCTTTGCGACGTTATGGTGGGGTGTGAACAATAAATTGGTGGCAATTTAAATGGGAAATAGCATTAGTACTATGGGATGTCGCAGTATTCATTCTCATTCTTCACATTCTTCATTCTTACGTCCCCCCCCCCCCCGCTTTTATTATCCCAAAACTCAGAATTCTTTGCACTAGTATTATTATGTCTCTTATTTTTTCCCGCCCCCCCATATCAATACGCACGTACGCCTTTACTTATCATATCCACTCTACTTTTCAGCGCCTTGCGTTGCAACAGTATAATTATTGAGAATCTGTGAACGAGGATTCAGCTAGACTTGCCAAGCGCAGCCGGTGCTCGGCATCGACAAGACCGTTATCTTGTCGCGCATTCTCAAGAATGTGCGCTCAATCTGGAAGAGTTATTTTTTGCCAAGATTGAGCAAGGATCCAGTTGCACATTCTCAAGAATGTGCTTGCCCATTCTCGAGAATGCGTGATTTTCAAGAATGGGCACAACAGCTATATAGTCGTGTTCCCTAACGTGGCGCACTTCGAAGCTTACCCAACTTTCCTCGTGTAGTATTGCCAAACCTCTTTGTTGACAAACCTCAAATTCATGCAGTGAAAAACTGGTACTTTTACCTTATTAATGCTTGCTATTTAACCTCTGTGAACAATTTCGGTTTCATAAAATTTAAGCCGAAATTGAAAAACGGTGGCGTCCGGAAATTGGGCACAAATTGGCGGAGTGTTCCCTAACGTGGCGCACTTAAATAAATCTCGGAAAATTCCAAGTTAACATTTAAGAATTTCTGTAAACTTGATAAATTTTGATAAGTCATTATTATCTCTACTTACATACCCAGCCAGATGTTTGTCAGAAAATTATTTTCTTATTTTTCGGGGCATTTTCAAAGGGTTCACTTTGCACTTGAAAATAAAATCGGAAAATCACGCCAAAAGAAATTTTTCTTTTAACTTTGTAGCGGGTAAATAAACTCGCGATTTATAAACGGGAGTGTTTAGAACTTGATGAAATTTCACTTTCTGTGAAATTTCAGTTAAAACTTTTGCAGTAGCTAGGCGCTACAGGCGAAAAATCAAAGTGCGCCACGTTAGGGGCCGCGCCACGTTAGGGTACATCAACAATATACATCACGTTCACGGGTCTACTATCGCCCGACCATGTCCAAATGTTAAAAAGCGATCCGTAGAGTCCTAGTTACTCGGACTACCCACTAGCCTACTCCTACGTAGGGTTTAGCTAGATTTCAGTGGAATAATATAAACTCATCATTATACCCGTAAGCTCTTCAATTTCTTGGTCAGTACCACCCAGGGCATCCGACTGTATCTGATTTTCTTCCATGATCGATGACAAACTCAGCTAGATAGCAATGACCAGCAGATCAGCATGCACTATGCACGGACTGCACAACAAAACAAGTTACAAGCGCAGCGCAGCACGCGAGCCTAGAATAGCGCCCTCTAGACCCACCACTCACTTTTTTTGGTTGGGGGGGGGGGTGTTCGGTTCCAAGATTTGTTAGAGAATTAAAAAAGGAGAATTACAAAAAAAATATTAATTAACTAAAAGTTCAGTTGTTAATATTCAAAGCCATACAAACCTAACATTCGAGTTGGATGATTTTTCAAACATAACTTATCTCAATTCATCTCCATCTGTGTATCTTAATCTCCACTTAACCTACCGTTTACTTTCACACATAAATTTTTCGCCACTTTGCCACTTTTCTAAATAATCATCTCAAAATATGTCAAAACCTGTATATTTCTCAAACATAAAGAGGAAACCTGCAAGGTTAAGCTTGTTTACCTGAACGTACGATCCATATGAGATCATTTTAGTGAGGCAACTTTTGCCAAGTGATGACATGCCACCTCAACGAATTCCCCTCCCATTCCTGTTATTTACAATTTATTTTCAGTTCCTTTGCACTAAAAGATAACTCACACACAATAAGATTGATTAATAAACTGCAAAGTTGTTTTAATTACACTGTAACATATTTCATTTTCCTGGGTTAATCATTCTCAACTTGATGACACACAACTTTACTGGGTTGACACAAAACATTTCTTATTCAAAGGTTTACTATGATGACACCCACAAAACCGAGGTAACAAATATATACATCAAAGGCAAAAACTACATGGATGACTACAAATATGTGGCATTTCTTCCAAATCTGGGTAAATAGTTTAAATAAAGGCAATAAGGCACATGTCAACCCAAAAATGTGCATGTGTTGGACACTATTGCACTTAAAAAGATTCTGAAAGCTAAGGAAGCAATATTTACATGGAAACAATCTGACATTTTCTCAACGCAAGATAGTGTGCCAAAATTAACAAATTAAAAAAAAAAAAAAAATTATCAACAAATTCATTACAATATTAATCTTGCATAATGTGATTACCAAATAATGTTTACTGATTGTACTTTTCAACAGTGTTTCATATTCACATTCATATCAAAAGTTTATCATTACCAGAAACACAAGATGTACAAATTATACATTACAACTAAAATTATTTTGTTATGCGGAAATATCATGGAATGGATATCTTTACAATTTCTTGATTTTGAAGAAAATGCTTTCAGTTGTCAAATTTCTAACTGAAAAGTAAGTATAAATACATGTATACCAGTTTATAAAAAATAAAGTTGAGTCTTTTTGAAAGTATTTCTGTCCGTCAAGAGTTGACTCAAAACCCTTCTGAAATATGTTTATCTGTTTTTGAAATATGTTTGACAGGAAACATCTTGTAAAACCTCGAATACATATATCTGGAATAAATATCTTGTATATTGAATAGATTTGTTTAATGCCTAGAAATCTGGACAGACATATAAGTATCTGTACATGCTCATGATAACATAGCCACGGTGGTTCATATCAAGGTCTATATGCTAGACCCAATGAGAAAGTCAAGGATGACAGTCAATATCAGTCTTGAAGAGTAAATGTTGGAAAGTTAATAATCACACAGGTAGCTCCACATGACTGCAAGCACATGTCTGTATATATAACCACTATGGGCTTATTTTTCATTTGAAGCAAGATATGCGACGGAGGGGACCCCCCTCCCCCTTTTTGGGTTGGTCATTGTGTTCCTAGAAACTCAGGAATTCTTTGAGATATGTAGGGGGATGTGCTAGGTAACATAGTTTGGAGTGTGTATAGGGCATAGGTACAGTAGGGGTGGGGGTAGGGGTGGGAGTGGGGCTGGGAGAAGGGTTGGGGGGGGGGGTGGCAGGGCTACCGCTCTGTCTGAAATTGTGCATGGTATATTATCTTCAGGTGATGACAAACCTATGCCTACATGCAAGCTGGTAAGTGGCATCCAGCATTGACAGGTCTTTTCTTGCACCATAACCCATACTTAGACAGGGAGCTCACCAATGGACATGCAGGCACAAACTGTTAAGTGTAGCCATACATGTAAATAAGGCAATAATGAGATGATGTTCTATACACAGATCCATATTCAACTATTGGTCATTTACAGGTCTGTGCCGAGGCCTGGATTGGCTGCAGAGTAAGGCACGGTGGTCTCTGCATACACTCTATTGGCTTGCATCATGGCAATCCTCTCTCTCTGACATTCTTTCTCCTCTTGCTCTTGGTCTAATGCCTTCTTCTCCTGGATGAAAAAAAAATATTCAAATCAAACAATTAAACAATGACTAACTGAAAGTACGAGCCCTTTCCAGTGTTGCTTTTATTGGCACTTTATCTAGCAGTACAAAAGTTAGTCACTTTTGAATCACACATCGACAAAAAAAAATTGGCCGATGTTTAGAATTTGGCTGCCAGACAATAATAACGTTCTGGCAGCGAAGGCTGGTTCCCGCCCCACAATCAGTATCGATTATGAATGGACTGGAAAGCAGATCTGTTTGTACGCGAAACAAAAAGGTTGCAGAGATCCAAAAAAGGAAAAAAAGAGCTTTTTGTTGGAATAAATCACGCTGGTACAAGCTGAACATTTATTAATAGAAAAAAAATGAATTTGTTGTTGAAGAGTACAGGGAACGCAACAATACTCAATATGATTTACTCCATAAAGAATCACAAAGTACTTCATCATACCTCTTCATTTAATCTGTTATATTCATTGATTGCAAACTGGTACTTGGGTGAGGTGATTCCAAGAAAGTAGGCCAACTTCTCACCCATGAAGTCACAAGCTGAAATCAGTCAAAAACAAACAAGCGTAGTTTACTGAATGACTTCACTGGGTTAAGGGCATTGGGGGTGGTGTATTACTTTGAGAAGTGTTTCCAGAAGTAAAACATTTCAGCTTAAAAGTCATTTCATGTCATTTTGTGTATCAACATGCCTTTACAGTTTGTCTTATTCATAACACGATTTCTCTTATTTTTCTACCAATGGTCACAATGGCACAGGTCTGAATCCTAGTTTGAATCGTGCAGTTCAGTCAGGTTTCTCAACAAATAATAAAGTTCAAAAGCTGTGCATTATTTCATATATTTCATTAAAATACCACATTTAGTACTTACCCCCTACTGTTTTTGTGGCTGCTACTACTGTGTAATACCACAGATATGGAAGCCAGGTCATTGTTTTCTGCAGAGGTTTAGAGAGTGAAAAACATTGTTAACAGTCTCCGAGAAATGGTCTCAATTCCTACAGAATAGGAACCCTCATACAAGGCAGGCTGCCAAGGATTGATTGAAGGCACGTACTTAAACTGCAAAGTTTAATTTCCAAATTCAGTATTGCGCAGAGCAAGAATCATTTGAACAGCTGAATTCAAAAGGACAAAAAGTAATCAAAGACTTTTCGCAGTTAAAATTATTCATTATTACAGCATCTCATCAGACTCGGTAAAATAATTGCTACCCGTGAAGAGATGCAAGAGATTTCTAAGAAATGTAATTTTTTTAGCTGTACACACTTTTTTTCGTGTCATATAACGGTAATGTATCTGTGCAACAAAAACTACATGTGGAGACTATTTATCTAAAACAAACTGCATCGAGTAAGAACATTTTATATTGATATTGATATTTACAACTTTAACATCACAAGAAACTGAGCTTTGCAGAGTAAGTAGTTTGGTTAGGCCAACAAAAAAAAATATTCGGTCTCTGGTTAGACCAAAGTTCCGGAATTGACCGGCCACGCGGCTTTTTTTTGTTTGTTTAAGCTTGGATTGTACAGACAAGGTAGGTACTAATTTGCTTTTTTGGTGTCCTCATGTACATTGGTGTCCTCCATAATTTGCCTTGGTGCTTTCGATCATTTGCCTTGGTGCAATTTCCCATTCCTTGGTGCTCTTTGGTAAAAAAAAATGAGGAGGTGCGGAAATAGAGGGCGCTGTTGGAGCTACCGCGGAACATTTTGGAAAAAAAAAAGATCGACACGCATGATTAAAATCGACGCGCGCGCTGACCAGAGACCGACTTATTTTTTTTTTTGGCCTTAAGTTATTTCCTTGATTTCTTACTGGGTCAGTTGTTGGTTCTGCCAGGGCCTTCTTAGACTCATCATCTTCATCAGAGCTGTATTCCTCAACAACCCCATCACTGAAGTGGATTACTCGCTTGGGTTTTCTAATGCCCACAGTGACATTATCAGGGGCGGTTGCTGATGTCTTAGCCTGTGCAATTGAATATGTAAAACACAGATTTAATGTAAAATTCAGTGGATAAAAACTTCAATGCACGTACATGTACTTGGCACTAGAAGAATGCACTGGTCCACAGTTACTGCTTAATTAATGTATTAATGTAATTAATAAGATTAAGAAATGTCCATTTTTGAATAATTTAGCATTCGATTACTTGAAACTGCATTGGACCAGAATTAGGATATTGGAACTGCCAAATGCAACTGAATGCTGCGGCGGTAAAAAGTTGCACAAAGAGTGTGCTGAACAATTTGCATGCAGCCATCAATATTGGGCGCTGAGTGGTTTGCAGTAAGTATTTTATTCTGTAAAAGGGCTTTTAAGGATGTAAACAATGAAGCTCTGTCAACAAAAAGTTACAGATAAAAAAAGTGGCACCTGACAATAAAGCGCTGCAACTTTACGATAAAATAACATCATGGTCGTGTGTGTATGTGCGTCTACAGTTTTTTTTCTTCTTTTTTTTTCTTTGCAATTCAAACCGGCAAAATGCTATTCAAATAGCATAAATATGCAGGGTCTCATTCCTATTTAGTAACAATGTTGGATGGCAAACAAAAGTTAGTTTATCAATCTAAAGACCAAAGTTGTGCACATAAACTTATCCTTTATTCAACAAACATCGTTCCACATTGTTTTCAGAAGGACACAATGGAGACTCCGTAGAATGACGTTTTCCGTTCGTGCGAGAATTATGGGCACGAAACTTTTGTGGCAGCCAATTTGACTCATCTGCAGATGACGGCGTTCTTGGTGCTTCCTTGACGTTCGATATTGTTCAAATTATTTTTCCATGTCGTTTATTAAGCATTCTTATAGCTCTACTGAGTGGAGCGTTGAACTACGGTACCCTCCGTACTAACGCTCCACCGATTTGACATACTTTGGTGACATGTACACGGTATGCATTTTGTGCATGCCCTCGCGAGGACAAAAGGTCCCCCAAAAAACTGATAAAGAGAATACAAATGAGAAAGACGGTAACCCTGGATAGATCCACACATTTATGACATTCCATAAGACCCCTTAAATTGTTCCAAACAACCGGTAATTTAAAAAAACAAAACGAAATAGTCTGAACTTACCGCTCACAATTAAACGTGTCTGCCGAGTTGTACAGTCCATTTCACTGACATGACTGATGCATAATTCATCGCGCGCGTGTGTGACGTCACTATTTAAAAAAAAAACAACCAAGTCGCGCTTAATCAATGACTGTTTCACGTACTGATATGTGTCCTGCGCCAAAAACCCACACTGTCAGACAGCGTGGGGCACATATGACTACATGAAACAGTCGTTGAGTGAGCGCAACTTGTTTTTCTTCAATAGTGATGTCACATGCGCACCCGATGAATTATGCATCAGTCATGTCAGTGAAATGGACTGTACAACTCGTCAGACACATTTAATTGTCAGTGGTAACTAAGTTCAGACTATTTTGGGTTTTTTTCAAAATTACCGGTTGTTTGGAACAATTTAAGGGGTCTAAATGGAATGTCATGAATGTGTTGATCTATCCAGGGATACTGTCTTTCTCATTTGTATTCTCGGTAATCCTTACTTTTAGGACCCCGTTCCTATAATAGGAAGGGAAAGACTCACCAAAACAGTTAAAAATGACACTCAAATTTGACATTCTGATATTTCTTGACACATCTGAAAAATTGGAAGTGACACCTTCTTGAATATCAGCAGGTTTAATTTTGTGGAAAGAGGGCAGGGCTTTGATTTATGAGGGAAATTCAGGGGTAAAAGACGACAGTGACAACCAGAAAACAGACTCAAAAACCAAGATGGCAAACGTGAAAGCTCGATGCAATGAATGCTAGATGCTGATTGACTGATAAAAAATATACATCTTATTTATTTTTTTAGCAGCCAATCAGCATCGGGCTTTCATTATGTAGGGCTTTCACTCGTGTTGTGAGAACTACAACATGCACGTCTGACTGCAAAAAAGGTAGGAAAGTCACATTTTCTTTGAAAGTGCTTTAAAAATTACAACTAACATGAGTTTATATGAAGAAAAAAGACTGCTTTAGCCTGCAAAAGTCACTTTGGTACTAGACAGTCATCTGCAAATGTCAGTTTTGAACAAAACTCGTAAAAAATAGAGGTGTCCTAAAGATAAGGATTACCGTATTCTCTTTACCAGTTTTTTGGGGGCCTTTTGTCCTCGTGAGGGCATGCACAAAATGCATACCGTGTACATGTCACCAAAGTATGTCAAATCGGTGGAGCGTTAGAACGGAGGGTACCGACCGTAGTTCAACGCTCCACTCAGTAGAGCTATCAATCATTCTTACAATATTAAAGTCCATAACTGTGTAGGGTTTAGTTTATGCAAGAAAAAAAATGGTCAAAGTAGGCCTACTACATTTTTTTTGTAAGTGCGCGAAAAATGGTCTTACGAGGATACATCAATAATGCACTTGTCAATTGTAAGACGCACCCTCGGACCCCCGGGGCATGTGCGTCAATGTCCACAGGACAGTCAAACTTTGGGGTCCAATGACGCACCCGTGCGTCTTGTTCATGACGAACCATTCACGCAGTTTGACGCTATTTATAACAAATTTTTGACGCACCATTTCTGGATAACAACTCACCAATGACGCACGTATGACGGACATAATAATCAACTAACGAATCTGGATAGCACGGCATGGAACACGCACACTTTGTGGACATGACTTGTGTGGCTGCCGTATTGTAATAACGATGTTTAATTTCCATTGCGACCCATGGGCACCAGTGGGGCTGGGGCGAGCGTCCGAGCGCATGCACTTCCAGCTGAGTTGAGAAGAGGAAACCAGCGAACCAATCGTGGCGATGGCTACATGTGCATCGAAAGCGCTGCCAGGGCGAAATTGCGAATTGTGTTGCGATGCTGAAACTTGATGATCGTTGGAAGCATTTTTGAATGATTTTTTCCCTCTTCTGATTAATATTCTAATCTGAATATAGGAACTCAGAAATCCTGGACTGAAAAAAATGGGATGTTAGCCGGGCCTTTATGATCATGGTCTATGAGTTGGCCATAGGGTTAGGAATGTACATAACGTAGGCCCGCGAAAATTTTCGCTTTGGGGGGGAAAAAATGCTATTTAGCTCGTGACTTTTCCGGACAAAGTTTAGAATATTGTTTAATTTTGAAAACTTATTTAATTGGCAACAAGTAAAATAGAAAATGTTAATATTTTTTGCTCACACTAATGAAATGAATAAATAAATGGAGATGGACGATCGGCCTAGCTTGGCAAGTCGGCTAGGATTCCAGGAGGGTTGTGACGATTAGGAGCCGAGAGGTGGGTATTTTCATGTTGTGCACAAATAGTGCATACATGCCATTTGATACTTTCAGGTTGTTTCTTCCTCGTCATGGAAAATCAAAGATGTACTTGCAAAATGTTGACTGAGTCGGATTTAAAATTTAATTTTCCAAAATTCAAAAAGGGACCCTAGCTACATGTATATATTCGGACCAATTTATTCAAAGAATCTGACATCAGTTCCATTCTTGAAATCAACAGTAAAGGTTTCTTTCAAGCAGGCCGCATTAATGTCAAATCCAGTGAGTGCATGAATCCTGAGGCTTCGGAAATCATGGTTGCAAAACCCTAATCCACTGCGATTAATAGCCGTGATTAATAACGTCCAAAAAAAATTCCTCAGGACAGCACCAACATGAACAACTTTTCTCATTTATCAATCGACGTAACATGAGCCTAACTGTCACTGCATTGACAAACCCGCAAAACGCTACTGAATCCCCGCGAGCCAGCAGACCTCTGCTGTGTCCGGAAACTGGACGCAGCTGTATTCATCAATGCATTTGATGTTCGTGGTTAAAATATAGCGAGTTGGAAAATGAGGCCATATTTATTTATCAGCAGCAATGTGAACAAGCTGAAGGTTATCGAAGACTTGGGGTGAAAAGAGTTGAAAATAGCCAGCAAAAAATAAAAGACAAATGCGAATGGTTCCAGCTTGCCAGGGATTTTGTCCGCAAGTAAGGGCCACGTGCTCAATGCGAGGTTGTCAGTAGTGTGCATACATGTACAATGTACTAGCTCTACTGAGTGGAGCGTTGAATTACGGGTACCCCTCCATACAAACGCTCCACCGATTTGCCATACTTTGGTAGCACTTACACGGTCGTCATGACGGTATGCATTTTGTGCATGCCCTCGCGAGGACAAGGCCCAAAAAAGCTGATAAAGAAAATACAAATGAGGAAGACAGTAACCCTGGATAGATCCACACATTCATGACATTCCATAAGACCCCTCAAATTGTTTCAAACAACCGGTAATTTTGAAAAAAGAACAAAATAGTCTGAACTTACCGCTCACAATTAAATGTGTCTGCCGAGTTGCACAGTCTATTTCACTGACATGACTGATGCATAATTCATTGCGCGCGTGTGTGACGTCACTATTGAAGAAAACAAGTTGCGCTTACGCAATAGCTGTTTCATGTAGTCATATGTGCCCCGCGCCGCCTGACTGTGGGTTTTTGGTGCGGGGCACATATCAGTACATGAAACAGTCATTGATTAAGCGCGACTTGTTTTTCTTCAATAGTGACGTCACACACGCGCGCAATGAATTATGCTGTTATTAGCTCTACTGAGTGGAGCGTTGAATTACGGGTACCCCTCCATACAAACGCTCCACCGATTTGCCATACTTTGGTAGCACCATACACGGTCGTCATGACGGTATGCATTTTGTGCATGCCCTCGCGAGGACAAGGCCCAAAAAAAACTGATAAAGAAAATACAAATGAGGAAGACAGTAACCCTGGATAGATCCACACATTCATGACATTCCATAAGACCCCTCAAATTGTTTCAAACAACCGGTAATTTTGAAAAAAGAACAAAATAGTCTGAACTTACCGCTCACAATTAAATGTGTCTGCCGAGTTGCACAGTCTATTTCACTGACATGACTGATGCATAATTCATTGCGCGCGTGTGTGACGTCACTCTTGAAGAAAAACAAGTCGCGCTTAATCAATGACTGTTGCATGTACTGATATGTGCCCCGCACCAAAAACCCACAGTCAGACGGCGCGGGGTACATATGATTACATAAAACAGCTACTGAGTAAGCGCAACTTGTTTTTCTTCAATAGTGACGTCACACACGAGGGCATGCACAAAATGCATACCGTCATGACGACCATGTATGGTGCTACCAAAGTATGGCAAATCGGTGGAGCGTTTGTATGGAGGGGTACCCGTAATTCAACGCTTAGCCCGACTGCGTCTGGCCGTACAGTACTATCGCAAGCTCTGTAGTACGGCCAGACGCCCGATGCTTCCACAGAGACTGAATTTTTTGGGCCGCCGATGTAGCGATTTTGCTACATCTTTCGATCGCGATTATCTTTTCATCCAGGACACAAATTTCCAAAGTTAAGGTTCGTAGTCGTAGAGCAACTCATACCTTTTTGAAAAAAACGTTCTTTGGTCTCAATATTTTCATCCATCTGGCCACAAGACGAATTTCAGTCATCAGATTCCACAAATATCGTCCCCCATGCGATCCCCCATGCGATTTCAAAATGGCGGCCGCGCTGTAATATATGCATTATGCGAGCGCGCTTGGGCAAGATAATGAATATGCATCATAGTTTATGACGTTTGTCGGACACTCAGCGCGGCTGGCCATACAAACACGAGGTCATGAACTAAATAATGCATATTCATTATCTTGCCCAAGCGCGCTCGCATAATGCATACATTACCGCGCGGCCGCCATTTTGAAATCGCATGGGGGATCGCATGGGGGACGATATTTGTGGAATCTGATGACTGAAATTCGTCTTGTGGCCAGATGGATGAAAATATTGAGACCAAAGAACGTTTTTTCAAAAAGGTATGAGTTGTTCTACGACTACGAACCTTAACTTTGGAAATGTGTGTCCTGGATGAAAAGATAATCGCGATCCAAAGATGTAGCAAAATCGCTACATCGGCGGCCCAAAAAATTCAGTCTCTGTGGAAGCATCGGGCGTCTGGCCGTACTACAGAGCTTGCGATAGTACTGTACGGCCAGACGCAGTCGGGCTATTCAACGCTCCACTAAGTAGAGCTAGGATCTATCCAGGGTTACTGTCTTCCTCATAAAGAAAATACAAATGAGGCCTCATTTGTATTTTCTTTATCAGTTTTTTTGGGCCTTGTCCTCGCGAGGGCATGCACAAAATGCATACCGTCATGACGACCGTGTAAGTGCTACCAAAGTATGGCAAATCGGTGGAGTGTTTGTATGGAGGGGTACCCGTAATTCAACGCTCCACTCAGTAGAGCTAACAATGTACATGTATTATGCACCCCCTTGACATGCTTGACGCACCCCCTTCGTCGCGATTTGACTGACCATTTTAGAGACATGACGCACATGCCCCGGGGTCCAAGGGTGCGTCTTACAATTGACAAGTGCATAATACCCCCATAACCATAAATTTGTGCATAAACTGCATTGCTTGTTTTGTCATCCATACAAATTACAACGTACACACACAGATGATGCCAACTGGTGCGAATGTTTTTCAACAAAACTAAAATTATAGGGGGCCCGTATTCTGTGGTATATAAACAATCGCCCAAATAAAAGTCCGTTCATACGTTACCGGTTCTTCTTGAAGAAGAATACTGGCAGTAGCACTTGTCTTAGGCTGTGATAACACGGATTCGTCCATGTTAAAAACTGATCAACACAATGTAAAACGCAAGTGGCGATCACGGGAGGAAATTACCCGAGCTCCGATACGCGATTATTCACACTGATATGACGTAGCATGGTTCCAACAGTTTGGCAAGTTTTACATTAAAATTACAATTTGGGGAAAAGGACTTCAGGTGCAAAATTGGTATGGCGCGCAAATAATTAAAAATGAATCATAGAAAAATGATACAGGCGCGTCCAACCTCTTTCCTAGTGTCTACCTCGATACAATTCCCCATGTGGTAACTTATTATTATTTGTAAGTCATGAATTTATATCTCAGAAAAGACTAGGTGGAAAGGCATAGGAAACAGCACACCGCCTGCATATTACATCCCTGCTGAGGAGATTATGTAGTATTCCACCAGAACCAGAACCCACCGACTTAATTGTTCGGGTATTTTCAACAACCAAAAAAATATCTGCTTGGAGTTTTGGAACCATACAAAAATTGTTAAGGGGTTTCAGCCCCTTCTCCCTTTTCAAGAAAAGCTCTCCGTCCTATAAATTGACATATTTTTCGTTATTTTCATCCCGGTCCCCCCCCCCACCCCTTCACATCACGCAAGGCTGAAACGCGTGGCCATCAGCTCAGGTTTCCGACCGGCCAAGTCCAACCCGCGCGGATAACCGAGCCTACATGATACGGTAACTGCCAAATAGCAGGATCGAATGATCGATCATCGGGGACGGGCTACTGCAGTTGCCATGGCATAAGCGGCGGACGGAGGGATGGAGGCAGGGTGTAACATTGCCCGAAAACAAAACAAAAACAAAACAAACTGAGCGCCCCCATCAACGAATGAGGTTTAGCCCTGAGTCTCCATCACAAGAGGGAGAGTCAAGTTGGCGTACTTTCCTCGGTTTCCCGCTGTGACCCGAGTTCGATTCCCGTCTGGGCCAAAATGATGTGGATTGGATTTTCGGTCCCTATACCTGCTATTCCGTGGGTTCCCTCAGAATACTCTTTATTGGGTTTAACTCCCACCTCTCAAACTGTAATTTCTTCTTACATGTCTTCTATCTACAGTTTTTTTCGGGCTTGCGAACTACAGCGCCTAGGTGCTTTTCAGGAATCCTTGGTTTCAGTTTCAAATTAATAAAAGATGTGTAAAAGACATTTAATTGTTCATGAGAAGGTATATTGTTCCGAGGATAATCTCAGGCGCGGACCCAGGGGGGGGGGGGGGGGGGGGTCAACCCCCCCCAGCTCTGTCCAAAAAAAAAATCATACAAATTCCTAAAAAATAAGTAGAACCCTCCCCCCCCCCCCCCACACTGTGACACCCCCCAAAAATTATACTGGTATAATGTCCGCCTGTTCAAAATACGGTACACCATTCTGTAAGCTAGTGTTAATAATCGTCGAATTTGAACAGCGCCCCCTATTGAAATATGGACACCCCCCCCCCCCCCCCCCCCCCCACGTGGTGAAATGCCGTCCTCACCAGGTGCTCTATCCACTAGAAAGTTGTTTGATCGCCTTGGTTGTTTCTGTAATCATTGGAACATAGTCGAGCTCCTTGATCACCGGGCTTTGGGGTATTTTAGCGATGGTATCGTCAGAGATTGTCGACTGGCGATTGAGAAGATGGTTGAAGTGCTGTGCCCATCGCTCTGTGATGAGTACTGGTTCTTTAATTAGGGTCTATCCTTCTAGGTCGAAAAGAGGACTGACACCTCTAGATGTTGGTCCATACACAGCCTTGAGTTCATGGAAGAACGTTTTCGCATCCGTTTCATCGGCAGCAGCCTGCAGTTTGTTCTTCATCTCGCGGAGCTTAGCTTAATGTGCCATTTGCTTTGTTTTGTTGTAGCGGTCTTTCTTCGCCTGTGAGTTCTTATCATTTGTATATCCAATGTGGAGAGAGTGGAGTTCGTCGAGCAGAGAATTCACCGATGCGTCGTGCTCATCGAACCAATCCTTATGCCTTTTCTCGACGAACCCAATTGAGTCTATATATGAGGCCTGAAAGATTCCCACACAAAGATCGTCCCAGTGACTAGTTGCAGAGTCATGGTCAGTGTTGTAAAAAAAATCCAAGACAGCTGCTGTCATGTTATCTTTGAGGAGATCTCGCATCTCGACTGTTGCAAGCTTGGCGAAGTCTAGCTTTTTCACTCGCTGGAATCGTCGATGTTGATGGTTTTGTTTAAACATGATACAAACTTTGATTCTCAGAAGAGCATGGTCAGAGAGACAAGTTGTTGCTCCTAGCAGCACGTGTGCGTTTGACATCACGCCAATCACGTTGCCTGATGATGATGAAGTCGATTTGGTGCCAATGTCCGGAACGTGGGTGTCTCCATGATGACTTGAAGCTGGGTTTCTGTTGAAAAAGTGTGTTGGTGATGACAAGTTGTTTCTCCGTCAGCGCAGAGGGTTAGCAGGAGGGTGCCATTTGAGTTTTCCTTTCCTTTTCCTTCACCAAGTAAGAACAGTTTATCAGAATGCGGTACAGACTGGATGAGGTGGCCTAGCTGTTTGTAGAATTCCTCTTTTGCCTCATGGGTAAGTCATGGTCGGGGCGTACGCGCTGATGATGATAATTACGTACACCTCACACACCTTCAAGCACATGGTTATAATCTGCATGTCATTGATTCCTTGGGGGAGCTTGTCGAGAAGCTTCCAGTATTGATTACGGATTGCAAAACCGACTCATGATTGCCTGGGTTCATTTGCTGGGTGGCCGCTCCAGAAGAATGTGTATCCAGATCCACGTTCTTCAAGCTGCGAGGAGTCTGGTAAGTGTGTTTCACAGAGAGCCGCTGTATGTCAGTGTTGTAGGGGCAGAGTTCTTTTGCCACTATGGGAGTGCGTCGCCAGTTCTAGATTGTTTGGGTTCTGACATTCCATGTTGCAATGTTAACATCTTTCTCGCCTCTAATCGTGTTTTCGAGCATAAGTATTTCAAGTTGATCGACCGCAGGGTTGGATAATCAGCTCATCGCGGTTAACGAGCAGATTACGGTATGGTAGGACTACCTCCATGCTTACGGTGTCTCTGCGGTAAAGTCCGTGACGACTTTATAACACCATAACAAGCTGGATTAAAAGTGATATCTATTGCACTTTTTACAAACAACATCTCAGATCCCTTAAGGATACTTCAACCACTCGAGCTATAAGCTGTTAGATAAAGTTTATAGAGATACTGAACAAAAAAAGAGTAACTCTATATTGTTGCTATCGACTTTTCAAAAGCAAGGCATTTGATCGTGTTGAACATTGTCATTTCAAAAAACATAAGTTTAGGAGTTTGACGATCCATACTTCCTTGGATATGCAACTTGTTCGTACGCACAAGCGCTTTTAGCTATCGTTACCAAAACGATCGAGTTATCCGAATGGCGGTCAACTCATACAGGCATCATCCGCAGGTTACTAAACTGTGACCCGTTGCTTTCTTGTTCACCTGAAGTTACGCATTATAAATGGCGGGATGGCCTAATATGGTGTCAAACTTTCAGTGATTTAAATAGCTCGATTCGAATTGAACTTATATTAGGCTAAATGATAAATCAATGGGCGATTGATAACGATATGAATAATATCAGGCTATATGACTGTAGAATCGGGGGTCAGACAAGTCGACCGTTGAGACAACTCGACTCGGGACAAGTCGACCGTTGAGACAACTCGACCGTTGAGACAACTCGACCGTATGTGCGATAAATGGAAAGACAAGTCGACCGTTGAGACAAGTCGCCTCGCATGTTTTGGGCCTAGTTTCGGGGATAGTACCGGGGATTTTGACGGCGGCTGATCGCCGTTTGGGAGTGATGACACATGAGTTTTTTTGTTGCATATAACAGAGCCGATATAGCGCAGCGTGATTGTCCGTGCACATCGTTCGTTTTTTTCAAGGCACGCGTGCGCGCATCCCCGGTCAACGTGGCCGTGCCGTGTACGGTGGCATCGTTTTTGCCGGGCCTGTGCGCCCATTTGCCGGTCAACTTGTCCGTACCGTGCACGGTGACATCGTTTTTGCCAGCCCTGTGCGCCCACTTATCTCATCCCCGGTCGGTCAACGTGGCCGTACCGTGCACGGTGACATCGTTTGTGCCGGGCCTGTGCGCCCATTTGCCGCGCTGGTCGACGTGCCCGCGTGCCGGGCCCGGCCCGGTCCTCGCGGGCGGGCGCGGGCGGGCGCGGGCGGGCGCGGGCGGGCGCGGGCGGGGCGCACCGGCCCGACGCGACGCCCTCTGTACATCGAGTATGCCCGCGCCGCACTCGTGATCGGTCTTGCCACAGATTTGTGCAACTTTTTCTGCTCCACGTGTATTCATTTCCATTAAGTCGAGCAGTCTCAACGGTCGAGTTGTCCCGAGTCGAGTTGTCTCAACGGTCGACCTGTCTCAACGGTCGAGTTGTCTCAACGGTCGACTTGTCCCGAGTCGAGTTGTCTCAACGGTCGACTTGTCTGACATTCGTAGAATCCAATCCACCCTCTGGCCCTCCTAGTCTTTTTCAACTTATATGTGCTTCAGTTCTTGGTCAATCAAATTGTTTGAAAAGTCTTGGTGTCCAAATTCAAAATAATCTGAGATGGGACACCGTCAAGTGATTACAATGTGCAATTCTTTTAATCGCAGACTGTAGCTTTACGCCAACTTAATTACACATTGTTGTATACCCATTGATGACTTGGTCACTGTTTACATGTTGTAGGATATAAGGCCCACTGTTGAGTATCTAGTTTGGTATTCTGGGTTGACAAAAGAATAAAAGCCTAATCGCTTGCAAAATTACAAAAAAAAAAAGCATTTTGCACAATTTTCAAGTGCAAGTTTTCCGTCACGTTTCCCAGAATTATGTCCGTAATGTGTTACAATTTCCTTCTCCATTGCAGCAGAGCCGTGATCATCTCTGCTTTAAGTTTGGTACAAAAAAAAATCTTCTCTCGTCCCATAAATACCGTGACTGGCTCCCACCTGCAATGCTAACACTCTGTCTATCCCCAGATATGATGATGCGGAACCAACCGATACAAGAATAGGGCAATAATCATTTCGTCTTAATAAGAACCACGGCAATAAGAACTAAGCATTATGCTTATTCTGGTTTAATTCTTTTATTGATATTTTATATTTTAAGAACACATATGCTAATTTGAGTTATTCAGTCTATTTATTTATTTGTTTAATAATCAATCATTTATAAATTTTAGATTGTATTGTATGTTTTTTTTTTTATTCTTTCTAGTTTCTTTAGGCCTATGTTCTTTAAAAATATATTAATCAGCCTTCGGGCTGCGAATGGAGAGTGCAATAAACCATTTAATAATAATAATAATAATAATAATAAATATATATGGTAAACTCGATAAAATCCACACTCATTATGTTCAATGCAAGGTATAGTACGTTACCCTAGCGCGGCGCCCTCATATAATATTTTAAGACAATCTTCCAAAAACTAAACATCGGCACACCATACTTGCTGCGGTAGTTTTTTTTTTTTTTTTTATAGTAAACTTGACTAGTGCTTTGGCCTTTGCATTTTGGACGATCGCGTGGACGGCTAGTTACACGCGCAGATCGGAAAACATCACACGCTAGACAAATGCGGACTTTGTTTCAAGTTTATGGTTTTGGCGATTCTATGATTCTGCGTGTTGTTGCGAATTTAGTAATCGGAATCGAGCACACCGACATTGTACACAAACCACTGTATGATCCGGGGTAAGGTTTTCAATTACTAATTTTAGTCGAAATAAAACGAATCGATTTTGAGTTTGCTTGTCAGCTGATGATTCACAAACTGACAAACGTAACGACATGAACGAAAACCCTTGTCTTTGTACTTGTGAAGACTGCTTGCAAACGTCAACGTTGATGTGGCTGTTGCGTGCATTGATTGATCCTGGTTCAGTGTCTCTGAGTATGACCTCAAACAGTGACTAGTGACTAGTAGTGAGTAATTTAAGCAGGCTTTATATTTTTAGAACTGTTGCAAACTTGCAGCATGGAGCAGTTAGGCCCATAACACAGTGGCTATCGTTACGGCAGCCGTAACTAACACAATTTTCAACTGATAATGTTAATTACGCACTTGCCTTGGCGGTTTCGATCAAACTCGGACCCAAACTACTAGTCCGAGCATAACTAGGACTCGACGAATCACATTTGGACATGGTCATGGTCGGGCGATAGGGTCCGAGATCAATAGCCGTATTGCATTTACTATAATTTTGTTTGCCATTTTCACTCGTACCCTCAATCAAAATGTTCAGATTTTACCCCCAAACTAGCTTGAGTAGCTCTAGCCCCACTAGTGTGGCCGTCGGTATGCTGCATGCTGCGCTGAACCTTTGGCCACACACCGTGGTACCGCGCGCTACTGAGGACGAAGTTTTCATAAAAATTCAGGGCAGTTTCTTACATTCTCAGTTTCTTACTTTCTTATGGTTGTATTCTATGATGTCTCACCTGTCACTTCTGGGATGCTTAGGTCTAATGATGTTCCATTTTCCGAGATATTCTTCAATCTTTCTGGAGCCCATATGCACTCGTGAAACGTCTGGTGGTGGCAGCCATTTTGAATGTGACAAGAGATGACCTCAAGCTGTGACGTCGCGTTTATGCAAATTGCTTGTCGAGCGCGCGAGGGCGCGAGTTGCAAATGCGACGGCTGTTTTCTGTGCCGTAGATCCTGAATAGAGATCGGTGCACGTGGCCCCCTGACGATAAATGCATGGTACAGGAAACAGCCGTCGCATTTGCAACTCGCGCCCTCGCGCGCTCGACAAGCAATTTGCATACACGCGACGTCACAGCTTGAGGTCATCTCTTGTCCCATTCAAAATGGCTGCCATCACCAGACGTTTCACGAGTGCATATGGACTCCAGAAAGATTGAAGAATATCTCGGAAAATGGAACATCATTAGACCTAAGCATCCCAGAAGTGACAGGTGAGACATCATAGAATACAACCATAAGAAAGTAAGAAACTGAGAATGTAAGAAACTGCCCTGAATTTTTATGAAAACTTCGTCCTCAGTAGCGCGCGGTACCACGGTGTGTGGCCAAAGGTTCAGCGCAGCATACCGACGGCCACACTAGTGGGGCTAGAGTAGCTCTAGCCCCATAAATGTGGCCTATTTACTGGACTGCCTCCGTAAACATAGGCCACACATCCACATGTACAAAAATCGTGTCGACTTTGCCAAATTTTGATTTTCACATTTAGGCTTAGTTTGTAGGATTTTACGTACAATACCTCATGACATACTCACGTTATGTGCACCCAACAAACATCGATGGATTCTGTCTGTTTTTCGGCAAAAATGATGAAGAATATGCCCTTTCCGCATAAAGAGGGTGAGTATGCTTCTAAAGCAAAAAAATCCTACAAACTAAGCCTAAATGTGAAAATCAAAATTTGGCAAAGTCGACACGATTTTTGTACATGTGGATGTGTGGCCTATGTTTACGGAGGCAGTCCAGTAAATAGGCCACATTTATGGGGCTAGAGTAGTTCCAGCTGACATGCTCCATATTCATTCACATGTAATGGATATGGAGCATGTCAGCTGGAGTTACTCAAGCTACCCCCAAACAGTCTTCAAACTGCCTTATGCCCTTTTCGCACTGAGCCAACCTGACACTTGAAATTTGCACGCAGATATGATCGATCAATGATTTTCGGTTCGCATGGAGCGCGCCGCGGGGGGTACGGTACTTGCACTTGTACGCATGCATAAACTGTCATTTCGCTTGTACCGTACCCCCCACGGCGAAGCTCCGAGCGAACCGTAAATCATCGATCAATCATTCTGTGTGCACGTTTCAACTGTCAGGTTGGCTCAGCTGCGGAAAGGGCATATTTTTCATAATTTTGGCCTAAAAACCGACAGAATCCAGCGAAGTTTGTTAGGCACAACTTACGTGAGTATGTCAAGAGGTATAGTACGGAGTTTAGGGGCAAAATGTGCAGTGATTCTGTGGGAAATGTCTGTGTTTTGATGGACGTTTTTGTACTTACCGGTAGTTGGTGTTTGTGCTGCAAACAATTTTGCGGGGTTGTGTGTCTATGAGGCTCTGCTCACGTCACACATGAGCATCATAGTTTTAAGAGTGACGTAGTTACTCGGACTAGACCCAAACCAACTCACCAACTCAGACCCAAGCCAACTCGGACCCATGCCAACTCGGACCCACTACCAACATGGCCAACTCGGACCCACGCCAACTCGGACCCACTACTACCAACTCGGACCCACGACCAACTCAGACCCACGACCAACTCGGACCCATCGTGAGGACCCGTTTTCAATCATTCAACATTTCATAAAGTCTGTCCACTTATAGTGATGCTGTTTAGTGTAACTTTTCATTGTAATTGTAAAGTAAGTTATCAGTATTGCAGCAGTAACATATATTTGTTCTAGTTGTAAAGCGGATTGAAATGCTATTTTGAAATGCGCTCATGTTTTCATTAAAACATACTAATTGACATCGTTCACGCCATTTCTCAATTTCAAAGCAATTTATTTCATTTTTAATCCAAACTTCAATGTAGCGAATATACACATTCAGCACAGATCTTCAAAGAAAAATAAAATCGGAAAGTATGAACGTTGAAATATAAACACTTTCAAACATAATAACATTATTAATCTTTAATAAGGGAATAACAGTGTGAGGAGCCGGTCTTCACTGCGTGATAATGACCGGGTTTGGGGGTGACCGCTGTTAATGGACCGAGACGAAGTCGAGGTCCATTAACAGCGGTCACCCCCAAACCCGGTCATTATCACGCAGTGAAGACCGGCTCCTCACACTGTTATTCCCATTAATAAATACCTTTTTAACGAAATAAACAGTTAAAATGCTCCAATTTTGTGACTTTCTTTCGGCAATATTTCCAGACTTTTTTGTGTTAATGTTCATGGGCCATATTTTAACTTATGCGTGGTACCCTGTCTCTTCGATAAGCGTTGTTATATACACCACAGCCGGGCCCAGGCTGTGCTGGACATTGCTGGACAACGGCTTCATTGCGTACGCGTACGACGTCCAGGGTTTTGACTTCTGCTGCCGTAGCGAAACAAATTACAACAATGTTTTCATATTTTTACCTGATGGAGGAAGCTGAAATTTCGTTTACACACTCCTGGTGTCCAGAATTACAAAGATGCTTGGTTTAGGAAAGGTAAATATGTCGTTGGGCAAAGTGTTTAAAGAAAATAAATCGTAGATCTACGCTTTCGTCGTAAACATCCTCAGTAGGCCTATACTGCACTGCTGTATGTACTATGTCCAGTCGTTTTAAAACTTCCTTACGCGCGCGCGCACCCATAGCAACTGTGTTGCCTACGCGCGCGTCAGTCTCACGCGAAGGTGGTTGAGCGCATGTGCAGTGCTGTATTGTTACAAGCTGCCGTATGACTGTTGTAAATTTGGCCAATCATTGCCTTCCATGGGGCTGGATCAATGCTGGTTCAGGGGCCATTTTTTCGCTTGTTCTTTGAAGCCGGTCCATTATCACCGTTAATGCCCGGCCACGTGATCGAGTCTCGACCAATCAGAAACCATCAACTCTCCAAGGTTTACTGCATAAAACTAAAGTCAATAAATCACAGATCTAAACGTTCACAGATTTAAACGTTAACCAACTTCGAAACACAAAAAAAATCAAAGTTAGTGAATGTAAATAGATAATGAAATGAAATTAACTGCCTAAATAGGTAAAAATATTAATAACTATTAAATTACAGTACTAAAGTCAGTGGTATAAATGAAACGTGCCATTTCCGAGTGCCATTTCCGCGTGCCAAACAATAATTAAAATTACAAGGGGTTCTATTTTTAAAAAATCCATAAACGCTATTGCATACACTTTAAGAAAAACGAAGGTTCCATTATGAATTTATAAAAAACAGTTAAATCAAAAAAGTATAAAAAGTTAAATAAATTCGTAAAAAAAACCCTTTAATCAAAGTCAGCATGTGAATAAAAAAAAAATAATCAATTACATAAAATTAATGGCCTTAATAATTATATCAAAATTAACTAGAGGTTGAAGGAACAACCACACGGTGTTGGGCCATGGATTACCGCAAACTTTGCCACACACATCGACTCAAAATATGCATGTTTAAATCCATGTTTGACTTTTCAACATGCCGCCAGAGGGCACTCTAACATTTGATGACGACACCTGTAAAATTTTTGTACAGTGCTGCCTAGGCAGACACTCGAATCGTTGAAAGCAAGTTCGCATGTTCTGCCAATTTCAATTAATAAGGCACTTCCGGTTTTGACCGGAAGGAAGGGTCACGTGATTTTGCACTTAAAACCAAAAATGAAGACCCTGCAATATTTTATCGATTGCCATAAAAAACAAAATCAAATCTGTAGCAGTTGATTTTATATTGATTTTTAAAGATTAAATATGGAAATATTATTTGCTTGTAATATGACACTTGATGACGTCATTGTGACGTCATTACCAGAAACCTCAAGAGCTTTATTTACTGTGCTGTATACAGCCAAATCTTGATAACATCTATCACGGTATATTTTCTAGCATTTTTTAAGGTTTAGGGGCCATTCAGAATTTTCAATGTTTTAAAATTTCGACTTTTTTTCCAAATTATTTTGACCCACCCACCCACCCACCCCTAATTTCGATTAATAAAAAACTGAACATGTATATGTACATGCACTTGCATGTACATATACTTGAACATGAACAGGTATACCCATGTACATTTGTGTCTAGTTCAGTGACGGCGTGAAGTTGTCGGTCTTCCTCTTTTGCATTGGTGACCTTCAGTTTTCTTGTGTTTTGCCAGCTGATATGCTGTTGGGAAAGACAGGTTGCAGTCTTGGAAGCCACAAACATGGCCGTGGTTTTGTCGTTTTCTGGATGAGGTGGATGACATGTGACATACGAGGTTGTGCCTGT